TGTTGAGCACCTTGTTCTCTCAACAACTCTGCTTGTTGAGAACCTTGTTGGTGAAGCAAGGCTACTTTCTCGCGTTCTGCGTCAAGTTCATTTTGAATGAACTTGGCGATAGTAGCATGTTGGGCATCTCTATTGAGAGCCTCTAGCATGACGCTAACAGCATGGATGCCCATGGTCGAACCCATTCGTTCAACCGCATCCCATTCGACATCGCTCAAATGGGAGTAGCCGTCACGCGTAGCGTGAAAGCTTTGGTCATCTTCATCATCCAACATATTCATGTTGGATGTGAACGCGGTCCTTGGACGGACTACGAAGTGCTACCAGGTGTAACGGGGCACCCTGAAGCTTGTACTGGTGACAGTACAAGCTACTTATTCTGATAACAGAATAAGGCGGTGCCTCGTAACTTCACGTACACTCGTACGTGCAGAGGAAGACGGTAAGAAGAAGCGAGTACTCGGTTAGAGTAAAAAGTAGAACTGTATTTATAATAGTTAATGTCTGCAATAAATCACTATTTATCTTCATCTAACTATGTCTAAATACAAATGTGTAAATCAGTTATCTGCTCACCACTCATTGCGTGCGTCTGTCGTGGCGCGTCTTCGTTGGTTGATATAATGGCCTATATCAACCAATTAGGAACTACTTGGAAGTGCTACAGAATATTGTCCTTATGACAATATTCTGAGAATATAACTCTTATAGTTATATTCTATTAACAATTTCTTATAAATTGTTATGTAACGATTCACCCCGTTACATATATTGCATTTCTGAAATTTCCTGTAATTGATTACGCGAAAGCTTTTAATTTTAGTGCAATAGAGTCCCATTTGTTCTTAGCCTCCACTTTCCCGTCGTCTCCGAGACGATAGGAGCTCAAATTCACATAAGCTTGTTTCACGATGAAGTCCTCCTGTTCCTCAACCCTGATAGTCTCTTTCAGGGTATCAAATCACAGTCTTGGCTGAACCGCACATGAGGCTCTGCATTAACAACCTGATCAATGTTTATTCATTCAGCGGATTTGCTGAAATGCAACTCACAAAGTAACTCATGTACATAATGCATGAGTGTACATCACGTTTTCCTTGCTTGAGTTTCAGTAGTTTAGAAAGAGCTATGTGTGCATGTTGCGGCAGTTAAAATGTAGTCTAAGACAGGGGTAAAAGACTTCTGATAACCCAAAGACATACGGGCCGTGTAGCTTGCGGCCAAAGGCCCAAGTATCCGCACTTTCTACTAAGTTTAATTGAGCATAGGACAGCTCCATTTGCTCATCGACGATGTGACGAGCCCTTATGCTATCGTTCAGTTTTACAAACCATTATGAAAGATAGCCTTCTTCAGCTCCCTTGTACTTGATGATGTCAATCTTCACGAGTTGACGCGTTTGCATAGAACCGGTAGCATCAGCCTGCTGTTGTCTCATCAGTTCAAACTGTTGATCACCCTGTTCACTCAACAGCTCTGTCTGCTGAAAACCTTGTCAGTGAAGCAAGGTCACCTTTTCCTGTTCGATGTCAAGCTCACTTAGGATGAACTTGGCAATGAAGGTGTGTTGTCCGTCTGTTCCCAGAGTAGACATCATGGCGCCAACTGCTTCCTGCCCTACCGTCTATTCATTCGCTCGACGGCATCCCACTTGATTTAAATCAATTGGGAGTAGCTATCATGACTGGGATGAAAGTCGTCTCTTTTATCATCCAGCACGTTTAGGTGGTTGGATGGACTACAAATTGCTACCAGGTGCAACGAGTCCTGAAATGCTTGCACTATCACAGTACAAGATAGTAACTCTGAACACGGGCAAGCAATTTCCTCGGAATCTCACATACACGTATCGTGCAGAGCAAGGTTTCAATACGAGATAACAGCAGAAGTAGAACTTTATTCGGTGTATCTAATTTCCTGTTAATGTATCCTATTTAGTCATCTTTCAACTGTTCCTGATACAAACGTGTATTGTAAATATACTTTCAGCACTCGTTGCGTTCTTGTGTCGTGGCTCAGATTTATTGGCTGATATCATCGTCCTATATCAAACAATGAACAGTGAATGGCTTCTGGATCACAATCTTACCCGTAAAGGTAATAATGTAATATATAATGTACATCTAGCATAGTATTCACACTTATCATTGACCTTATGTAAAATACCATGTAACGGACTCACCACATTACACCTGATCCTGTAGCGGATCTGCTATTTGCTGCAGTCGATAGATCTTGACCCCGTATTATGTCGCTGGGCTAATCATCGAGCCATCCCATCTCAAAAGAGACCGCGTCTTATTGGTACTGCAATTTCCTTACAGTTCTTAGGCGGTCAGTGCGCTTCACACAATAACGTTGGGTCGTGCGTTTCTGTTGCCACTTGGTCTCAAATTGTATGAAGTCGGTATGTTCTGGCTGTCAGAGGAGGTCTGAGAGTAACTTATGTTACTGTCAATTGCCTACTTAGAACAATATAGCTACGTCTAGTCACCTCGGTCCTGTACATCAAGTCGCGCGCTACCAAAGATATACCTCATGTGGTGGTTATGGGGTGTGATCCATGTAAGCGTGCCTACAATTAACATAATTTTTTCTACTAGTAACAAATATTCGAGTACAAGCTACTGGTGTTCGACAGTGTGACAATGAGGTGGGACGGTTGCTATCGCCGTGCATGCAATGCGCCACATGATCACCGTCGTTTCGTTTGCTGACTTATAACAACAAATGACAACGTCAATAGAAGTAGCTTATTGGCAGGAAAAGTGTTTGCGAAGTTTAAAATGGATTGCATAAAATTAAACACAATTTTTAGTACAATGATTTTGCTGCATCAAGTATGCATGCACCCTTCCACACATTAAAGGAACGACGAGAACTTTACTCAAGGAACGAAAAATACACATTACAAATAAGATCCTTAGCTCGAGGATCTCGTTTTAAATGTGTGTTTACTCACCCCGCTCGTAGTCTACGATGTCTAAAATGCGTCCTACATTGAAAGTAATGTTACAGAATTTTTGACACCGATTGACAAGCACTGATATCGTGCTGGATAGCACGATCGACTTCAACGCTAGGGAAGAGTACGAATTGCGTTATAGGTGCAGGATCTTGCTTGAGTATTTCAAACATCAAGATCTTGTTGCTCAAACAAATGTAGTGGTTTGGCAGCCAAACAGAGGCAGCGGTTTAAGAGGTTGATGCCTCCATACACAAATGTGGGGATGGTCGTGTGCATGTTTCTCGAACCGTTCATCTGCCAGGATTTATATTAAGGAAAGAGCAAGAAACTTGTTTAACGTCTCCGGTGTAAGCTTCGAAGTTGCATCTTGAAAGTCTGGCTGTGTTTCCGTCGCCTATGCCTTCCATTCCGCGTTTTACGAACTTAAGGCAGCAACAGCCGTGATACTCTATAAGTTGCACATTCCGCGGACTGCGTAAATGCAGATCACGATCAAGACTTTGGAAGAGCCGCGAGCTTTGTTTTTGCCACACTTGCTCGAATGCACCCACACGTCGCGAGATATGGTCCGTCCAGTGGTTGAAATACCGGATTCATCGCAAAGCTCTGTAAAAAGAAAGAAATATTGACAGTTGCTGTCTCTGACTAGAAGGGACAACACGGCGTGGCTGTACTTAGGGAGCGGTGGGCACGTTCCTTTAAGCCATATAGTTGGATGATGCTTGATTGACTGCGCATATCAACTCCGCATGGGAGAAAAAGCGAAGACGGTATTGGTCATCCTGGAATCACAGATTGATTCCAAGGTTATTTCGCCCATCTACACCAGAAGATAAAGAGCTTTGTAGACGATGCATTACAATAGTGTCAATCCTATCGGCGACATGAGCTTTGGTCTGTACCGCTTAAATCCATGCGCTTCAAAGTTAGCGTGATCACAAACTTGAATGAGTACCATCAGCTCTTGCACTTCAACGTCCTGTATCCATATATGACAGCTGAGAACGTTCGCAGCACACAGATCTGTCGCTGCTTCAGCTCCGCAATATAGATACAAATAATGCAGGACTGTTATGCGTCTATGCCGCACACAGCTCCATCAACTCGCCGAGTTACGCACACTTCCCCTTCGCATTATTGTCACTACAATTGTGCTTTGCACATTTCCACTGCCTTTTGTCATCTTGCACATCTTGTTTGCATTCAGACAGCCATCTCGAAGAATTATGCGTGAAGTCAGCCTCGAATCTTTGCCCTAGTGACAGTCCTGTCGCCTAGCTGGCGAATATCGATGAGCGGGTGCGCGATTACAGTCATGTTTACTCAATGGTGTATTTTAGATCAACCCCACACGAGATTGAGAGGTGACACTTCTAGATTTGGTTAGGTTCTAAACGTAGTACTGTGATACCTCGCTCGCAAAGGTACCGGTACTGAAAAAAGCTCAAAACGAATTGCGCTACAGTGACAACTTTTTTTCGCAAGGCGAGAGTGTATGCTCATTTTACGGCAAAAGTCGATCCTAATAGCTACTCCGTTTTAGTCGGTTCTACCCCTATGGTTGCTCGGGAGAATCAATACGAAAAACCGGTTCCTGCATTTCGGGAGGTCTTAAACGACTAGGCGAAGCCCTGCCTTCGACACGCTCGAGTGCTCTGCAACCATCGCTGTGATTGACATGACTTGTTTACTTTTTGCTGGAAGCGACAGCGAAGCATTCAATTTAGTGCAATGTGTACCCGCGTCCACACCAAAAATCGGCAAGAAAATCCTCGCACACTTTTGTGCCTGCCCCAGAACAGATCTGTCAGCAAATGTCGTTAACGGCACATTCTTTCCGCAGTGAGATTGACAAACCCTCGGGCTAAACGGATGTTGAGCAAAAGCTCATAAAGTCCTACCGCAAGCCTTTATGCGACTTCTCGCTGCAATGACGAATGACGTGAACGACGGTGAAAGTCTTGCGGAAGTGATTGCCTTTGCAATCGTCATGGGAGCCGGAACTACTCGCATTAACAGTACGTGTATGTGCTTATTGTAGTTTGGACTCTACCAGACGTTGAATCTCCTTGAGCTCGTCAAACCAGTCACTCCAGGCATCCAAATCTTCAGACAAATCTGGTTCCTACAATTCATCAGAGCAGCACAATAAGTGAGAAGTAAATCGATGTGTCGAAGTGCTCATGTGATGATGACTGTTGCCACACCTCCATCGAAAAAACAGTCCGGGGCTGCGTTTCGTCGCCCTGTTGAAGTTCTTTAAATCCCATCGCGAGCAGACACTGATGCCCGCCAGCATATTGCCCCAGATCAGCGTGAAAATTAGCATTATCTTTAACGATACGGCGAAAAGCTACATTCTCTGGCGATGAGCAGATATTGCTCACCACACTGAATAGCTTCTCAAGTGACTGGCGATACAGCACCTGATTACACAACATGTCAATTTCTCGTCTTTACCCTTTCCGAACTACCAATCAACGTACCTCACTGCCTGTACTTTCCCGCAGCATCGCAATCGATTTTTCGAGCCCCACCTTACCGCGCGAAATCGATGCATTCAAGCGTTCGCGCTCCTGCTCCTCCACTTTTCGTTGTCGTTTCGCTTCTGTACGCTCTTTCTCGCGTTCCTCCCTCTTTTTCTGTGCGGCAGTCGCTAGCTCTTTAATCCGAAGTTGTTCGTTCCGCCGTTGTCTTTCTTCTCGATCTCTAGCTTCCTGTCGTATTCTAACCTGTTCCTGGTCCCGTTTTAATTCCGCAGCTTGCTGAGCAGCCTTTAGATTTCTCTCTCGAGCAGCCTCTTCCTCCTTCCGAGCAATTTCTTCTTCTTTGAAGTGACAGATCGTCGTTTCGACTTGTAGACGCAACGGAGCATCTACCTCCATCACCAGTTTCACAGCGTCGTACCGACGTAGCAGGTCTTGAACGTTAGCCAGCGTTTTAGGACCAAGCCGGGGTTGCCTTGTCACAGGGTCCACCATGGAGCAGCGGTCTCGTTGCTTTTCCATCATTGAGTTCACTTCACCCTCAATTGCAGCCTGTGGACGCAAAATTTTGACAATAAAGCGCCATGAGAGAGTTAAATGGTTTCATTTGTTTTGGCCATATCATTTGATGCCGGATACCAAACTTCCTCCCGAACGCACCAAAATCGAGCTGAGACTATCTTCTAGAGTACCATGATCGATGTTGCCCGTAATTGATTGCTGTAGCACTGTCACATGCTCCTCCAGCGCCGCCATGTACGCCGTCGCTTGTCGAAATTCGCTCATCGGATGCGATCAAAAGACGAAGCGATTGGACAAAACAAATGTCACTAACGGACAGGGCTACATTACACATTGTGACCGCTGTGTAAACGATCCAGTCAGTCGTGGGACCGCCCGTGCAAAAGACATTTAACGCACTGATAATCAGGACACTACCGTTCTGTCGCCAAGCTCTAAGCTGGTCACTGCAGCGGTCGATCTCGTCGATCAATCACCCACCTACCAGTGCCACTGCAGAAGTACCTTCAAGCGCCGAAAAGCTACTCCACGCACCGTTGACGTCAACGGCTGGTGGTCAGCATATACCTTTGACCAGCTGGTACGCCTTTGCGGTGTTCCGGGCGCGACCACAGCTGAGGTTCTACGTCACGAGTCAGTCCGACGTGTGTACGGTCGATTGTCGTACTAGCAGCGTACCCGATGTATGACCGCAGTACTATCAATTCATCCAGTCTTTCTGACAACCAGCTTTCGCACTGGCGTCAGCATTTCCAAAAGGTCGGCCGGCAATTGCGCCAGTGCTTGCATCAAAATGAACGAAATCGAGTCATTCTTTTGATTCCTTCTTGTGTGCTGGCCTTCCTCAAACACTTTGGTAAGCGTTCCACAGCATTGCAGCTGTGAAAAATGAACGCTTTCTCGTAGCAGACTCAGCCCATTCACCAAGTCACCTGCCAGAGCTCCAGTCCCCTCTGCATCCAGCTCATTGACCACCATGTTAAAGCTGTTCACCGTTACAGTCGCCGCCACGATGCTCGTTGCCAGTGCTCACGATGTCTCACCTTCGACGCCACTTTTGCGAGCCACGGACGATGGAAGCATGCTCAGCGAGACGTCGTCCGCTTCAATGGACGGCACGGTCGCCAAGCCGCCTTTCGAAGCCAACACGTCCATCCCGGGCTGCCGTTGGTACGAGTACTTTGAACCCTGGTCTTGCTGCGGCGCCAACAGTTGCTGAGGAGTTTTCCGCTGGCAGCCTTCAACCACGCTTGTTCCCACCTGTCGTAACCTCCGACGAGCAGAATCAATGGTATATTCGTCCAGTCTTACGTAACCGCTCGCGAGGCGTCTCGACATGTTTGACATTTTTACTGCAATGGATTTAATTGATCCAATCAATCGTTTCATTCTATGCGACATGTGTCTGTTCGTCACATTTATCTTTTTTCTTTTGTTTTCGCACGTCAATCGTGTCGTCAGTCAGCAAAAGCTGGTTCTCACCTCACTCACCTCCCTCCCTACAAACTCCCATACAAAAGCACACACACTCGGACACTGCACACACGACACACACTCTTGCTTTTGTTTAGCGCGCAAAGCCCTTTCTTTGCGCATTCTGCCAAAAGCCATGAAAGGGAAACGCGGCCGTCGCACCGCGTCCGACGCGCATGGCGCACTGCCGCCACACGCCGTTGACACCTGGCCATGCGTGCAGGAGCTCTTCCGCATGCTACACGACGCCAACGCGCCTGCTCTGGGCGTCTGCCCCGACGGCTGCGTCACGCTCTGGAATCCCCGCATGGAGGACATCACAGGCTTTGAAGCTGAGCGTGTGATTGGCCATCCGCTGGTGGAATTCGTGTACGGCATGCGTCGGAAACAGGAGATCGTGGAGATTCTCGAGGTCTGTGTGGCAGCCAAGAGCTCGGAGCTGGAGCTGCGGCTGCCGCTGCTGACGACCACGGGACGGAACGCACAAGTGCTGACCAACATGACGCCGTTGCTGGCGGAAGACGGCTCTTGTGTCGGCGTCTACGGCGTCGGTCAAGACGTGACAGAGTGGGCGAGTCAAGAGAAACAGTACGCGACAGTGATGATGCAGGCCAATGCGCCAATCATTGAACTGGATAAAGAAGGCAATATCACAGTGTGGAACTCCAAGACGGCGTCCATGACGGGGTACGCTAGTGTCGACATGGTGGGCGAACCGCTGCTGCCTGTCGTGGACGAGAGTTTCCGCAAGATTGTGTCGGAGAAGATCAACCAAGCGCTGACAGGTACCCCCGGAGCAGATTTTGAACTGCCGCTGGTGACAGCGAGAGGATCGAGAGTGGAGATTGTATTGTGTCTGACGCCGAGGTTTGACACTCTGGGATCAGTCATGGGTGTTGTTGCCATTGGACAGGATGTGACTGAGAGAAACACGAAAGAGATGGAGTACAGAAAACTTATTGAGACGGCAAATGCACCGATCTTTGGCGTCGATACGAAAGGGCGAGTGGTGATTTTCAATGCCAAGGCGGCGCAAATTAGTGAGTACGCGCCGGAAGAGGTAATGGGCGTCGATCTAGTTGACACGCTGATTTCGGAAGAGTTTCGGCATGCAGTTGCAGCTGTTTTCCAAAGCGCCTTTCAGGGAACAGAGACCGCAAACTTTGAGTTCCCGTTGGTCACCAAGACTGGTCGAAAAGTGGAGATCCTGTTGAACGCAACACCTCGATATGATCATACAGGAAAACTCGTGGGAGTTGTTGGGATTGGGCAGGACATCACCGACCGTATCATTCAGGAGAAAGAGTACAGCCGGCTGATTGATACCGCAAACGCCCCTATCTTTGGTATTGACTGCAATTACAAAGTGATTATCTGGAATAAGAAGGCGGCCGCAATCACGGAGTACACGAATGACGACACCATCGGCCAGGAATTGTTCAAGTTTATATCCGAGGACTACCGCGACGCCGTTACTCAAGTGTTCTCGAGAGCACTCGAAGGAACGGGCACCGCAAATTTTGATTTTCCACTGATCACGAAAAGTGGGCGTCGGCTAGAAATTTTGCTGAATGCGACGCCAAAGTACGATCATTTCGGCAACATTAGTGGAGCCGTGGGAATCGGACAGGATATCACCGACAGGCGCGCTCAAGAGCAAGAGTATACGCGTCTTATCGATACAGCCAACGCACCAATTTTCGGTGTGGACGCAAATGGTTGCGTGAACATTTGGAACCGAAAGGCCGCTGATACGACTCAATACTTTAATGAAGAGGTACTTGGCGCTAACTTGGTTCAGAACTTTATCCCGGAAGATTATAGAGAGGCAGTATGGACAGTATTATCCCAAGCACTGGAAGGGCAGGAAACAGCGAATTTTGAGTTTCCGTTGATCACGAAGGATGGACGTCGCGTGGAGATTCTGCTGAATGCCACACCCCGGTACAATGAGAAGGGTGTTGTAATTGGTGTCGTAGGTATCGGACAGGATATCACCATTCGAATGGCGCAGGAGCAGGAAACAAATCGGCTTATCCACTCAGCAAACGCTCCGATATTCGGTGTGGATCAAGACGGGCGGGTAAATATATGGAATCTTAAAGCAGCAGAAATAACTCAGTATTCTGCCGAAGAAGTCGTAGGAAAAGACTTGGTCAATCGATTTGTTGCCGAAGAGTACCGAGCCACGGTCGAGCTGGAGCTCAAAAGGGCTCTCGAAGGTGAGCAGACCAAAAATTTCGAGTTTCCTCTTATCACCAAGACTGGAAGGCGGGTCGAGATCTTGCTAAACGCGACACCCAGATATGATGAGCTTGGTCAAATCTTTGGTGTCGTCGGCATCGGACAGGACATTACCGAAAGGATTGCACAGGAACAGGAACTCATTCGCTTGATTGATACCGCCAATGCCCCAATTTTTGGCGTTGACTCGAAGGGACGTGTGAACATTTGGAACAAGAAGGCCGCCGAGATCATGCAGTATCCGACCGATGCCGTCATGGGTGAGCACCTCGTGGAAAAATTTATCACGACAGATTACCAGGAGGCAGTGAGTTATGTGCTGTCTGAAGCCTTAAACGGTGTTGAAACTGCGAACTTCGAATTTCCATTGATTACTAAAGCAGGTCGAAGAGTTGAGATTCTTCTGAATGCTACGCCACGGTACAATGAACACGGAGCAGTCATTGGCATGGTCGGAATTGGACAAGATATCACGGACCGGATTGCCCAAGAGCAAGAGTACATGAGACTGATCGATACTGCCAACGCTCCAATTTTTGGTGTTGACTCTGATGGGCGCGTTAATATATGGAATCGTAAAGCAGCGTACATTACGCAGTATACGAACAAGGACGTGTTGGGTAAGGACCTTGTTGCTGAGTTTATATCTGAAGAGTATAAGGTTCCTGTTCGTTACGTTTTAGAGAAAGCCTTTCGAGGTGAGCAGACGGCTAACTTTGAATTCCCATTGATTACGAAATCTGGCCGTCGAGTGGAAATCTTGCTGAACGCTACCTCACGCTACAACGAACAAGGCGAGGTTATGGGCATGGTTGGAATTGGCCAGGATATCACAGATCGGATTGCTCAAGAGAAGGAATACATGCGCTTGATCGATACAGCTAACGCTCCCATATTTGGTGTCGATATCAACGGACGGGTGGACATCTGGAATCGCAAGGCTGCTGACATCATGCAATACACAACCGAAGACGTTTTAGGCGAAGATCTGGTCGCAGAGTTTATCTCGGAGGAGTACCGTGTTGCTGTCAGGCGTGTTTTGGAGAAGGCTTTCGAAGGTGTAGAAACAGCGAACTTTGAGTTTCCGTTGATCACAAAGGCTGGTCGACGCGTTGAGATCCTGCTGAATGCTACACCGCGTTACAACGAGCACGGTGAGGTGAAGGGTATGGTTGGCATCGGGCAAGATATTACTGAACGCATTGCTCAAGAACAAGAGTACAGTCGTTTGATAGACACGGCGAATGCCCCGATATTTGGTGTGGATGCCAATATGTGCGTGAACATTTGGAACCGGAAAGCAGCACATATCACGAATTACTCGATCGAAGAGGTCATGGGTGAGAATTTAGTGGAGACGTTCATCTCTCCCGAGTTCCGGCCTATTGTCGCTGAAGTGCTGTCTCAGGCACTGAGAGGTGTTGAAACGGCAAACTTCGAGTTCCCGTTGATAACTCGTCCCGGCACACGGATTGAGATCTTACTGAACGCGACACCTCGATACGATTCAAATGGCAACATTGTCGGTGTTGTCGGGATCGGTCAAGACATTACGGACCGCATTGCTCAGGAGCACGAGTATTTCCGACTGATTGACACCGCGAATGCTCCAATTTTTGGTATCGACACGAATGGTTGCATTAACGAATGGAACCAGAAGATTGAGGAGATCACAGGCTATCATAAGTCAAGCGTTCTTGGTCTTTCGCTTGTTCATACATTCATTACACCGGAATGTCGACAACAAGTTCGTCAGCTACTCAACCAGGCGCTGATCGGCATTGATGTAGGGGAAATGGAGCTTCCAATGACGACGAAGCGTGGTGTGTTCTTACTACTTCTTGTAAACGCATCAAGTAAGAAAGATATGCATGGGAATATTCGTGGTGTGATCGGTGTTGGACAAGATTACACCGCAAGGAAGCACATGGAGGCTGCTAAGGTGAATTTCTTGGCCTCGTTTAGTCACGAGCTGCGAACACCGCTAAACGGCGTACTGGGAATGTTAGAGCTGCTGAAAGAGCAAACACTGGACAAGGCACCAGAGCGGTATGTACACATGGCGTATGTATCCGGGTCGCTCTTACTGAACCTGATCAACGACATTTTGGATTTGTCGAAGATTGAGGCTGGGCACTTGGAAATTTCTGCTGCACCTTTCCGAATGCACGAGCTACTTGATTATTCAATCGAGATATTCAATTTCAAGGCTCGAGAGCGCGGACTCAAGCTTGAGTTAAAGTGCGACGACAGTGTTCCAAAAGTCGCAATTGGTGACGTTGTGCGTCTGCGTCAAGTGTTGTTAAACTTGCTGTCAAACGCGATAAAGTTTACGAATGAAGGCTCAATCACGGTAACCTGCAGTGTTGTGTATACGCCTGAGCTTCCAAAGGCGTTTAAGAAGCTTCTGTTTCAGGTCATCGATACAGGCATCGGCATGGATGCAGAGGAAAAGATGCGGCTATTTTCGCTGTTTACAAAGCTGGAACGTACGCGACAGAACAACCCTACGGGCTCTGGACTGGGCCTCGCTATTTGTAAGCAGCTTGCGGAGCTTATGGATGGCCAAATTGGTGTCGACAGTGAACTTGATGTGGGTAGTAACTTTTATTTTACGGTGGTTGTTCGATTGCTTGACAACGTCGGTACCAAGGGGATATTCTATGCGGCAAACGACCTGCTACCGGACGCAGCTGTTTCCGGACCTTCTGATGGGGCCATTTTAGATGTGGACTCAAGTGTTAGCTTGGCAAGTGCGACTCCTGGAAGTGTAGCGGCAGCAAACAACGCGAAGGTAGTGGTTCCGAGACAGGCCAGAATACTGGTGGCGGAAGATAACGAGTTCAATTGGGAAGTAGTGAAGTGTTTCCTGCAAGATGCGGACCACTTTTTGCAATGGGAAGTGAACGGTCGAGACGCGGTGAACGCTTACACCGAAGACCATACCAAGTTCGACTTAGTCTTTATGGACTGTGAGATGCCTGTGATGGATGGATATACGGCTACGAAAATGATCCGTCAATTTGAACAGGAGAACGATATACCGCGTATTCCCGTTCTGGGGCTGACCGCCTACGCCATGAGTGGAGACCGGCAGAAATGCTTGAGCTCAGGTATGGACGAGTTTATGGTCAAACCTATTTCGAAAAACAGTCTGCTTAAGGCAATACGGCAGTGGATGCGAGTTCGCTACCTCGGTTCTAAATCTTCTGGCCCATCAATCGCTGGATCGGACGATTACACCCGCGCAAGATCCGAAGGCTTAAACGCTTACATGATTGCTGCTCCATCAGATCCTGTGTCTTCACCAGCTTCATCCAGAGAGGACGAGCTAGAATTCGTGCCGTCGTCATACCCGACTACTTCACTAACACCGTGCCCGTCATATGATAGCGAAGCTGACGATGGAGATCTTCTCAGCGCGCCTCCAATACCAGATACAAGGCTCGCCCCTGCCTCACGTCACATGCAACAGCTCGATCTTGCGCGCGCAATCTCGAATCTGGAGTTAGATGACCCCATGGCTATCGGACGTCAGGTAGGCCCTACTGTGCGCACTGCAGTTCCTACAACGTCGATCTTTAGCTTGGGCTCGTCGGTGGGAAACAGCACTCGCTCTAGCAGTCTTTTGACTCTTCAGCGGGACAATGGTGGGGCCATCGATAGTATTCCTGATTGGAAACAAATCAACAAGACATCCGCAACCTTGCCGAACATGAAGGACCAGCCGCTGGATGGCACAGAGACTTCAGATTACGTGTCCTCCCACAGCAACCCGACACTTTGGAGCCACCCGCCTTTCATGTGCAACAAAAACGAGTCCGTACCATCGGCTTCGTCTTCCCAGCGACCCATGTCACCGAGTACTGCCTCGGATGACAGGAGTTCTCGGACTAAAGCAGGGGATGAAGAAGGCCGGAATGGAAATGGCCTACAGCGCTTCAATTCGGACAAGAGTTCGGGTGAGCATCCGTCAGGCGATCCCGTTGCAGCTATGTTACAGTGCCTGAAATCCGGCAGTTCAGCTTCTGGAAGTGATGCTGTGGGCCCGCCTTGTGTCGACCATGCGATAGGTGTTACTGCAGAGAGCAACGGCGCAATGCTCCTATCGATGATTCCAGCCAATATTGACATCCCCGAGGGCGACCCAGTTGACTATTCGCTAGGTGTTGAGCAATGTGGCGGTCACGAAGAGCTCTTTTTGGGCCTGCTGGAAAAGTTCACAGTGAGCTGTGATGCTATTATGTCGCGCATCGTAGCGGCCTATGATCGAGACGATATCGCAATTACCCGACGAGAATCCCATTCGCTCAAAGGGTCTTCAGCGTACGTTGCCGCAATGCGTGTTTCGAAGGCGGCTTTTCGCGTTCAAACTGCATGTGAACAGCTTCAGAGGTACGAATCGGACGTTAGCGCACATCAGGAGCTGATGGCACCACGTGGCACGACGGCGTTGCTCTCACTGAAACAGTCATTGAGCGATTCGATCACCGTACTCAAGAAAGAGCACAGACACCTGCGTGGATACCTCCGCCGTAACTTCGAGTTTCGTGGTGACGGCAACGCTTCCTCTGCTGCGGCTTTGCCAGTCCAAGGTTCAGCGCAAGACCGTGCTAACGGACCCTGTGCGGTCATGTAAGACACGGACAAACTTTCATAACCCACTTTGCATTGCTTTGTTTGTAGAATATCAACATCAGCTGAATTACTTACGCTCATTCTTTAGCACTACTTGCCGCCGCTTAAATACTAACCGAGGCGATCTCGTGAGAGAAGACCTGCGTCTCCAGGAAACTACGGTAAAATGATTGCTCCCGCGATGGCAGATGGCGCACGAACGCGATACGATCAAACACCACGACGTAGTCGAAGTCGTCCGACAGCACAAACCGAAACTCTTCCACCGTTCGCAATAGAGCTGCGATTGCTTCGCGGAAAAACATGCGCACATGACCTTGTGGAAAACACTGCAACGTCGAAGCAACTGTTTCGTTCTTGGTGACCATGGGCACAAAGTCGCTGTAGTAGACTCGAGGCTTCAGCAGCTGAAGCAGTCGCGAAGTAAGTGGACCACGAATCGATTCAGGGAGCTGCGGTCGCCCAGGAGAACTCATTGTGTCCGCATCTAGATCCACCACGACAATGCTATCACCACAGCCCTCTCGCTCAAGCATCTCGCGCAACTCCCCGCGATAACTTGCATGGACGCCGAATAGGTACGGCGTGGGACATTGTAAGCATTCAAGCATGCTTTTGGGTAGAATGGGTGCAAACACGTGACTCCACTCCAGCGGCGCAATCAAACTCTTCAACGTCTCTCCGACTGCTGTCAGCACTGAATATCGCGAACTGACAAGCACAATTTGTCGCTCGAGCAGCATGCACGTGACCAAAGCAACGACGTGCTCGACTGATAAACAGCTGAAGATTTCCTCCATGCTAAAATCAACAAAGTCGTCTAGGGCCAAGGTAGACGTCCCATCGTCTGGGGAGATCATCGTACTGAAATCCAATGGACAAAGCAGACCGTCCATCTGTGCTACGGATGGCAACCAATTGACGTCAAAGAGGTATGACTCGTCGTCCTGCATGGCAGTGTGCAGCAGGTCCAAACGCTGTTTAAGCGTGTCTAGAATCGGGTATCGGCTGATGATGCAAATTCCCGCTGGAACGTATACTTCAAGTCCCTCAGTCTCCTGCAACACTTGCTCCAATGGACCTAACTTGCTCGAGTCGTTCAACGGAACGTATCGTGTAAGGCAGGCTCCATAAAACGCTTTGTCAGAATTACCAATCGTCATGTGGAATAGTGAAGGTTTTGGCCGGACTGTCGAACGCACAACATCAGCTCCTGAAGGTCGAAAGAAAGCTTCGACATGGTCCGGAATTGCGTGGTGATGGTACAAATCGCTGCAGCTCTCACTGCGGTTGCTCGATCCTGCAAGCGTGTGTAGGACTTCCTTGATCAACCCTGGGTGAGATCGATCATTCACATCCAGCCGGAAGCTCATGACTGAGCTAATAAGTGACTTGCTCTGCAGTTCGCCGCGAAGTTGACCTTGGAAAAGGTCTCGCAACGTGAACGATTTACTCCGTACTCGCTGTGGTTGATGCGACGGAACATTCATGCATTGGAACAACTCTTGCAAAGTCGTCATACTGCTGTCCGAAGCTGTGCTGGAGCCGTCGCACGCCGTAGACGTAAGAACATCTGGTGATCCCGACGGACTGAGCAAACGACTCTGGTAAGATGCCACCAATGACTTGAATGACTCGCTGCCCATGAAGCGCACAAAATGATTGACCTTGAGGTCTGCTTCAATGACACCTTGAATACGCTCCACCGTTCGGTGTAACTCCTCAGCATCGGCCAGTGAAAAGCTGCCAGCTTCAAGACAACAGGCTACTTGCACCTCGTAATCATGCAGCAGAGCCTGCTCTGCCTCGCCGACAAAAGTGACGCGCGTGCTAGCATTCACAATCAGGTACTTGGCTGCAATGCGACTGCCCCCTGCCAGAAGCTGCTCGATGAGCTCTCCAGCTTGTTGATCCTCGGTATCGTCTGACTGGTCCTTGTTCCATTGCTTCTCGTCTACACGGTCAGCATCCGCCTGTACCACGTGAATAAAGTCTTCCAGCACAGGCAGCAGCTGATACCGGAAGTCCATCCACAAACTCAGCTGCTGATGCGTGCGTTCTTTGAACAGAAACACCCAGAAGACACTACACAGTCTCCGGTTCCCGAGCACTCGTTCCAACGTCAAGAACGTCGTCGCTGTGCGTTGTCTACGGCCATGGGCATGTCCTGTCCGAGTGCTGGCAGTCGACACCGCTGGCGACGCCAGCCTCTTGTTCAACAAGGATCGCGGAGACCCTTGTCCTTCCACTTCTTGCTGCTGCTGCTGCAGTGGCTCAGCGTCGTCCGAGCTCGCGTCCAATTCATCCACACCAACGTACGTGAGATGAGAGCTCGCTACGAGCGCGGCAAACTCAGGCGCGGCTGCAAACTGCTGGAACAGCGGCTGCAACACCTTCTTCACAGCGTCTTCCGCGTCCTGGAAAAGGTCCGTCTTGGCCGCCAGACTGTTGTAAAGCATGAGGTCGTTCCGAAGCAGCTTGCCAAAGCTCGCGACCGATTTGTCCAAGATGCGCAAGTTCTCGGACGCAATGTCCAGGAACGCGTCAGGGCTCATGAACTTGGTGATGATCTTGCTCGCGTATTGACAGCGATGGACCTGCGCGTCCGCCACGGCCTCGTCGGACCCAGCAGGGGACGCCAGCACCTTCTTGAACTCCTCGACGCTCACGAGGAAGAGCAGCCGCGCAAAGCCCTTCGTATTGGACGTGGAGAGGTGCTGGAGGAAGAGCGCGTGGAGGTGCGGGTCGGCCACCACCGAGTCCAGCGTCACGCTCGAGCACACGTCGTCGTCACGGGGCATCGGACCTAAGCGGCGAGAGTCGGACTGAGCGACTTAATGTGCGGACCACGCGATGGCGGGTAAAAACAGGCGGTCGAGTTCTTCCGCAGTAATTCATGTCGCGAGCGGTCGGGCGAAAGTGATACCCTCCGACAATTCATAAGTGGAGAACAGGGCAGATGGTTGTTTTACTAAGCTGTAGGTCCTGACCTTGCGGGAACTTGTGATCCTTTATACATGTGCTGCAATGAATGTAGCTTCGACTACGACTGGGGCGAGTGGACAGACTGGAACTGACTCGGAGTGGACTACTTGACTGCAACGAGCTTCTAAAGAGCACGATTTCTGATGCGCCCAGTGGGCGGTCAAGAAAGGTCTTGTGGTGCGACGGACGGACGGACGGAAGGACGACGCGTTAGTAGTGGATGCACAATAGTTGGATCAGTCAGCAACAGTCGCCGCGAAAACGTGGCAGCTCCGAAAGAGAATGGAGCCCCTGCCGCCACGTCGGATCAGGCAACGCGTGTGCACACACTGGACAGTAGGAGGAAAGAGCGAAACGAAAAAAAATCGGACGAAGCCAAACGTCGTTTCACGGCATCAGATGCGTCGTCACAAGGGGCGGGCGCTTGATTGTGGCATCAGGTCACGCCGCCATCACCATCCTCCGCGCCACCTCACGCACGATCCCCATCTCCTGGGTCGACTGAAAGTCAACGACATCGTTCATGACCTGCTCTTGCTGTCGCGGCGGCATCAATTAATCAATTGACAGACGATGGTATGACAGCTGCAGCGACTGTCATGGCGTCAGTTCTTCTGAGTCTTAATACTTCTTACAATGCGCTGAACGACGGAAGCAGCTGCCGCTCCGCATACATAGCTGATGTAGAGACAACGCTTTGACATATCGACGGCGCCCAATTTTATCGTGGACAACCTTGGGTGGGGTGTGCCAGACGCATCGGTATTTCGTTTCGTCGTTTGAACCCCGTTCGAAAGCAGACTTAAACTCGCATCTGCTCATGAGACAGTCTAGTACGGAACTTCATCTCCTTTTGTCACCCACCGATTTGACCATGAAACGCATACACCAGATGCAAGTAGACAGCAGTGTGCGTCGATTTGGAATTGCTACATTCGTATTGCGTACATCTCCGACCGTGACTGTACACTTCCGTAGCTATAGCACCTTCTTCATCTCGTTTACATGTAAAGGAGGTCGACAATTCACTGTGAAGATCGTAGTGATAGCACAGACTTCAGAAGCTGCTCTTGTCTACAGGAGGTTCTTGGCGCAGTGGACGCGGGCAACGTTGACGTCCAATGCTTCAAGCCATGCTCATCACCAGTCGTACTCGTGCGTCAGCTAATCTGGTAGGTCAACAGCCTGATTTAGAGCTTGAGCTCGGTAAAGAGGACGCGTCCAGATTGTCTGCCACCCAGTCTATAAGAGGTAGGCTGAGATCATGCGCGTTTGCGTTGATGGACACGATTGCTTCGATTGAATTTGGGTACGCACGGATACACTTCGCATTGTCGATGGCTGTCTATCATTCAACGTGCCGATGAAGCTTTGTGCCACGTATTGACTACTGACAAAAGCGTTCATGTATACCCGATACAAGCCATGAGAGTAGCCTACAGCTTTTTTACCCGTAAAGTCGGTCTTTGCGCCGCCTCACAAATCCTGGCCAACTTGATTAGTAGCTCGTTGTCATGGATATGCTTGGAAAAATGCTGCGCTGCTGTAGCTGGTTAACTACACTACTGTCTTGGAAGTAAGGAGCGGGTAGCATCCTATGTCTCCACTAACCGAATGCACTGTGTTGTTTCTTTTGCGAACATTACGATCATCGGTCCTCTCGCTGATAACTATACCGGACCGGTAGAGTGCGACATTCGAGTCATATGAACGTCTTGCTGGAGCGGAAGTAACAGCTGTGATCGAAGTGAACATGACCAATCCCTACCAATTGTTGCAGCAGCTCATTTTTGAGCCGGCTGTACATGGTCTCGAAGTCCTCTTGGGCACATCTCATCAGGAGTTGCAAATGACAACGGGATGACGCAAAATCTGATTATTGGGCACCGTATGACATACGGACGCTTGACAGCTCCCGACCTTACCTCGGATACAATCTGGCAGTACCGAAGTCGTTTGCTTTCGTGCAGTACCCCAGACGCACCGAATCCTCCACTTAAGGGTCTCCCGATCTACGAACCGGTGGGGCTCTGGCCGTAACGTGGTTTGTAGTAAGACTGAGAAGGCCAAAGCTATCCGAGAAATGAGGCGAATTCCGCTACGGCTAGAACTCACCTCTCACCAACCTATGATGCTTCAAGGCGCAGCACTGTGCCTACAACGATAGACTTTGGCTGCTGCTCGTATTATGATAGTACTCCCGCGGCACTCAGGTGCCACCACCACGTGCACTCGTTTACTCGTTACGCTACCAGTTCCTACGCAACCTCGTTCATATTGACCGTCCATTACTTGCAGAAAATTCCGTTCAGCTCGAAATCTCCACCGTCTCCAGCACTAAACAGTCAGTCGCTATTGGGCTCAGCACTGCAACTGAAAGTTAGTTGCTGACTCGCGCTGACCTTCCGGACTTGGGGACATCATGTCAAAAGCTGTCGAAACATTAGTTGAAACCTCGACTAACCTACTGGTTCTTGGTCGTCGCCTTTGTGTTAGAATTGTGATGTTCTTAGCCTAAGAGCTCTCCACTTCTGCCCTAGGTTCATTGCACATACGATGTGTCCGAAGCAGCTTTACCAACTTTTGCCAATTTCCCCTCGTGATGTGGTTATCAATTTTGTAAGCGCACCTGACACATGATCTGTAGTGGACGCGGGCGCTACGATGTATGCACAAAGTGGTACCTGGTGTCGTCAATTGAGTTGGTTTGCGCAGCAATCTCGGCCAGTTTCTCAGCTGTTGCAATATCAGCTCGATTGTCATTGCAAATAGTCGTGTTGTCTTGGTCAAACGTGCTCGTACTGAAGGTGCCAGTTCCATGGTACTCAAGCGCAGTGTGCCAAGCAGTGTAGTCTGCTTTACCATGAGTTGACGTCACAATACGCCGCTTCCTGCTACTTCGCGTGATTGTTCATTGATTTGACCCCGTGGTGTTGTGCTGCATAGTATGTCTTAGCACTATGCAGAACAAGATAGGGTGAACAGGGAATATACTCATACAGCTCCATTTACCGTCTTCACTCTGTTGGAGGCGATTGTATCAATGGTGCTTCCCGAATCGCACTGACGCCGCGATGTCCAAATCATGCATTGGGGCGTACAACATCGTATTGGACGTGAATGGGTATCTTACTCGAAGAAAAAGTCATGAAACCACCTAGCCGATCTACGATTCAACAGACGCCGGCATAGATCACAACATCCTATGTCAAACGCACAATCTGGAAGACACGTGCTGTCTACTTAAGCTGCAGCGGATTGAGTACAAGCACGAGTCCACAATGATTGAGCGAGCATGTGTGGTCGTCATTGACGAGCTCCTGCAGGTCCCATCAGTGGGAACGCTGTCGACATGCGTGAAACTAGACCCTGCATCACTGCACAAGAATACTGCCGAGGTTGAAGGCGAAAGTATCATCAAGTACAGGGACGAGCTACACTTCGCAGTCTTGCAAGCTGCAAGCAAGAGAGGGCGGCGAAAGATTGTATTATAAGGTCAGCCGGTGCCCTCCGCAGACTACAAAACATGCTTGTTAAGCTTGGACTGAACATGTGCGCGATATCTTCAGGTTTAGGAAGTACGTACCTTTTCGTTCAACAAATGATGAAGCGTTCATCTCGAAAGTTGAACCTCTTTTGGTGTAAGTTCGCCGCCAGGCGTATCATTTGCAAGATCCACGATAATAGTAAAAAGAATAACGACCTCTCTCGACCACAATTTGACACGGTATGAACATTGTTGGCGTACGGTCTTCTGCAATAATCAGCTGCTCATGCTGCTCTCAAGAGAAGCGTACAGACGGGCACATGGTCACGGCAGTCTTGGCTCAATTCCAAGCCTGAAAGTGATAAGTATGCATTTGACTTTGCTAGGGCGACACAGTCTGGCCTGGACTCGGGACTCGTCCCGGCTCGTGAAAACTGGAAACCGAGGCGACATCCCTAGTCGATACCCGGGCATATCCTCGTTCACTCCGTTGCTCTCCCACGTTACCGAACAGAGACTTGAAAAAGTCAAAGAGGATACTAACCGGACAACACACGACTAGTTTTGCCTTGTGCAGCCATTCGCGGCTAAGCCAAGCTAGATACCCGTCTGTTGCTGTCGTCTGTAGCACCTCCTTATGGGTTCCAAAGAGCTGCACTACTGATCCAGGCCATACATCGCCTTTCTTAAGCACTTTGCCTCGATGAATTAGTCTCGCTTGCTTTCTGCATTGCAGTCACATAGTCCGGTTGACAAACCGCTCATATCTCAAAGCTATTTCACATTACGTACAAGCTGAAGAGTGAGGCCAGAACTTTGGCCGGGTCGTCCACTGTCCATATGGACACGTTCAGAACGTAGACGGCATTGCGAAAGCGCACGAACGCTGCTTTAGGGGCAGCTGCATCTTGCAGCTGAGTCACCCGTTTCACTTGGACGCGACAGCCTGGACATTGATTTTCATTGACAGCCAAGCACGAACACAAGCAGGAGAGACAGAATTCGTGCGAGCAATCGGTCAGACAGCGGGCGGTGACGTCTACAGGCAGGGGCTGGTCGCACACAAGACATGGCAGCATTTCATCGACCATGATGTCAAAGGATACTAGCGCCGAACGAGGTTTTTTGCACTACGATGGTAAATTACGGTCTTCAGCTCAAGTACTTTCGTGCTATTGCCTACCGGTTCTCCAATCGGTATCTGAAAGCGAGTTGATGCACCTTGATCGGCAACATAAGCGTGTGAAAGAGAATACTACTAAAGAGAATAGTATCCAGGTCGACCTATTATTGTCAAACGCTAGTAAATATACCGATGGCCATATGGGCCGAATTCTATAATTAGAGGTCACCTAGACCATAAAATACAGGATAGCAGGTTGCAGTATCCGTCTTCCAAGTCAGCTTCATCGACACAAGCACCCCCTCACGAAATGCGTTGCATAGCCCACATCTTGTGGGTGTTTGTCTTACCTCTATTGTTGGAAGCTAAGATCTTGCTACATTCAGTACAGTCTCACTAAGAGAGCTAGCGCTAAGGCAAAAGACTCCGAGTCCGAATGCACTTCGCTCGCACACACTTCCGCCTTGTGTAAGGCAAAAAGGCAGGAATTAGCATAACTGACTCGACTATCGATTCGTTGAGACTTCAACGATGTTTAGTGAGGAGCGCCATGTAGTATCATTTATCTAGGCTAAAGGTTTCGAAAAAGGTAAAGTCGACAAGACATTTGCGTCATAGTGGGCATAGTGGTGATAAAAATAGATCACCGCTGTGCCAATTATGACTGACAGTATGGTTCGTTAGGAAGTGAGACTCTCAAATGGGGCAAGAATATTCCCATTGTCGCACGAATTTTGCACTTCAGCAAAATTCTAATGCGAAGTGGAGTGACAAGCTATAATGCGCAGACCGCGCTTTGTGAGTGAGCGGTTTACCCATACAGTGCGTATTTCACTTCACAAGGACACAACTGCCACACTTATATTTTTTTCAGTATACGCTATACAGTATCAAATATGCATCCTTGTGTAGTCGATCTTAAGAATAAGATAGGATAGCAATCTCTAGAGCTCGCCATTTGGTATATGTAATCAGTTTGAAGAACTGAATCAGGTTGCAAAACACAATGCAACAGCAGCAGTCGCCGAAAGAGTAGTATGGTGCTGTAAATGTCTAAATTAACCGAGTAGTATGCTCACGCAACGCGGTCAGCCTTTGCCCTGAGCGTCTAGTGTTTTCTTACATGATAGTATTCACCTTTGATAGATTTTAAGCCATTCACGTACGTTGGTCACAATAGTGACTTTGACAAAGAGTGAATGACTATGCTTATATACCTCTATGGGGGGATAGGCTAGATCGCATTAATCCGTGAAAGACACACCTAGCCGCGTTAATGATCGACAAACACATGCAGATAAGTACGATGTGAAAAAATTGGCATTCACCTTGCGCACAGTCACTAATATCTTCACCCTTGGAGCTCGAAATAGTTGAATCAAAAAAAATTCTCTGGAGTACGACGCTGTCTGTTTGCAAGGTTAATTTTAGATAGGGGAGCAAGCTCTGAAGCTTCCCCTTTGATACAAGTAATCCGTCCGGAGAACTGAATCAAGTTACGAAACACTATACAACAGCAGTGACTGAAGAAGTAGCATGATGCTGTCAATGTCCGTATTGATCCATTACAGTAGGCAAAGATAACGTGATCGGCCGTTGCTTATGAGCGTCCAGCAATTATTTTTGTGATCACATTCCTCATCGAGCGATTTCTAGCCAATCATGAGTGTGCGTCACAATAGAGACAAAAGCACGACTAGTGATATACCCGGCTTTTGCTACGGGCAAAATTACCCGTCTAGAAGAATAGCATCAAATCAAAGCTAATAATGCAGAATAACGTACGTGTACAGTAAATCGCAGTTGTACGTAGATGCCCCCATATGGATTGCTGGAACGGTTTAGATTATAAAGTTGTGCTCTTAATTGCACTTGCGCAAATGTAGTAGAAAGAAAACGGTGAAATTTATTGAGTGTTAACCTCCTTCGTTTACTCCGTACACCATGTGATCTTCCTGCAGTGCAACTTGACCAGGTAAAGTTACAGATGGCGTGCGTCCAGTTCACACGTCTCATACGCTGGTCCCACATGTCGACCGTCTCTCCCGGTCCCATCGCCACGGCAAATTGGCGGTACCATGTGGCGTCAGTCTCTCTTCGTTCCAACTGTCACGTGGTCGCAATCAGGACCAATCAGGTTACGTGTAACCTTACCTGTAGCATATCTTGAAGCCGTCGCTTGAACGGTTGATAAACTGTAAAAGTGAATTTCAATCAATCCTTCTTGATATCATCTTGAATGGTCTTCAGCTATAAAGGCTTTCGCAACTTTAAAATTCTTCGCGCCGGTAGAACCTTCGACAACAGATCCACGATCATGTCTTCCGACTGGACTAAACTTGGCTGCATCTTCATAGCTTGGGAGTAGTGGCATATAAACTTAAAACGAAAGTCGACGTTCTTTGTGCTAGGTGAACTCTTCTCGCTCTACAACAAGTTGATCGATGCTTAATAAACCGTCTACATCGATATGGGTTTAAAAGCCTTGATGTCCAGATCACCAAATCAATCCTTCAAATCCAGAAGTTCGCGACCTGCGTGCGACTGAGCAATAAACTCTGCTTCCATTGTAATTAGCGAGACAAGATTCAATTTTTGTTTACCAAGACATCATAGCACCATCCATGGTAAGAGCGGGTTCTAAAATCGACTTCAATCAGACTTGTCCGCGGCAAAAGCCACATTGATAGAGCTCTCAATATTGATGGCCTCGATCGAAGTACATGTGCTGTGAACGCATAGATTCAAGTACACTTCAGGTACCTTGCAAGACGCTTGTCCATCTCCTCTGTATTTGATCGTTGGCTCGTACGTCTATAATGTTGCAGAAATACTGAAAAACAAACATCCGATCGAGTGCAACGCGCAATCCAGAGCAACCTCCTGACGAGCGATTTAAAGTCTTTGACACTCGCGACTTAGGACTTGGAGTCTGACATTAACAACACCGAACCTTGATCATCATTTTCATTGCGTTCGTCGCCAATTGGCGATTGTACACCATTAGCTTTAGCCAGTTCACGCTTCTTCAACATTAAGTTGACGGTGACCTCTTGGTCTAGGACTTAAAATTTGCTGTCGTCCAATTTGACTCGTATTTTTAAAGAATTGTTTAAATCCCAATGTACTCGATCTCGAGAGGGTCCTTGAAGAATCGTCCAACGACGCCACTTGACTATACAGTCACCAGCAAATAGTCGGCGTAACACCAACAACCATTGTACTTGTGTCGGTTCGATTAATGGACAGCAACATGTCCGTCGTGCACTGTCTGAAATTTTACTCGGCCAACGTGTAGTGTAGAAGCTTGCTTAATAATCTATCGGTTTGCTACAAAACCCTTACAGGTATTTATTGATTCACAAGGCCAGCTGTATTTTTCGGCAATTTGATCATAGTCGAACGTATCTTGAGAAACTTGCATCCCACTTGGTATCTTCATGTAGATGTCGAGGTTCTCTTTTTGATCGGCCTTTACGTTTGCTTTTGGCACATCGCCGTGTCGTGTAGGCACATTCCATCTGTGAGAGAGAACAAAACAGATTTTGAATATTCCGAATTTCGCGGCTGCTGCAAAGGTCAAAGTGTAGTCTTCTCCAAACAATTGTTCGTTTCCGCACGCGACAAGACTGGCCGTGTATCGTTCGACCTTCTCATCGGCATCAATATTTACCTTAAAGAACCACTCGATGTGTAGTACGTGCGCATTTTACGACAGAACAACGACCTCCCACAGACGATTGTATTGCAATTAATTTAGTTCTTCCTTGATCGCCACACCCCAATTGCCCTTGCTATCACATCAGAGATCCCCAGAGTAGTTCTTTGGGTCTAGCTCTCGAACAACTTTTTTCAGACGACTTTACCAAAGTTTCTGATGTCTTTCTTTCGTGTAACAATGACACTATCTCGTCTTTGTCTTAAATTGTCGAGGCGTTTCAAATAGTCTGTCTCGATCGTGTCATCTGTAGATTGCAATTTCATCCTGACGACCGTGTCTATGTGTTTCATAGGACATTCTTGTCACTGTGCTCCTCCTGACCCTCGGTGCCATGTGACATCTTGTTTAAATATCTACATTGCACGTCTGTCAGAGTTTCCACGTTTGTTACGCGTTTGTTCATCACCACAACACGTTCAATTGTTATGAAGACCCGACATACCTTCATCTCATCGTCCTTTTCGATTATGATGGCCGGATTTCTTCGAGCACCTATGGACTTGTTTGCAGTCATTCAATGTATGATGGGGGATCCAAAGACTACGATGTCACTCATGACGGGTCTCTTCTTTGTAGGCATCTTGATAGGTGATGTGCCACCATCATTTGCCTTGGTGGGGCTTCGACTGAGGATGTACGTTGCACATTTTACATCATCATTCCAAACAGTTAAAGGCAACACACTTGGAGAAATATGCTTCGAACCATATCATTATCATGCGATCTAACCGTGTATTTTTGCCATTGCTAGCCTGTTTGTTGCGCTCGCTCAATAAACGAGATTAGCCGGCTTTCTCGTAAAACACATCCAGGAACTTGAACTCGGCCCTACCGTCTGTACGTAGAACGTAATGAGGTTCTTAAATTGAAGTTCGAAAGCACCTAAAAATGATTGAGTTGCATCGCAGTGGCATCACTGGTGTATCGGGGCACCCTGAAGCTTGTACTGATGACAGTACAAGCTACTTATTCTGACGACAGAATAAGGCGGTGCCTCGGAACTTCACGTACACTGGTACGTGCAGAGGAAGACGGTAAGAAGAAGCGAGTACTTGGTTAAAGTAAAAAGTAGAACTGTATTTATCATAGTTAATGTCTGTTAATAAACCACTGTTCATCCTCATCTAACTATGTCTGAATACAAATGTGCATATCAACTATCTGCTCACCACTCATTGCGTGCGTCTGTCGTGGCGTGTCTTCGTTGGTTGATATAATGGCCTATATCAACCAATTAGGAGCTACTCGTAAGTGCTGCAGAATATTTGTCCTTATGACAATATTCTGAAAATACAACTCTTACAGTTATATTCGATTTTCAAATTCTTATAAATCGTTATGTAACGATTCACCCCGTTACATCACCCCCCCTTAACCATCAGTCACTTTAGTGACTGATTGACTAAATGGATACTCGTCTTAAATCATTTGGGACAGGGTTTGCACTTGTTGGTCCGAGCCCACAGTCCATCAGTTTCATCGCATGGTGAACAAGTCCATGCGGTGCGCGAACAAGGCCGCTGAGAGCGCTTCTGCACGTCTCTGTGCAGACGCCGAAGCAGAAACCGCTGCAACCGATGTGTCGTCGGTTGCTAAAGCGTCTCAGTCTGTATCACCTGGTGATGCAGACGCTCGCCATGAAGACGATCATGTCTTCACAGAGTATGAGCTCGGTGTCTCATACTCTCCCGGTACGGAAGATGTATCTGTATCGAAGGCGATCGAAACCAAGCCGCCTGCCAAGCGTGGCATGGATGATGCTACGCGTCGTAGCATCTTTGGTTCATCTGACGAATCAGATGAACCATCGCCAAAGCGAAGGCGCTCGAGATCGCAAGACTCGGGCGCTCACAGTGGTGTCGGTTCTCCTATTGACACCACTTCGCAACGAGGTGCCAGTCCTTCTGTCGGCACATCGCAAGAAGAGCGGGACCGCAGTGTGTTGCGTCTCGCTCCCGAGAAGAAGGCATGGATGCCTCCAAAATCAGTCATGGATCACTTGTCGGCGACGACGAGTGATCGTTATCGAACACGGTTGTTCAATTCGTCAAGGATCCATCACCTTGACCCCAGCGCGAAAAACTATCGCGCTGAGAATGAATTTTTCATCGATGCTTTCTTTAAGCATCGTTGGTACAGTGGGAATCACAAACGTGATGGTCCCTCACTGCTTCAAGCGTGGAACGCCTACATCCATAACCTTGAGGATGTAGGTCGTGACGTTTGGAACGACAAACTTATCAAAGCTCGTTATAAGTTTGAGAAAAGAACCCCGACAGGTGCACGCTACAAGCTGCATCGTCTGTCAAGGGAGAAAGGATTACCCTGTCTCTCTTGGGGAGACTCGTGCCCATGTTGTGTGAACAACTCTGCACGAGCACCTAAGGAGGCTTACCTCCCTAATAGCCCGTGGTGGCGCGTACGTATCTCTAGTGAGATGTACGAAGGGATTGAAAACCTGAAATCCCTTTACGACCGTGCCGGGAAGACTTTCTCCGGCGGTCCTTCTGCGGCACAGGATGTGCCGCGTCGTACTGCTCGACCAGACCCAGTACGTCAACCATCAGTTGGGAGCGGGCTCCCAAGTATCCCAGGACGGGGGATAGCCGCGCCACCGGACGAGATAACTTGTCCGACGTCCGTTCACGTCGCGGTGGTTCAACAGCTGCTCAACTAGATAGCGCTGGCCACCGCGAGAGTCCTCTAATGGAGGTGGAGGAGGAGGGAAGACGCTCTCCACACAATCGTGGGGACCCGTGTGTTCCCGAAAGCTTCTTTGATCGCGTAACGCAAGCGTTGCGCGGCGATCTCGAACATGAGCGGGACAGGCGTCTCCAACTGGCGGACGCTGTATCGAAGCATCGAGCTGAGTTTGCCTTTGCTCAGCTGGAGAACGAGAGAGCTCTGACATCTCTTCGTGACGAGCTAAGGATAGCTCGTGGGATTGTTGATCGGTCTCGGGATGAGATAACCGCTCTTCAGACCCTTGTCGATGCCAACCATCGGGAGCACAAGTCTCTCTGCGAGATGCTTGAGCGCAAGGGCGTTCTTCATCGGAAGAAGCAGCGTACTGATGGCACGGCTTAAGCCGACCAACGTAAAACTTGGGATGCGTTCGCATCTTACGTGGCAACTCGATCGTGTATGCGTTGCCTAGGCGATGCAAGACACGAAATGGGCCGATGTACTTGGGTAGAAGTTTACTACTACCCAAGTTAGTCACTACATGCTTTGGTGGATTAACCGTAGACAGTAGGACTAAGTCACCTTTATTAAATAAAAGAGTGTTTGCCCTTCCATTCTTGTCAGCGTTTTGCTTTTGCTTATCCACCGCTTCGGCGATGGAGTCGTGCACAAAACGGACTACCGTTTCACGAGCCAGTATGAACTCATCTGCTAACTCGTTAGCTTCAGTGCGCTGTGAGTGCACTGCAGCGACATCAAACTTTTCTTCAGTGAGAGATTCCTCGCTCTCACTGGCATCATCTCCTTCGATATCGATGTTATCGATATCGACATCAAACGCGTTGACCTCTTCTTCAGAGCGTGATGAGCGTGAGCCAATTTGGTTTTTGCTCGCGCGAGTCTCTCCCCCCCTTAAAACAGAGTTACACTCTAGTAAGGTGGGTACACGCGGACGGCGTAAGCCATTCACGTAAAACGGTGTATATGTCGTGGACGCATGCACCGAGTTGTTAATGGCAAACTCTACCATTGGCAAGAACTCACTCCAACTCTTAAAGGAGTGTACGTATCCTCGAAGTATCTCTTCAAGGACACGATTGGCACGTTCCGTCTGACCATCTGACTCTGGATGATCAGATGTCGATATCTTCAAGCGCGTTCCGAGTGAATTGAACACGGAGCGCCAGAAATCAGCTGTGAAGCGTGGATCTCTGTCTGAAACGAGTTCACGGGGCAACCTATGAAGTCGGAAGATGGTGTCAATAAAGACACAAGCACAGCCACTTGCTATGATTGACTCTGGTACAGCCACAAGGTGTACCATTTTGCTGAATCTGTCAACAAAGACGAGAATACCCGTATTCCCGCGTGCGTCTTTGGGTAACCCGAAGACGAAATCCATTGAGATGGATTCCCAGCACTCAGCCGGAACCGGTAGAGGCTGTAAGGATGCACGCGGTGAAGGACTTGACTTCGCTCGTTGACAGACTTCGCATGCGCGAACATACTTTCGCAAAAACTGATACTGGCGGGGCCAGTAAAAGTCTCGACTCACCGTGAGATAAGTTTTCTCCCGGCCACGATGTCCTCCTATAGGAGCATCGTGATACTCGAACATGATCCGCAAACGCAGATCAGTATCATCTGGAATGACAACACGTGGTGTGTCACCAGAAATGGCTGTATAATACAGTAAACCGTCGCGAGTAGTGTATCGATCTGATGCAGATCGAAACGCAGACGATAATCGGTTCAACGATTCTCTAGATGGCTGTGAGAGAGGTGCCAACAACTTCACAATCTCACCATCTTGGGCATACGCCCGCCTCACATCATCATGTAACGTTGTAGATGGGACTGAGGACGTCATAACCGCAACAGTGGCTGTCTCACTGTTGGGTTTCACGACTGGTTCAAATTCGGGCCGACGTGAGAGTGCATCAGCGACGACATTAAGTCGTCCTGGTTTGCACTCTACCGTAAAGTTGTATTTTTCAAAGAATGACAACTACCGCGCCATTCGTTGTGAAAGGTGCGGGCTGTTTACTGCCGTGCGTAACGACGCATGGTCAGTGTAAACAATGAAGGGTCTATCTCCTAATAGATAGACTCTGAACTTCGCGAGTGCATACTTCATGGCAAGGAGTTCCTTGTCATGCACTGGATAGTTCCGCTCAGCTGGTTGCAGCTGACGCGACTGATAGCAGACGACGCGTTCAACGCGTTCAAGATCGTACTGCATTAATGCACAGCCGATTGCGAAATCGCTGGCATCACAGACCACATGAAATGGCCTGTCCTAATTGGCAATTGCTAGGACTGAAGATTGTATCAAGCAGATCTTGATACAATCAAAGGAGCGCTGACATTCAGCGTTCCATAACCACCTCTCGTTCTTTTTCAAAAAACGAGAGAGGTGCACAGTAATCTCGGCGTAATTGCGTGAATACTTGTGCAAATACGCCGCTAGCCCAAGAAATTTTCGAAGACCTTTGACATCAACCGGCACAGTCCAGTCGGTGATCGCCTAGATCTTTTCGGGATCAGGGCTTACTACGTTCTTACCAACGATGCACACAAGAAGTGGTATTTCGCTTGCTGCAAATATACACTTCTTGAGGTTTGCATACAATTGATGCTTTCGCATGATTGTAAAAACCTGTCGGACGTGGTATCTGTGAACCTCAATGTCCGACTTTCCATCCGTAGCTCGACTATGGATGAATACGTCATCGAAATAACTCGGCGCGAATTCTCGTACTGGTCTCAACAGATATGATACACATCTGTTGAACGTGGCAGGGGCATTACTAAGCTCTTGTGTCATTACTAGCCATTCCCAGAGCATGCCGCTAGGCGTGCTAACTGCGGTATAGGGTACATCCCGTTCTCGCATAAGGATTTGATAGAAGCCATCCATCAAATCCATGGACGAAAAGATGGTACTCTTTGACATACCATCAATGATTACGTCCTTCCTCGGTATCGGCGTCTGAGCCGGTACCGTTGCAGCATTCAACTTATTGAATGCATGCACTATCCGCCACCCTCCTGTTGCTTTTCGCACACAGAAGGTCGGAGAGATATGTGGGGAAGTTGATTCCCTCACATGGCCCGCAGCTAAACGATCGGCAAAGAACTTGTCGATCGCAAGTGCTTGTTCACGAGGCAGTGGCCACTGCTTCCTGACACAGTACTTCGCGCCTGGTTTAAGCTCGACCTCGTGCCGAGTACCTTTATCCTTCGGTGATTCGCACGGAACAGTTTCAGGGAATACATCCTTGAATTCAACCAAATCTTCACAGAGAGAATTTGTCTTGAGCGATTCCCACGATTGAGAGTCATATCGCTCAACTCGTGTCTTTTCATCTAGGACACTCTCGTCCATCGATGAACTACTGAGAACTCTCTCGTTCTCAGTAAACATTGTTGCCGACCTTATGTCGGCTACACACTCGTCGTCAGCGACGAATACGCAGATCTGCTTGACTCTGCCACTACGCAGATCACGCAAGAACCTTTTATGTTCGAGCGTTGGCAACTGAGTGATCTCCGAAGTCAACATCGGAGGCGCAATCAGATTAAGTGTGTAAGCGCCTACGCTTGATCCGTTATTGACTATGACATTCAATGTCTCTGTCATGTCCTGGGGACTTATTCCCTCAGGCCTCGAAGGACTTATTCCTTCGGCTTCCCGGGGACTTATTCCCGCGGGTTTCGGGGAACTTATTTCCGCCGTATTTGTTATATCGGGACTTATTCCCTTTACTTCCTCTAGTTGTGGTTGCGCAACCACAGCGAGATCCTCTACGAAAGACTCTCCAGTCGATCTAGGATTATCGTTTCGCTTAACCTGAGCGATCGATTGTTTCTCTTCTAGATGTTCCTCGCTAGGGATACATCTTTGTCCCGGTCCACTCGACTTATTCGAGTGGTGGACCTTCGGCGCAGCCTGTGTTTCCTCACAGCCGCCGGAACTTTGCTCCGAAGTGTAACCGTTTGTTACACTAAGGTTTTGTGCAGTCGTACTAACGACCGTACCACAAGTGAGGCCATCGCACTCACTCGTAGTACATCCACACGCTTGTGGACGCTCCAAAACGTTCATAAGATGGCCATCTGATGAACAAGCGGCAGGCATCGTTACCGTTCGATGTTGCCAGTTTACCCGTGGTTCGTACCTTCTGAGCCACGGTATTCCAAGGATGACATCAAATTTGTCATCCAAATCCAATACGATAAAGTCATCATCATATTGGGTATCTTCTAGCGTATAGTGGATCTTCACTATACGCTCCATGACGGTTACGGATGCGCCTGTCGCAAGACGTACCGTCATCCTCGTAGGAGATGTGTCACATTCACTGAACTTAAAGTGACCATCTTCTATCGATTGGAGTCGCAAAAAATTGTTGGACGCCCCACAATCGACTAGAGCTCGAAGGGACAACTTATTTTTCACTTCGAGTTTCAAGGTAATGAGTGAGATCTCATTACCTAGATCAGCAACGCACAACGTTTGTGTGTTGGGAGCAACCTTCATCAAGAGGCCCACAAATTCTCTTGACGTTGCTGGACCAGTAGGGTGCTCCGCACCTACTGATCCTGTCCGTTTTTTGACGGTCCATCCCGTTGTTGCGTCTTTGCACCAACAGTGGACCCGCGTCCCTGCCCCTTTCTCATAGGTGGACGGTCACTACGCCCAGTGTTGCGAGACACTGGACGAGGGGCACTACACTCGTAAGCGTAGTGTCCTGTCTTTTGACATCTGTTGCATCTCTGCAACTTCTTGTAGCCTGTAGAGCGAGCCTTCTCGCTCTCTACATAACAGAGTTCCATCGGCTCTGGACCTCCGTTGTCATATCGTCTCGGTTGACGATATGATGTCGAGCTCGCGCGAGCCTGTCTCAGACTGAAGTCTTCCTGCTCCGCAATGGAAATGGCTTGTTCTAGTGAATCTAGTTCAAGCCGGAACAGGTGAGTCTTGACGGTACCATCCGCAAGACCCTACATGAACACCGAAACCAACGTGTGTTCATCCACCGGATTGGAACTTATACAACTCGTGAGATGTCGTATATGTTGCGCGTAAGCGTGCACATCACGCTTACCTTGTCTGAGCTTCAAGAGTTCAGTTCGAGCACTGAACTCAGCTCTAGGCGGTTCAAACGTTTGTCTTAGCCGCGACTTGAAGACTTCAAACGACCCAAACGCATATGGGTCGTGCAACTTGAGCCCTAGTGCCCAAGTCCTGCCAGATTTGACTGGGCAAATGCAACTTGCATTTCCCCGTCGTCGATGCGACGCGCCCTTATGGCGTCGTCTAACTCGACGAGCCATCTCAAGAGGGAGTCCTCTTCGACTCCCCTATACTTGGAGATGTCAATCTTCAAAGTCTCGGGTCGACGCGAGTGCATCGATCCACCAGCAGCAGCCTGCTGCTGTCTCAACAGTTCAAACTGTTGAGCACCCTGTTCTCTCAGCAACTCTGCTTGTTGAGAACCTTGTTGGTGAAGCAAGGCTACTTTCTCGCGTTCAGCGCCAAGTTCATTTTAAATGAACTTGGCGATAGTAGCATGTCGGGCATCTCTATTGAGAGCCTCTAGCATGACGCTAACAGCATGGATGCCCATGGTTGAACACATCCGTTCAACCGCATCCCATTCGACATTGCTCAAATGGGAGTAGCCGTCACGCGTAGCGTGAAAGCTTTGGTCATCTTCATCATCCAACATGTTCATGTTAGATGTGAACGTGGTCCTTGGACGGACTACAAAGTGCTACCAGGTGTAACGGGGCACCCTGAAGCTTGTACTGGTGACAGTACAAGCACTTATTCTGACGACAGAATAAGGCGGTGCCTCGGAACTTCACGTACACTGGTACGTGCAGAGGAAGACGGTAAGAAGAAGCGAGTACTTGGTTAAAGTAAAAAGTAGAACTGTATTTATCATAGTTAATGTCTGTTAATAAATCACTATTTATCCTCATCTAACTATGTCTGAATACAAATGTGCATATCAACTATCTGCTCACCACTCATTGCGTGCGTCTGTCGTGGCGTGTCTTCGTTGGTTGATATAATGGCCTATATCAACCAATTAGGAGCTACTCGTAAGTGCTGCAGAATATTTGTCCTTATGACAATATTCTGAGAAGATTACTCTTATAGTTATATTCTATTAACAATTTCTTATAAATTGTTATGTAACGATTCACCCCGTTACATGCTGAGTTTCTGCACAAGCTCTTCCACATCAGTACTCTTCCCAAAGTCTTCACCATTGATCGGTAGCTTGCCCTGATCTCGGCGTTGCAACATTAGTTTCCTGAGGCCTCAATTCTAATGTGTGACCAAGAAGTGCAAGGGCATTCTTGGCAGTGGTCATGCATATTTCATGGAATACTGGGCTGTGGTAACAAGTTGTTATTGTTTTTTTGCAGCTTGGACAAAACCAATGAGCCATCTCAATGATTTTTATTCCCTTCTCATATCTTGCATGCAGGGACGGAGGATATTTTAATGAAACTTTGATCCAGTTTCCAGACGCACCACCAAACGTACCGTGAGCGCTTGAGTACCTAGACGACACATGTATCTATTCCTACACGGAAAAGTTTGTGGCGGCATGGACCAACGACGTCACGCACTTTAGGCATGCCGTTATCTCACGTGGTGATAGCGCTCAAAGCCGACTGAAAACGTACTTGGCACGAGCGTGCTTGATCTGTTGCAATGCTGCAAGAGAATCAAGGTGTCGATAGAAGGTTTTCTGATGGATTACCTTGCGAAACACGCCATCGATCCGATGCAGATCCCTCTCTTTGCGTACCCTTCCCAGAAGGCGGATATTATTTAGAAAGTCACAAAAAGCGTTTAGAATAGTTCAGCATCTATTTTGTTAATAAAATGTTGGTTGCAGCTGGAATTGGCGCGTAGACCAGTCCAAGCCAATGAAAAGCCATCCTCCCATGCCTTCACGACAGTATAGGGTATGCCATGACAGCATGGCTCAGCGAGTTGACCAGCGAGTATACGCGATTGATCTGAACGATTTACATCTTCACTGGCACGTTGCGGAACATGTCCCTCTTCTTCCTGAAGCTGTAATGATACCAGAAATCATTTGCTTGTGGTGTTGAAGCAAGTAGCCAACAACGTGACAACGTTTCTGGACCACCAACAAAGGGCACCTATTCAGCATCTACACGATCTGTCCCAGCAGTTGTCCTGTCCGACCAAGAAACGAGAGGTTGTGAGGACAAGGGACTCCAAAGCACCTCGAAAAAGAGAAATCCGTCTAGATTTGAATGCGTGGAACAACAGTAGAAGCAGGGAAAATGCTTGCGGGGTCTTCGGCCACCGCAAAACATCGAAGAACTGCTAGCTCAAAGCGCGCCTTCCAAGGTTGCATCCGCACTTCGAGCACCAGCTAACGGACAGCACCAAGGAACCCCCGGCTTCAGCATTCCGTTTGCACAGTTCCGCATGGCTACAATCGCTCTAGCTCCTCCTTCTGGGTTTTAGCTTCCGCGTGGATTTCAGCTTTTGGCACCGGATGAAAGCTTGTTCCTAGCTTCCCTGGGGTCCAATTCTCAGCCTGGCGCGATACTTGGGAATGTCGGACATCACGGTGATGGAGATCGAACTGACGACAGATAAAGTTGCTGTAGTGCTTGTCAGCGTCTCCGCGTATATTTTTAGGACCTTTCAAAACCTTTGTAGTTATTATTAGTCGTCGTCATTATTTAAGACGGGTGAGTGTGCCCGTAGCAAAAGCGGAGTATGCCCATAGCAAAATGGGGTGCACCCGTAGCAAAAGCGGAGTGTGCTCCTAGTCGTGACCTTTTTTTGCCTGAAATGATGTGGACGGAGATGGTGATGCACGAAACCAAGAACACACTAAATACTCGTTGTAACAGTTCGCGTGTTACTTTTAGTTCAACAACGTGCTGCCTGTACTATTGGACCGGTCGACTTGGACACTCTACATTTATCATCCCACGTCACTGCACCAGCTCGTTCGAGCTGTTGTATATGTGAAAGTTAAATTCATCAAATGTTACTCATCGGCGCATTCACATCACACGGCAGGAGCCGTTGTCTTTATCTTGACTGCCACGTTCACCAGAACTCACCTGAGACGCGTTTGACCTGGACTTGAACTCGAAGTTGCGGCGAAGATACCCGCGCAGTAGCCTCTGCTCCTTCGTGAGTAACCGCACAGAGTCGTCTACGACCTCCTTCGCAGCCAAGGTGTCGGCACCCTCGCCGTTAACCTGCTGTGCTATCAACCGCTCATACGCAACTTGAACGCGGAAGGCGCACTTGGACACGCGCAGGGCAGCGACATAGGCAGATGAACCCTTGAGCGAATGAGCCTCACGACGAGCAGTAGCAAAGTCGTTGCATTCGTGAGCTTTAATAACTCGGGACATGATGGCCTCCAACGTTGTCGCAAACTTCTCCAATAGCATCAAGAAAAGCCCTTCTTGTCCTCCACACTGATCCACTCCCAGTGAGTAGTTCACAGGGTCTCCTTCGGGGATCTCAATGGCCATCGGATCAATCGAACGCAAGCCAGCAGCTGCAGCTGAACCATCGTCGTCGACAGAGCTGCTAGTTTCCATGCGCTCCAAAAGTGATGGCATGCCACAACCACTACTTGTACTGTACGCTTCTTTGGTGCTCAATTGGCTTGATTCGTAGTCGAGGTTTTCGTGAAAGCTGACCTTCTTCTTCGGTGCGAGTCCAGACCAACAGACCGGTTCCTCTGTTGGTAGGTCTTTTTTATTGAACGGGGGATGGCTCCACAACGTTGGATTTATAGGCAACGAAGATCGCACTTCACCGAGAACTGAGCTTGTCGTGCCCTCTGCAAAGGGTAGTTTGATACAAGGCAGTGTGGCTGACGTCTCAGACGAGTGCTTCTCCTGTCCTGGGGGGCTCATTATTGTAGAAGTACAGCTAGTGTTCCTTGATAACCGGAGCAAATCCGGCAACTCGTTTGAGGTCGCCGTTCGTGACGCATTATTATTTACCGACGGCCCCAGGCTAAAGATCGAGGTCGTCGGTGTCGCTGTTCGAACGGCCCCGCCACTTTGCAGACCAATCGACATAGGATCGTCAAGCTCCAAATTCGAAATAGCTTGAGCGAGATCCAGTTGTTGCATGTGACGTGATGCTGGTGCGAGTCTAGCAGTTGATACTGCGCCCGTAAGTGTGACATCCTCGAGGTCACCCCCGAACGATGACGTTGAAGTGAGGGCATTCAGTGGCGGAATGGAGATTCGCACTGAGCTTTTAGCCATAGGATCAGACCTGTTCTGCAGATTCACAGGGTTTTGCGATCGACCTGTGAAACCAGGGACGTTTCCCAGTGCACCAGAGTACTCGCCGAGATAGCGAATACGCATCCACTGCCGAATCGCCTTACGAAGACTTAACTTTGAGATGGGCTTTACCATGAACTCGTCCATGCCACAGTCGAGGCACTTTTGTCGATCACCACTCATGGCGTAGGCAGTCAAGCCGAGAATTGGGATGCGTGGAAGATTGTGTTCCTGCTCATACTCGCGAATTGTAGCCGTGGCAGTGTAGCCATCCATTATGGGCATTTCGCAATCCATGAATACCAAATCAAACTCCGTATGGTTCTCACTGTAAGCCTTCACAGCATCGCGACCGTTTACTTCCCACTGCAGCAAGTGATCGTCTTGCTGAAGGAAACATTTCACTACTTCCCAGTTGAATTCATTGTCTTCAACGACTAAAATGCGGGCCTGACTTGGGACCTCTACTCGTACTGAGGACACTTCACTGCTGTCGCCAGCTTTATCCGGTGACAACAACGCCAGTGACGGTTCCGTGCAATCTCCACATGAGTAAAACGCGTGCTTTGGATCTACCTCGTCAATTAATCTCACAATCACCGTAAAGAAAAAGTTGCTTCCGACGCCCAGCTCGCTATCAACATCGATGGATCCATCCATAAGCTCCGCAAGCTGTTTGCAAATTGCGAGACCCAAACCAGAGCCAGTCGGGTTGTTCTGTCGCGTACGCTCCAGTTTTGTAAACAACGAAAAGAGACGCATCTTTTCCTCTGCATCCATGCCAATGCCTGTATCGATTACCTGAAAGAGCAATTTCTTGAATTGTTGTGGTAACTCAGAAGAGTGCACCACGCTACACGCAACCGTGATTGAGCCTTCATTCGTGAACTTGATTGCGTTCGACAATAAGTTCAACAAAACCTGGCGCAAGCGCACAACGTCCCCAATCACGACCTTTGGTACATTATCCCCACACTTCAGCTCAAGCTGAAGTCCGCGTTCTCGAGCTTTGAACTTGAATATTTCGATCGAATAGTCCAGCAGATCGTGCATCTGAAATGGTGCCGTCGAAATTTCCAAATGCCCAGCTTCAATTTTTGACAAGTCCAAAATGTCGTTGATCAGGTTTAGCAAGAGAGATCCAGACACGTACGCCATGTGTACATACCTCTCAATAGATTTATCGAGGGGCTGCTCCTTCAGCAGCTCGAGCATTCCCAATACGCCGTTTAGCGGTGTTCGCAGCTCATGACTAAACGAGGCCAAGAAATTCACCTTAGCAGCCTCCATGTGCTTCCTTGCGGTGTAATCTTGTCCAACACCGATCACACCACGGATGTTTCCATGCATATCTTTCTTACTCGACGCGTTTACAAGAAGCAGTAAGAACACACCACGCTTCGTCGTTATTGGAAGCTCCATTTCACCCACGTCAATGCCGATTAGTGCTTGGTTGAGTAGCTGGCGAACTTGTTGTCGACATTCCGGTGTAATGAATGTGTGAACAAGCGAAAGGCCAAGAACGCTTGACTTATGATAGCCTGTGATCTCCTCGATCTTCTGGTTCCATTCGTTAATACGACCATTTGTGTCGATACCGAAAATTGGAGCATTCGCGGTGTCAATCAGTCGGAAATACTCGTGTTCCTGAGCAATGCGGTCCGTAATGTCCTGACCGATCCCGACAACACCGACAATGTTGCCGCTTAAATCATACCGAGGTGTCGCGTTTAGTAAGATCTCAATTCGTGTGCCGGGACGTGTTATCAACGGGAACTCAAAGTTTGCCGTTTCAACACCTTTCAGTGCCTGTGACAATACTTCGGCGACAATAGGCCGGAACTCGGGAGAGATGAACGTTTCTACCAGGTTTTCGCCCAAAACTTCCTCAATCGAGTAGTTCGTGATCTGGGCTGCTTTCCGGTTCCAGATATTCACACACATGTTGGCATCCACGCCGAAGATCGGCGCGTTGGCAGTGTCGATCAAACGCGTGTACTCTTGTTCCTGGGCAATACGCTCTGTAATATCTTGACCGATGCCAACCATACCCATCACCTCGCCATGCTCGTTGTAGCGCGGCGTCGCGTTCAGTAAGATTTCTACACGACGTCCAGCCTTTGTGATCAATGGGAACTCGAAATTCGCCGTCTCTACACCTTCGAACGCTTTCTCAAGAACGCTGCGCACAGGCACCTTGTATTCCTCCGAGATAAACTCGGCAACTAGGTCCTTGTCTAGCACATCTTCATTCGTATACTGCATAATATCAGCAGCCTTGCGGTTCCAGATGTTCACACGTCCATTAATGTCCACGCCAAAGATCGGCGCGTTGGCTGTGTCAATCAGACGGCTGTACTCTTGCTCTTGAGCGATGCGCTCCGTTATATCCTGACCAATACCAACCATACCCATAACTTCGCCACGTTCATTGTAACGAGGTGTGGCATTCAGCAAGATCTCTACACGGCGGCCTGCCTTCGTGATGAGCGGAAACTCAAAGTTGGCCGTCTCGACACCTTCAAACGCTTTCTCCAAGCACACTACGCACAGGTACCTTGTACTCATTCGAAATGAACTCGGCTACCAGGTCCTTGTCTAGCACGTCCTCATTCGTGTACTGCATGATGTCAGCAGCCTTCCGGTTCCAGATGTCCACCCGTCCGTTGATATCGACACCAAAGATCGGTGCGTTAGCAGTGTCGATCAGTCGACTATACTCCTGCTCTTGTGCGATGCGCTCTGTAATATCTTGACCGATGCCAACCATACCCATCACCTCTCCCTGCTCATTATAGCGAGACGTCGCATTCAGCAAGATCTCCACGCGACGGCCAGTTTTTGTGATCAATGGAAATTCAAAATTGGCGGTTTCTACCCCTTCGAACGCCCTCTCAAGCACGCTACGTACAAGCACTTTATACTCCTTCGAGATGAACTCAACGACAAGATCTTTGCCCAGCACATCTTCATTGGTGTATTGCATGATGTCAGCAGCCTTGCGATTCCAGATATTCACCCGTCCGTTGATATCGACACCAAAGATCGGCGCGTTGGCAGTGTCGATCAAACGCGTGTACTCTTGTTCCTGGGCAATACGCTCTGTAATATCTTGACCAATGCCAACCATACCCATGACCTCGCCGCGTTCGTTGTAGCGAGGCGTCGCATTCAGCAGGATCTCCACACGTCGACCAGCCTTCGTGATCAATGGGAACTCGAAATTCGCCGTCTCGACACCTTCGAACGCTTTCTCCAGCACACTACGCACAGGTACCTTGTACTCATTCGAAATGAACTCGGCAACCAAGTCTTTGCCCAGCACATCTTCATTCGTATACTGCATAATATGAGCAGCCTTCCGGTTCCAGATGTCCACCCGTCCGTTGATATCGACACCAAAGATCGGTGCGTTAGCAGTGTCGATCAGTCGACTATACTCCTGCTCTTGTGCGATGCGCTCTGTAATATCTTGACCGATGCCAACCATACCCATCACCTCGCCGCGTTCATTGTAGCGAGGCGTCGCATTCAGCAGGATCTCCACGCGTCGACCAGCCTTCGTGATCAATGGGAACTCAAAGTTTGCGGTTTCTACCCCTTCGAACGCCTTCTCAAGCACGCTGCGTACAAGCGCTTTATACTCCTTCGAGATGAACTCAACGACAAGATCTTTGCCCAGCACATCTTCATTCGTATACTGCATAATATCAGCAGCCTTGCGGTTCCAGATGTTCACACGTCCATTAATGTCCACGCCAAAGATCGGCGCGTTGGCCGTGTCAATCAGACGGCTGTACTCTTGCTCTTGAGCGATGCGCTCCGTTATATCCTGACCAATACCAACCATACCCATAACTTCGCCACGTTCATTGTAACGAGGTGTGGCATTCAGCAAGATCTCTACACGACGTCCAGCCTTTGTGATCAATGGGAACTCAAAGTTGGCCGTCTCGACACCTTCGAACGCTTTCTCCAGCACACTACGCACAGGTACCTTGTACTCATTCGAAATGAACTCGGCAACCAGGTCCTTGTCTAGCACGTCTTCATTCGTATACTGCATAATGTCAGCAGCCTTCCGATTCCAGATGTTCACACGTCCGTTGATGTCCACACCAAAGATCGGCGCGTTGGCAGTGTCGATCAGACGAGTATACTCCTGTTCTTGAGCAATACGATCCGTGATATCTTGACCAATACCAACCATACCAATGACTTTGCCATGCTCGTTGTAGCGCGGCGTCGCGTTCAGTAAGATCTCTACACGACGTCCAGCCTTTGTGATCAATGGAAACTCAAAATTTGCCGTCTCCACACCTTGAAATGCCTTCTCCAACACACTACGCACAGGTACCTTGTACTCCTCAGAGATGAACTCGGCTACCAGGTCCTTGTCTAGCACATCCTCATTCGTGTACTGCATAATATGAGCAGCCTTCCGGTTCCAGATGTCCACCCGTCCGTTGATATCGACACCAAAGATCGGTGCGTTAGCAGTGTCGATCAGTCGACTATACTCCTGCTCTTGTGCGATGCGCTCTGTAATATCTTGACCGATGCCAACCATACCCATCACCTCACCGCGTTCATTGTAGCGAGGCGTCGCATTCAGCAGGATCTCCACGCGTCGACCAGCCTTCGTGATTAATGGGAACTCAAAGTTCGCGGTTTCTACCCCTTCGAACGCCTTCTCAAGCACGCTGCGTACAAGCACTTTATACTCCTTCGAGATGAACTCAACGACAAGATCTTTGCCCAGTACATCTTCGTTGGTGTACTGCATAATGTCGGCAGCCTTGCGATTCCAGATATTCACACGTCCGTTGATATCGACACCAAAGATCGGCGCGTTGGCAGTGTCGATCAAACGCGTGTACTCTTGTTCCTGGGCAATACGCTCTGTAATATCTTGACCAATGCCAACCATACCCATGACCTCGCCGCGTTCGTTGTAGCGAGGCGTCGCATTCAGCAGGATCTCCACACGTCGACCAGCCTTCGTGATCAATGGGAACTCGAAATTCGCCGTCTCTACACCTTCGAACGCTTTCTCAAGAACGCTGCGCACAGGCACCTTGTATTCCTCCGAGATAAACTCGGCAACTAGGTCCTTGTCTAGCACGTCTTCATTCGTATACTGCATAATATCAGCAGCCTTGCGGTTCCAGATGTTCACACGTCCATTAATGTCCACGCCAAAGATCGGCGCGTTGGCTGTGTCAATCAGACGGCTGTACTCTTGCTCTTGAGCGATGCGCTCTGTAATATCTTGACCGATGCCAACCATACCCATCACCTCGCCGCGTTCATTGTAGCGAGGCGTCGCATTCAGCAGGATCTCCACGCGTCGACCAGCCTTCGTGATCAATGGGAACTCAAAGTTTGCGGTTTCTACCCCTTCGAACGCCTTCTCAAGCACGCTGCGTACAAGCGCTTTATACTCCTTCGAGATGAACTCAACGACAAGATCTTTGCCCAGTACATCTTCGTTGGTGTACTGCATAATGTCGGCAGCCTTGCGATTCCAGATATTCACCCGTCCGTTGATATCGACACCAAAGATCGGCGCGTTGGCAGTGTCGATCAAACGCGTGTACTCTTGTTCCTGGGCAATACGCTCTGTAATATCTTGACCAATGCCAACCATACCCATGACCTCGCCGCGTTCGTTGTAGCGAGGCGTCGCATTCAGTAAGATCTCTACACGACGTCCAGCCTTTGTGATCAATGGAAACTCAAAATTTGCCGTCTCGACACCTTCGAACGCTTTCTCCAGCACACTACGCACAGGTACCTTGTACTCATTCGAAATGAACTCGGCAACCAGGTCCTTGCCTAGCACGTCCTCATTTGTATATTGCATAATATCGGCAGCCTTCCGATTCCAAATGTTTACACGTCCATTGATGTCCACACCAAAGATCGGCGCGTTGGCGGTGTCAATCAGACGGCTGTACTCTTGCTCTTGAGCGATGCGCTCTGTAATATCTTGACCAATGCCAACCATACCCATCACCTCGCCGCGTTCGTTGTAGCGAGGCGTCGCATTCAGCAGGATCTCCACACGTCGACCAGCCTTCGTGATCAATGGGAACTCGAAGTTTGCGGTCTCCACTCCTTTGAACGCCTTCTCCAACACACGCCGCACGGGCACTTTGTACTCCTCGGAGATGAACTCGGCTACCAGGTCCTTGTCTAGCACGTCCTCATTCGTGTACTGCATAATATCAGCAGCCTTCCGGTTCCAGATGTCCACCCGTCCGTTGATATCGACACCAAAGATCGGTGCGTTAGCAGTGTCGATCAGTCGACTATACTCCTGCTCTTGTGCGATGCGTTCTGTGATATCCTGGCCAATGCCAACCATACCCATCACCTCGCCGCGTTCATTGTAGCGAGGCGTCGCATTCAGCAGGATCTCCACGCGTCGACCAGCCTTCGTGATCAATGGGAACTCAAAGTTTGCGGTTTCTACCCCTTCGAACGCCTTCTCAAGCACGCTGCGTACAAGCACTTTATACTCCTTCGAGATGAACTCAACGACAAGATCTTTGCCCAGTACATCTTCGTTGGTGTACTGCATAATGTCGGCAGCCTTGCGATTCCAGATGTTCACACGTCCGTTGATATCGACACCAAAGATCGGCGCGTTGGCAGTGTCGATCAAACGCGTGTACTCTTGTTCCTGGGCAATACGCTCTGTAATATCTTGACCAATGCCAACCATACCCATGACCTCGCCACGTTCATTGTAGCGAGGCGTCGCATTCAGCAGGATCTCCACACGTCGACCAGCCTTCGTGATCAATGGGAACTCGAAGTTTGCGGTCTCCACTCCTTCGAACGCCTTCTCCAACACACGCCGCACGGGCACTTTGTACTCCTCGGAGATGAACTCGGCTACCAGGTCCTTGCCTAGCACGTCCTCATTCGTGTACTGCATGATGTCAGCAGCCTTGCGATTCCAGATGTTCACCCGTCCGTTAATATCGACACCGAAGATAGGGGCATTCGCAGTATCGATCAAACGCGTGTACTCTTGTTCCTGGGCAATACGTTCTGTAATATCTTGACCAATACCAACCATGCCTATAACAACGCCATGCTCATTGTATCGGGGCGTCGCATTTAGCAGGATCTCCACACGTCGGCCAGCCTTCGTGATCAAAGGGAACTCGAAGTTTGCCGTCTCAACGCCTTTCAGAGCCTCAGATAGCACATTATTTACAGCCTCTTGGTAATCTTTCGTGATATACTTTTCCACAAGTTTCTCTCCCATCACTGCATCGGCCGTATACTGCATGATCGCTGCGGCTTTCTTGTTCCATATATTTACACGACCTTCACTATCCACACCAAATATAGGAGCGTTTGCTGTGTCAATCAAGCGGATGTACTCCTGCTCCTGGGCAATACGCTCAGTTATGTCTTGGCCAATTCCCGTAACACCAAAGATCTGTCCCAGCTCGTCGTAGCGAGGTGTAGCATTTAGTAAAATCTCAACTCGGCGCCCAGTCTTCGTTATAAGCGGAAAGTCAAAGTTTCCAGTGGGTTCACCTTGGAGGGCCTTCCGTAATAGTAGCCCTACCGACTCGCGATGATCGTCGGCAACAAATCGATTTACCAGGTCTTTTCCCATGACTTCTTCGGAAGAAAACTGGGTGATTTCCGCTACCTTTAGATTCCAGATATTCACCCGCCCGTCTTGATCCACACCGAATATCGGAGCGTTTGCTGAGTGGATAAGCCGATTTGTTTCTTTTTCCTGGGCCATACGAACGGTGATGTCCTGTCCAATACCTACGACACCAATCACAACACCTTTTTCATTGAAACGCGGAGTGGCGTTCAACAGAATTTCTACGCGACGACCTCCCTTCGTGATCAGTGGGAACTCAAAATTCGCCGTTTCCTGTCCCATCAGCGCTTGTGAGAGCACCGCCCACACCACCTCCTGAAAATCATGCGGAATAAAGTTTTCCACTAAGTTGACCCCGAGTACCTCTTCGTTTGAGTATTGTGTGGTGTCAGCTGCTTTTCGATTCCAGATGTTCACACATCCCTTTCCATCTACGCCAAAAATTGGCGCGTTGGCTGTATCAATAAGACGCGTATACTCTTGCTCTTGAGCGCGTCTGTCGGTGATGTCCTGTCCGATTCCCACGGCTCCACTAATGTTACCGAAATGATCGTACTTTGGCGTCGCATTCAGCAAAATTTCTAGCCGACGCCCACTTTTCGTGATCAGTGGAAAATCAAAATTTGCGGTGCCTGTTCCTTCAAGGGCTTTTAGAAAAACCTCAGCAACGGCATCCCGGTAGTCTTCAGATATGAACTTGAACAGATCCTGACCAATTGTATCTTCATTTGTGTATTCTGTAATAGCTGCTGCTTTCTTATTCCAGATTATCACCTTATAGTTCGAGTCCACACCAAAAATTGGAGCATTGGCTGTGTCAATTAATCGACTGTACTCCTTCTCCTGAATAATACGATCCGTGATGTCCTGTCCAATCCCAACGACACCCACTAGTTTGCCTGTGTGATCATATCGAGGTGTCGCGTTCAGCAGAATCTCTACTTTTCGACCAGTTTTGGTCACCAATGGAAACTCAAAGTTTGCGGTTTCCGTTCCCTGAAAGGCGCTATGAAAAACAGCAGCAACTGCAGGCCGAAACTCTTCCGAAATCAGCGTGTCAACTAGATCGACGCCCATTACCTCTTCCGGCGCGTACTCACTAATCTGCGCCGCCTTGGCATTGAAAATCACCACTCGCCCTTTCGTATCGACGCCAAAGATCGGTGCATTTGCCGTCTCAATAAGTTTTCTGTACTCCATCTCTTTCGTGTTTCTCTCAGTCACATCCTGTCCAATGGCAACAACACCCATGACTGATCCCAGAGTGTCAAACCTCGGCGTCAGGCACAATACAATCTCCACTCTCGATCCTCTCGCTGTCACCAGCGGCAGTTCAAAATCTACTCCAGGGGTGCCTGTCAGCGCTTGGTTGATCTTCTCCGACACAATCTTGCGGAAACTCTCGTCCACGACAGGCAGCAGCGGTTCGCCCACCATGTCGACACTAGCGTACCCCGTCATGGACGCCGTCTTGGAGTTCCACACTGTGATATTGCCTTCTTTATCCAGTTCAATGATTGGCGCATTGGCCTGCATCATCACTGTCGCGTACTGTTTCTCTCGGCTCGCCCACTCTGTCACGTCTTGACCGACGCCGTAGACGCCGACACATGAGCCGTCTTCCGCCAGCAACGGCGTCATGTTGATCAGCACTTGTGCGTTCCGTCCCGTGGTCGTAAGCAGCGGCAGCCGCAGCTCCAGCTTCGGCCTCTTGGCTGCCACACAGGCCTCGAGAATCTCCAAGATCTCGCTCTTGCGCTGGACGCCATAAATGAAGTCCGAGAGCGGACGACCCACTACGCGTTCAGCGTCAAAGCCCGTGATGTCCACCAGCCGCTTGTTCCACACTGTAACGCAGCCGTGCACGTCCACGCCAACAGCGGGCGCGTTGGCATCCAGAAGCACTTGCGCCAGTGGAAAACTGACCGGCGTCTGCTGGTGCGCGACGTCTCGCGTCGTGCAGGCATCAGAGCTGAGACCGGACGCCTGCGAAGCGTCTGTGCTTGACGGGGACTGTGCCGTTATCGTTGACGACATCTCCGTCTTCATCCTGTGACTCGACGGGACGGGGCGTTCGACGCTCGATGAGACTCGCCACCACTTTCTTTCGCTATGGCGATTGTGGAAATGAGCAGAGGAGGGGAGGGGTCGGTCACGAGGGGGGGGGGCGAGAGAACGAGCAGAGGGGAGAGGGGGAGGGAAAACGAAGGGGAGAGAGGGGGGAGGCAGGAGTGCCCCTTTTCCGCCGCTCCTTGACTGACTCTGGCTGTCGCTGCTGTTGCGACGACTGGGGGAGGGACAGCGAGCGACCTGCTCCTGGTACGCACAGTGCCACTGTATGGCGTAGCCAGTCGCGTCGTTGCACCGATCAAGCTCTACGCTGTGTGTGTCCCACTATTGTTCGCTCCTGTAGCGGGGGAGGAACAAACAAAACAGTGGGCGGCCGTGTCCTGTCATTGGCCGAGAACTGATATACTTGCTACTTGAAGCAAGTTGGATCACGTCGGTTCATCTCGTGCATACACATGATAACGGCTAGATATTATTACAAAGGCGGACAGAAAGCGACGTCGATACCGTGTATCAGAAGGAGACATGATCCCCTTTACTTGGAATACCGAAATGTGGAATACCCTCGTAAGAAATACTATAACAAACGTTACTCATCGACCTACTTTTCAGTTTGGCCGACTCAACTATAAAAGACGCACGTTGGTCTGAACAACGTGTGGACGAATATTCTGAAGATTGCGGATCTACGGTAGCTGCAAGCTGCCAATGAGCGCGTATGCGTTAGTGCCTTTACACAACTGTACCGAAACAGAAGTCACTGGCGATACTTGCTGGCGACGAGATCCTGGCAACGCTGCGATCATATGATACTGAACATTGGTGAGACACACCAAGGACTTCAGCGCATGCAGACCTTCTGAACGGCGCACATCGGAAGAAAACAACATCGTTTCTTCTGTCACGTCGATATCTCGAAGAAACAGTGACTAGTGGTCTCGTCAATGCCTACAGCTCGCTAGTTCTATCGAGATCATGCACCTTCATCCTCGATACGAAGTGGCTACCAGTGGACTTTCATCAGCACTGGTTGCAAAAGACATGGTGGTGGTGCCAAAGTCGCGGCTGCGCGCACAGACACGCACGCACGCAAGAGTCCCAAGCTCCAGAGCAACGAGACGCCACAGCTGCTTACGCCCTGGCAGAAGATCCTCTCACCGCGAACAGCTGCGCATGTCCTTTCTGTCACTTTTTGATTTATGAGTACATGACGTATAACACATAAGGAGAGAAAAACAATGAGCGAGCGTAACCCCACTCACTCGTAACCCACTTCTCTGACCGAGTCAAGTGTCTACTCTCGAGCAGCTCCGTGAATCGACCAATCAGACGTCTCTTTGCTTCCGCGAGTCGGATCCACAGTCATCACGACGCCATCACGACCCAAGCGCGCTCTCTCTCTTTGCCCCTTTCACTCTCAGGACATGCTGGACGACATCCACCATCATCTCCAGCGTCTCGAGATCTCGTGCCACCCACTGCAGTCCTCAGAAGTCTCGCCAAGCGTCCACACGGACTCCAAGACCGCTCTCCGGCTCCTGCAGCTGCAGGTATCTCATCTCCAGACACAGCTGCGGATTGCTGTGACACGTCGAGAAGACGAAGACATTGCGTTTCAACAAGCAGCACAATACGCATCTGCCAAGGGATCCGCCAATGGCGTTTTGCATGCGCTGTTTGACCAAGCGAGCGCTGGCAAGACAGCCGTGTTGAAGGCTTACGTAGACTCTGGTTCAATCCCGACGCGGGACGGTCTTCGACACTGGAGACTGGATATCAGGAATGTTCGGAACGAGGCTGGGTCAACATTACTGCATGCAGCTGTTGGTGTATCGACTGCGAGGCAGATGGCCAAGGTAAAGCTGGTGCATCTGCTGGTGGACGGCGTAGGCTTTGACCCGAACGTCCGTAATGTGGTAAGGAAGGAAGGAAGGAGAAAGATTTACATGTGTTTCTTATGTGTGTCCATCCAAGTGCTACTGCCACTAAGAAAACACATGACGTGTGTTTATGAACTGATGACAGTTTGGGCAGACGCCGTTGCATGTTGCTGCAATGGGAGGGTACCCGGAGGTATGAACCCATGTTTTCTGCTGCACGAAGGGCTGTTCTCGCGGCTCAAGTGGGACGTTTATTGCGGTAAACAGGTGGTACGGGCACTACTGGAAAGAGGAGCGGACCCAATCGCCCGAGAACGATCTGGCCTCACGGCGTTGTCATTAGTTCATACGCTGTCAAGACCGCCGGAAGAAGTGGTTCAGATACTGGTCGATGCCGAAAGCACGGCAATGCAAAGTACCAATCTCGATTCGCTCTGCCGCCAGGTCCATGCTACCTCGCTGACACTTGCTGCTGTGTTCCTGTTTTGTCATGATAGCGATTCGTTCTCCATCCGAGTCGATTCCGTTATCCGTGAGTATTTATGGCCGAGCTGTGTACGATATCAGTGTAAACTAATTGGTTTTTGTTATGACACACTCAATGATGGCAGAAAGCGCTTGTATCAGCTTTATTTCTTAGGAGCTTGTCTCACTTTGCACGACCACAGCACGCTAGCGCATTCGCTGAGCAGACTACTGCGCTGGTAAATGCACTGCTTGAAGGTACTATTTGCCGAGGTACTTTGTTACCAGCAGCGTATGACTGATTGATGGTGGTCCATAGCAGAAACACATGAACGCAATGTGGCTTTTGACTACCTGCTACGACAGCAGGTCCCCATGCTGTTTGACATTGCGCCTACTTGCCAAATTGTTCGCCTGAGCACGTTTTTTGCGAACAGTCTTCACTCGGATCCTGATTTTATCGACGACTTGAAACTTGAGGCTGATGGATATGGGCTGTCACTTGTGTTGCCTGCTCTGACCTGTGCCGCTTTTGCTGGTCCTACCTGGACAGGTGTGCTGTTCAAGTTAATACAGTGTGTCAAAGTGGAGATGGCAAAACCAGCTGCAAGTGGTACCACAATAGATGTCACCTCATCAGATCCAGCTGCGATAGATAGGCATGATGACGAGGATATGCTGATGCAGGAATCAAGCAACAAAGAATTGGTAATTTTTCCATCGCGCAAGCTGTCGATATCCTCTTCATCCACGTCACAGTCGATGGAATCTCGCTCTGGACTGCACTACGCTGACCAAACTGCACACAACGTTAGTACTCGTGAAGCCTGGTATTACGCGGTGCTGCTCAAGGCATCGTCGCACGCTTTCCCAGGGACGATTGCGGTTACACCTCATAGTGACGTCGCTGTCTCATCAGAGGATGTGTCCAAGTATTTCCCGCTGGAAGACCGTCTTTTGATCGGCCCGGCTGAGTATTTTGCAACAAATTACAACCCGCAAACACGCCAGATCCGGCTTGGTGAGTCTTGACGCGTCACTGCAACTTCTGCTAGGGGTATGCTGAGTACCGTCGTACTAATGTTTGCTGGTAATTGACGTATAGATCGTCATTACGATGGGAAGGAAGCTGCCGATGTGAAGGCTTACCTTACCGGATCGTGCTCCTCTCTTCTACCTCCATACGTTGCACTTAAACGGATTTGGGAGCGCAAGCCCGGGAACAAGTACGAAGACCAGATGAGCGGTGAACAGGTTTGTGCTCGTGATCATCAATAGCTTTGCGCACGTTACTTAGATCTCTCATGTTGCTGGCTGATTCATGTGTGCAGGAGCTCTGCCAAGACTACCAGTTCTTGCATCCCGAAAGTGAGTACGAGGTGGCAGGCAAACTCGGGCCGATACCGAACGAAAAGGATGCGAAAATAATTGTTGCCGAGTGGAAGCGAACTGCAAAACAGCTTTTTGATGCTCGAGAGTACGTCCGAGGCCACCACGTACTCTACAAGATTACAAGAACCCGATATACTGACAAAACGTGGTTCTTGTTTGGGTAGATGCAAGTCTTGTCTGGGGTGTTGCGAGCACTATTGTCCACAGCGCAGTGGTCATTCTTTGGTACAGTCATTGCCAGTGTGTAGCTTTTTTTCTTTGCAAGTGCTCACTTGTGCGATTACTACCTGGAATATGTACATTCAGTGCCTAGGAACTTTAGCAGTCATCGGACAAGATCTTGCCAAACGCCACCTTGGACGCTCGACGTTTTACAAGCCTTTGAAATCTCGTGCCTCACTGCAGCGCCTTCAAGATCGGTTCAAAGGAGCGCTAGAGTGGCCAGGTTCACCGTCTCGTGCGGTTCATAGCGCTTTGCCGTCTGTCAGTAATTCCAGCTGACCTCTATTTGCTCGTGCCACCCCGAGTAAGCTTAGCAAAGACAAATAGTACCACACGTCGTGTTTTTGAGCAAAATAGACTGACTGTTTGCTATACGTACGAGGACTCCACTCCGTGTGATCGCACCTCTAGAGACACACCTAGTGAATAAATAATCCACCACATAGCAGCCACAACTATCGCGCACACCAGTGCATCTTCTCCTGCGGCCAAGACAAGAGTAGACGTCTGCTTTTGGGCCCGCTTTGATTCTGCAGGAAGCAGAAAAGGTCCTGGACTAACCGAGGAAATGCTTGCTCTACCATCGATCGTTACGAAGCTGTTGGTCGAATCCCGCGGATCCGAAGTGATAGCTGAATGTCCTTGACCTGCAACGTCACACGTTTTCCATGGATAGCACACAAGTTCCTGCGTACCCATTTCAAGCATCCACAAACAAACAAACACCAAGCCCACAATGAGCTTCCCATAAGTTCGTCTTCGTTCGATAAGTACGCACTTGCACGTACGCGTCTTCAAAGGTGCGGACAAGGTACGTCTCCGCTGCTTCTTGCAGCGCCAAGAGCGCCTCCGCCTGCCAGCGATAGCCCACCCCGGTAAACTCCGTCTGGATCTCCCGCACGACGCGTGCGAATGGCAATTTACGCAGCAACAGCTTCGTCGAGCGCTGTAAGAGTCGGATCTCCCGAAGAGCTCCTTCGCCCGATCTTTTCCTCCGCTTGACAGTTGCAGTCGCAGTCGTAGGACTCACGACCCGTCGACGCGGCGACGGGGCTTTTCGTTTCCGTCTGGGGGCGGTAGGCGTCGCGTGGATCGCAGCTTGACGACCGACAGGGACGACGGACGGCCGACGGGCTGGCACGTTTAAGGGAGGGGATAAAGAGGACGCAGTCGGACGTCGCGTGGGTGTAGCAGCGCGTTTGGACGAAGCGTCACGAGGTGGTGGCGAGTTGGGCGGAGTGGATTCGTCGCTGCCGCTGTCGGTGACGCTGCTGCTGCTGCCGGAGACGTCGCGGTCGGGCACCGCCGTCGACATCCGAGAAATAGGTCGATAGCGAAAACCAATTAATTGTTGCTTGCAAAGTCAGGTGTGAAATCGACCATTTTGTTTGATACAGAAGACACATCAGTTCTTGCTTTTTTAAAAAGAAAAAAAGAACGATAAGTGCGCTTGTGTGGGGTTTCACGCGGCTGACGACCGCTCCTTCTCGTAGTCCTTGCTTGACACTTCCTTCCAGTTCGTGGAGAGCACCGTGCCGCCTGATGTTTGCTGAATACATGGAAAATGACAATGGCGACATAATCGTTAGTTCGTACCGCGAACTATGGGATCAACTGATACAACACCGCGTTGGACGCACAAAAGACTTGTTCATCGCCTTGCGCGTGTTCTCGTCGGCCTTGGCATATATATCTCGAAATAGCTGCTGCATTGCTTCCTCGCCTTCAGGTTTCTCCGCCTCTAACTCGTCCCTGATGGCCTTCTCGATCTCGTTCCAGTCACGGCTGCTCGCGTATGGACGCGCTACGTGCTCGCGCTTTGTCTCGACAACCGCAGCAGGGCCAGCAGTAACCAGCGCACCTGCATGATGCACTACTTCCTTGAGGTCGTCCCAGTGCACGCCGCTGTACGCTTTTTCGAGCTTGAGCTCCACTTTCGAGCCCATCACTTTGTACGAACTCCGATCGGGCACAACTTCGGCAAAGAGGGCCTTGTTCAACGCCTCGAACCACTCTCCACTCAGTCTCACCCGAACAATGACTTTCTTCGACTCAATAGTGACGATAACATCGTCGCGTGAGAGATTCTTCTGAAGGATCGCTATCGTCACGTGGGTCCCTGATTGGTACCAGTCATAACTAGTAGCACACGTCAGCAACACTTCTCTTGGCCGCCTCCCACCCCCAAATGAACTCTTCCTACCGAATCGTCGGCTGAAATCGCAGCAAGTCACCCTCCACTGCATTACTCCGGTTGCTCAACTTACCACCTATCTCTTCATCAGGAACAATGAGCTCTGCGTCTCCGCCACCTGGTACATTATCCAAAATCATGTCACAAGTCTTGCTAGCAAAATGAAAACCTACCATATCGAGTCTCAGCCACTCACAATCAATTTCGACATTGCACTTTCGTATCCACGTCTGGAACTGCTTGACCAGCGCGTGATTATCTACGAGTTTTGCTGCCTCATTGCCTGATTCAAAAGCTTGCTTGGCCTCAGTGTACTTTTCCAGCTCAAATAGCGCTATACTGCAGCCATATCCAGTTTTTAGCCTGAATACCGTATCAATCGGCTGCTGCACGCCATAAAAACCCTACCCGTGACGCATATACGCCATATACAGCGTAGCGTCCAGACTTGTCGCTCGTGAAGCGTCGGCTGCAGCCTCGTGCGGCTTGTGCAGCTTCAGGAACGACGCGGCACGCTTGGCTAGTGCGTCCGTATTTTCTGGGTTCTTCTCTAGCTCACGCGTGTAGCACACTATAGCTTCTTCGTACCGTTCGTCCACGAATAGTGCGTTCCCCTGCGCCACCTCCATGTCGATAGTTCCTGAAAGACCCACTGAGATCTCAGACTTTTTCAAAAAACCCATGAGCTATCGAGGATTTGTACATTGATGAGCTTGACTATATTTTGGTCGGAGCCATCTCGCTTAGTTAGGTGATCACCAAATTAGATTTGAAACAAGACACGCCGTCACATACAGGGGTACATTTGTGATTTGTACGACGCTTTGACCGATCGGTCCCACAGAATCGCTATTTGCTACTCCTTTTTGACGATTTTCGAAGCACTTGCTCCTATTTAATGATACTAACTGGGCTCCAATCGTATGTACTCGTTCGTTTAACGTGTCAAAAAAACAGTGTCTAGCGACAATTGCATCGTTGTATGGCCTCAGTTTTCAACAAGCTGCATTCATGGCGGGAATGAGAAGCCTTATTAACACCTTCAATCGTCCCAAATTAGCAGCCTATTGTCGTGTCACGTTGGTGTTACCCTTGCGACATAAGTACTACCAAACGCATGCAGCTGCCAGTTTGTTGTGTCGTCTATTCTGCTTCGGCGAGAAATCTAAAGCGAATGGTTGTCTAGCGAACGCGAACATTCAGATATAAATGCACGTGGCACTTCAGTAGCTGCTCAATCTCGTCCCGCGCCGCCATGCCCACAGAGCGGATGGTATTGCCATTGTGTCCAACCACCGTCTTGCGAATGCGAGCAGCAGGCACCTGACAACGAGGCAAAAACGGGTGCAACAACAATCAAGGTAAGAACAAGCATATGACACAACAACGAAGCAACAACGTACAAAGATATCTTGATCGATGCGAACGCTCTTGTCTCTAAACTTGGTCCAGCCGACATTCTCCTGCTCGAATGTGTAAGGCAGCTCTTTATTGAATCGACGGAAGAGCTTCTCGCGAATGATCTCAGTCACTAAGTCCAAATCTGACAGGTCGGAATGCATAGACGAGTGATAACTCCAAGGGCGATCAACCGCAAGAGAAAGCAGGGTCTTTCGCAAGCGGTCCATACCAGTGCCCTTCAGCGCAGAAACCTTGATACTATTCTCACCAATGAAAGCGAGTGGGTCAATCGACAAGGACGCGCCGTCAGCATCATAGTGCTTCCCGTAGATCTCTTCAATCATCTGCGACACCTCCTTCACTTTAATCTCCAAGTTCATTTTCTCCCGCTGCCCAACAAGATCAACCTTGTTCATGACGAGCATCGTCGGCGAGCACACCTGTGCCGATGTCGTCAGAACTTTTTCCAGTGCCTGCAAAGCCGACTCATCAAGTCGCTTCACCGAATCTACCACAAGCACAGACAAATCTACCCCCTGCAGTGTCTCCGCTGCCGCTGTTACCAGCGTCTGTACATACTCATGGGTCTCTTTCGGTTTAATGAGCCCAGGCGTATCGTAAAACGAAAGCTGCGCATCACCAGCAGTAAAGATACCCAGGACACGGTCTCGCGTCGTATTGTACTTGGGCGACACGGCGGATACCGTGACATTCAGCAAACTGTTCATGATTGAAGACTTGCCGGCATTCGGCCGTCCAATCACTGCAAGATCCAAGGCCTTGGGGTTGGCTGGCTCGTCTGGAATCAAAAACTCGCGTTCCACGACATTATCCGGTGGTAATTGGATGTTTGTGAACTGCTTGTCCTTCGTCGACACGGGCCGTCTCGCTGGAAGACGTCCCGTCAGTCGATGTCTTTCCGCATCGGCTTCCTTCTCAGCTTTAGAAGCGCGACTACTGCGGCCATTTGACTTGGTCGCTTCATACTCGTACGTCTGTCGACGACCTACGAATCCCACATTCCGTGGATCGAAATCATCTGCTGCATCACCCTCTTCCTCTTCTTCGTGGTCGTCTGGCAGCAGCCCTAGACGCCGCATACGTCGCTTGTTCTCAACCTCTTTGCGTGTTCGAGCCGGCATCACAGCAGGCGGAACGGTCACCGTGCGTACACGCATCTTTGCCCATTCTTGGTCAATCTCTTGCAGCGTCGGGCGTGGTGGCTTCTCCATAGGCAGTTTAGCGACACAACCATCGTTCTTGCGATGCACTCGACGCTGATCTTTTTGAGACTTCTTTTTCTCATTGGAAAGAGGACCCTCCCGGATTTGTCCACGCACAGCTTCACGCTTTGCTTGACTACGTTTCGAGCGGTAGGTGACTGCGAGGACGTGGCGAGGTGCCAGTAGACGCGCCGACGCGACGCGATGGATCAGCAGCTCCATGTTGAGCGTAGGTTGAATTGACTGGTAAAGAAAAGAAAGACCTAATTGCTTGTTCAGGTGAGCACTAAAAATTGTGATTTGTGTCAGAAAGTATGCACATGAATGTGATCAAGTGCACGGTAGCAGACTGTTTACTTTTGTATATTTACATTCACGTAATGGGACGGGCTTAATCTCAAGTTACTGCTTAGAAATCACTTTAATCGTCCAGCGGCGGCTTGTGACCGACGTAACATTCTTGAAAGGGTACAAGCATACGTGCAATGCATTCAGTACCGATAAAGCGACCATCCTGTGGCGTTTCCCCGCTCTGCAACGAGGCGAACTGGGCTCGACACAGCTCCCTTCCTTCAACAGTAGCTTACCCCGAGAGACTGCCGCCCGACATCTTGCCCGTGAAGCGGCGCTGTAGCGCAGCGTGACTTATCCCGCCGCGAGTTCTTCTGCTGCCGTGTGTGTTCAGTGGATCGTTTTCCATGACGCCCTTGTCGTTGGCCGTGATCATCTGCATGATCTCCTTACAAGAGCGCGAGAGCTCGTCCTTGTTCTTCAGGAAGCGGAACAGCTCCAGACACTCCGACTTGGTAGGCGAGTCTAGTCGTGGCTACAAATAGAAGAGGTAAGAATCAAGCTCACACCAAAGAAACGAGGTCGTTAAATAGCGCGATAACGCACCAGTATCGACGGACGAGGCTTCTGGCATTTCAGCTTCGAAAGGGGTAGTAGATGGAAGAACAGGTGCGGACAATCAAGCTCGGTGAAACAATCTCTTTGTGCACGAGCTGGCAAGTTTTGGAATAGGTCGTCTTCGCTGGTATCGTTTATCGATCAATCTCCATCGGTCGAACGTTGAAGCGCGACTTCAACGTCGCATCCCTGATTTGCATGAAGGATCGCATCCATCCTAAAAATTATAAATTTAGAGCATCCGGATTGGCTGTTCACGTAGAATGACCACATGATTGGTCGGGAATACTCAACGGATCCAGCGACGAAAACGTAGCTTCCACCGGAAAAGAGAGGACATGCGTGAGTGCGTCATGAATTTTCAAACCAGTTGTTTCTTCCAGAGGGAAAAGACTGACATCCGCGGCACGCATATTGCTGTGGTTGGGATCGTAGGAAAACCTGTTACAACTTTGCAGTGCATTCGCACGGACATCCGCCAACTTGGGTGGAATGTTCTTGATCTCTCGCTAAATTTAGCGTCACGCAAGCTCTTGCAGCGTCTCGGTGATACGCTTCATCAGGATATGTGAGCCTCGACAGGCCTGTTTCAGCTCAGCAAACGGGATATGCTTTCGATGCCGACCTCGCTGTAGCAATTCGCTCTCTCTTAACTGTGTTTTTCAGTGCATCTTGACTGGTCTCCATCCATGTCTTGCTGGCTGCAGTGCCCCACGATTCAAGAGAGGAGACATTGCGGCATCCAAACGTACTTGGCTAAGAATTGGTACGGGGACCGAAATTTTGCTCGCCAATACATGGGTGGTCTACAGGAAACTTAAAAAAACACCACTTTCTACCAAAGAACACCGCTTTGCCTACCCATCCACGATTTGTAACGGCGTAACGGGTGTTATCTTAGCAATTGTACGCCAGCAGACGTCAAGCGAAAGACCATGCTAATCCTTGAAGATCATCGACATTATTACCACATCAAAACGATAAGACCATATCTTCTTTCTTTTAACACTGTAGCGAATGCTATTGTAGACGATGCTACGTAAGATGCAACGGGTCTACACGCGGTTATTGAACCGGTTATGTTGTGTGTCCACACCAAGTAAAGATCGGTGGATTTGAGTGGTACGGTATTGGTACCACGTACTTACGGTAATGCCGCACCTTATCGGGTAAGGATAATGGATCAGACTTCTGTCATAGGATCGTAATACAGAAGTCAGTCAGACAAAGTTTTATGATTTTATTACCGCAGCTCAAGAATGAAAAAAGTTCAGTTCCCTTTTTGAATCGTTGGACGGAAGTGTTTAGTCAAGGCATAGTGTGTTGTAAGAGCATTAGCCTTGTGAAGGCGCTTACTCTTGTTTAAGTAGTAGTCTCTAGTTAGTGTGTGATTCTGTTAATCGGAATCCCTTTGGAACCGGAATAGTTAAGCTTGTACGCTTGAACGACTGTATGTCGTTGTTAGTTTGTTATAACTAAGAGACTCTTGGGTCTAAGACTTCCTCTGCTAAGGAGTGCCGAGTAGCTCCGCTGCATAAGAAGTCATGTATTGACGTGCATGTTGCGGGATACGGTGCAGCATCCAGAGCATGACACCGTTTTGTACCGCCCGCACTGATTCAACCGTCCGCTCTTGCGACGAGGAAGCGGCACATTGGTAAATCCAGTGGACAGATACAGGACACACGCGGATGGGTGGTGTATACCGCACTTGCCTTGATGGATAGCTTATCACGACTGTTACCATGATGATTCACTTCTTCTTTCTACACGTACATCGTATCCAGCTAAAATGCTACTCCTGCCACCTCTACTCCATTGCGGAGTTACAAAAGTCCCTATCGCCCCATGCATTCAGCTGTAACGGGGTAGCCCGTCACATGAAATTGACACCAAACGGTGTCAATAGGAACATTGTCAAGCATGACAATATTCTACCGATATTATCCGAGATGGATAATATCGAAGGAGTGTTTTCACCTTTTGGATAAGATTCATGCGCTGCTCCAAGATTGGTTGACATAAGACATGTCAACCATAGATTGACACCAATCGCTGCTAGACGCGCGTAATGGGTGGTGAGCAGGTTGTCGTCATACGACGGCGTAGTTTAATATAGTTAGATAAAGATTTAAGTTGTATTGATAGCTTAGCTATATTAAATACAGTTCTCTTTTCACATTTACTTGACCGAGTCGTTCAAGTAATTTAGCTTCCTCTGCACGTACTTGTGTACGTGAAGTTTCGCGGCACCCCAGACAAAGGGTGCCCCGTTATACATGGTAGCACTTATTCGTGTTCTCGAACAAACCCACAAGGTACGCCTCCACAGCCTCCTGCAACTCAAACACAGCCGAGCCTTGAAAACGCAAGTCCGTCTTGAAGTACTGAGCGAATTCACGCACCAGACGCTGGAACGGCAGCTTGCGGATGAGCAGCTCCGTCGACTTCTGGAAGCGACGGATCACACGCAGCGTGACCGTACCCGGACGGTAACGGTGCGGCTTCTTGACACCGCCAGTTGCAGGCGCCGACTTGCGGGCAGCTTTGGTAGCGAGCTGTTCGCGCAAGGCCTTGCCACCGATGGACTTGCGGGTGGTCTTTTTCGTACGAGCCACTGTCTGTTGCTTATCTTCCTGATTGAAAACGGTCGAGAGAATTGAAGAATGACGGATCAAGTGAAAGCGCTTATCCACTAGATCTGGTGACGCCTTCGAAGTCAGCTTCGGAGGTGGTCAAGTTCCCAACGCTAGAATCCAAAATATTCTTGCGAGATCTGCGTAGTGACAAGACCAAGCAGATCGGCGTACTCTTCACAGAGGACGAGTACGCCGCCGGTATTCGGTCGGCACAAGTGTTTGCTGAGAACGAACGGGTTCTCAGTAGCTTATCTATGGACGAGAGTGTCCTCGATGAGAAGGCCTGGATTGAGCGATACACGTCACAATCTTGGCAGTCTTTGAAGACAAATCCTTTGTGTAAGGATTTGGTTGAATTCAGGGATGTTTACCTGAATCCGTGCCATGCTAGCTGCCATAGGACAAAGGCACTCGGCATGAGATTGAACAGAAACCCGGTTCGAAGTACTGTGTCATGAAGCAGTGGCCACTGCCTCGTGAACAGGTCACAGCAATCAACAAATTCTTTGACGATCAATTAGCGGCTGGTCATGTGAGGGAATCAACATCCCCACACAGCTCTCCGACCTTCTGTGTGCGAAAGGCCACAGGAGGGTGGCGGATTGTGCACGCGTTCAACAAATTGAATGCTGCAACGGTACCGGCTCAAACGCCGATCTCAAGAAAGGATGTCATCATAGATGGTATGGCAAAAGGTACCATTATTTCATCCATGGATCTGATGGATGGATTCTATCAGATCCTCATGCGTGAACAGGATATCCAGTACACATCAGTGAGCACCCCCGGTGGTATGCTCTGGGAGTGGCTAGTAATGCCACAGGGGCTTAGTAATGCCCCCGCAACGTTCAACATATGTGTTTCGAATATGTTGCGATCGGTGCGCGACTTCGCACCGAGTTACTTCGACGATGTCTTCGTCCATAGCCGGGCTATGGATGGAAAGACGGATGTGGAGGTTCATAGAAACCACGCCCGGAAGGTTCTTACTCTAATGCGAGAGAATAAGTTGTTTGCGAACCTCAAGAAGTGTATATTCGCAGCGAACGAAATACTACTTCTTGGCTGCATCGTGGGTAAAAACGGTGTACGCCCTGATCCGGAAAATATCAAGGCGATTAGCGACTGGCCTGTGCCAGTCGACGTCAAGGGACTTCGAAAGTTCCTTGGCTTGGCAGCGTATTTTCACATATACTTGCGCAACTATGCCGAGACGACATTACATCTATCTCGTCTGCTAAAGAAAAACGAGAGGTGGTCATAGAGTGCTGATTGTCAGCACTCTTTTGAAGGCATCAAAGAAGCTTGGTGCAATCGCCTGTGTTGGCGATTGCAGATCAGGATAGGCCATTTCATGTGGTCTGTGACGCCAGCGATTTTGCAATCGGCTGCGCGTTAACACAGTAGGACTCAGACGGCGTTGAGCGCGTCGTCTGTTATCAATAGCGTCAGCTGGAAGCAGCTAAGCTTAACAACCCCATTCATAACAAGTAGCTCCTTGCCATAAAAATACACACTGACTAAGTTTCGGGTCTAAATTTAGTTGATAGGCCGTTCATCGTTCATAACGACCATGCGTCGTTACGCACGGCCGTAAATAGTCCACACCTCTCGCGACGAATTACGAGGTGGCTGTCTTTCTTCGCGGAGTACAACTTCTCCGTCGATTGTAAACTAGGACGACTTAATATCGTCGCTGATGCTCTTTCGCGTCGGCCCGATTTCGAGCCGACTGCTCAACCCAACAGTCGGGGTGACCCCACTGTCGCGACACTACCAGTGAGTGTTCCGTCGTCGAATCTGCTCGATGACGTGCGGAAGGCATACGCAGGAGATGAGTCTCTTCTGCGGTTGATGGATTAAGTATCCAATCCGTGTAATCAAGCTTTTCAAAGCTTGACGTCTCAATACCGCTCTTCAACCGAACGGTATTCTGCCCGTGATGGACTGCTGTACTACACAGTAGAAACGGCGACACACCTCGTGTCGTCGTTCCGGCTCATAATGATTTGCGACTGCGCATCATGTATGAGTGTCACGATGCTCCAACAAGTGGGCATCGCGGCAGAGAAAAGACTCACCTCGCGGTAAGTCGTGACTTCTACTGGCCCCGCCAGTATGAGTTTATGCGCATGTACATTCGCGCTTGCGAAGTTTGTCAGCGAATAAAGCCTAGTCCTTCATCCCGCACACCCTTGCAGCCTCTACCGATTACGGCAGTGTTGGCAGTCCATATCGATGGACTTCGTCTTTCGGTTTCCCAAAGGCGTTCATAAGAATACGGGTATTCATGTGTTTGTTGATCGGTTCAGCAAGATGGTACATCTTGGTGCTGTACCGGAGTCAATCACAGCCCAGGGCTGTGCGCGTGTCTTCATCGATACTATCTTCCGACTTCACGGGTTACCCCGTGAACTCGTGTCCGACAGGGACCCCCCGCTTCACAGCTGAGTTCTGGCAATCCGTGTTCCGATCACTTGAAACACGTTTAAAGATGTCACTTCTGACCATCCCGAAACAGATAGTCAAACAGAACGCTTCAACCGCATTCTCGTAGAGATACTTCGAGGTTATGTCCACTCGTTTACGAGTTGGAGTGAGTTCTTGATGATGGCGGAATTCGCCATCAACAACTCGGTGCATGCGTCGACAACGCATACACCATTCTTCTTGAATGGCCTACTCCGTCTACGTTTACCCGCCTTCTTAGAGTGTGACTCTAGTTCAAGGGGGGGCTCGCTCGAACAAAAAACCGATCTGGTTCTTGCTCATCACCCGTCGACAATGGTGTCGACGTGATAGATGCCGATTTCGATCACATCGACAACGATGATGATGATGACGACGATGCTGGTATATTCAGCATCGCCAATGACTACCACAGTGAGGATGGTGACACCCTACCTGGTGTAGACAACTTTCTTTCAGCAGTGCACACGAAGCGCACTGCTGTTGACAAGGATGAATCAGCAGAGGAATTTCTGCTGACTCGCGAAGCGGTTGTCCGCTTCGTTCAAGACTCTATTGCAGATGCAATAGACAAGCAGAAAAGAAACGCAGGCAAACGCGGAAGAGCAAACGTTCTTTCGTTCAATCAAGGAGACCTATTTCTTACTGTCTACAGTAAACTTACCAAAGCACGCAGTGATAAACGTGGGCAAAAGCAAATTACTGCTCATCGGTCCGTTTCGTGTGTTATGTGCCAAATGGGCAACGCATACACGATTGAACTGCCCCGTAAGATGCGTAAGCATCCTACGTTTTACGTCGGTCGTCTCCGCTCGTACTATCAGTACGAGATCGTTCCAGAGGCGAATAACACCTACGTGGTCAAGGGCCGAGACCACCTTCGAGTGGTCCCGTTTCAACGAACCAGTCTGGTCGACTAGCGAAGCGACCTGCTCACACAGTTGAGCGATGTCCTGACGAGCTACAGTCAGCTCGTCACGAAGAGAACGAGTCGTTCGTTCTCAAGTTGTACAAACGCAAACGCGGCACGATCGTTCGAACGATCGGCGCTAAGGAATTGTAATCATCCCTTACAAAGTCATGGAGATCGTAACGCCGAGTCTGTTCATGAGCCAGGTCATCGTGTAACAAATCGGTTACACGGTTGATGTTTTTGAACATCAAGATGATCAGACTCTTGAACCGGATCAGGTGTTCCCGCCACCACCATATGCTTTGGTGGACTCAAGCGGTGGTCAACGCTTCCTAGTGGAGCTTATTTTGAACCACCGCTATGTGAATGGCGTCCGGACGAGTTACCTCGTCCGCTGGCGTGGCTGTCCACCGGCCTGGGACAGCTGGGAGCCTCGTGCCCAGATGATTGTTGATGTCCTTGGTCTCGTCGAGCAGTACGACGAGACCCACCCGCTGCGTTTGAAGAAGGGCCGTCGGAAAACGACCTCCCTGAACGCGAGTACAGGGGTTGCAAAGTGTCGATCCCTTCGGCCATCTCGGAAGAGACGCGCGCCCTCCAGTAGGGATCATTAGGGAGGTATGCCTCCTTGGGGGGTACGGTTCGAGTCGTTCAGGAAACCTGGATACGAATCACTCCACTAGAGAAAGGGTAATCCTGCCTCTCTTGACAGCCAGTGCAACTTGTATAGCGCCCCGACTGGATTACATTTCCAAACCTGATGCGAGCTGCATCAAGCATGGCGAGCCAAGCCTCACGTCCAATGCACTCAATGTTATGGATGAAGGCATTTCATCCCAGCACCGATGCTTTGCCGTCCCGAACACGGCTACCATTGTACCACCGATGTTTGAAGAATGCATCGGTGAAGTACTCTTCCTCAGCACGGATAGTTTCCGTGCTGGAATCAGGTAGGCAAATATTCTTACAATCGAACAGCGGGATTCGATCCCGTTCGGTAGTCGTGCCGGACAAACGGTCTAGCTCTCTGGATGGCGGCGTTCACGGAGACTCCACTTGAGGAGCGTGGCGCAGGACATTTGGTCCCTGGCCTCTTGAGTGGTGTCAGCACGAGTACTGACACCAGTGGCAACTCGATCTTTCGAATTGCTTCTCTCGTGGTGATGTATAGGAGCAACATCACCATCTCCACGCGTCCTATCGTCGAATGGACTTGCGTGGGCGAGGATTTGTCAGACGAATCGCTCGGTCCGAAGATCTCGGACATGATGCCGCCACGTTCCCCAGAGCCAGTCAGCCTGGCTCTTGCAGAGTCCGCTCCGAATGATCCGGAGGCGTGAGGTGTCGCCTTCGAGTCGAATGCATCATCCAAATCGCCAGAATAGATAAGATCCATCTCAGACTCGTCTTGATTATGACCCGAGGTACCCGCTGCAGACGCAAAGTATGTACCTGTCGCACGTGGTGACTCACCACGTGGAGGATTCACGACAACAGGCAACGAATCGCTTGCTGCTAAGGCGTTGAGGCACTATCCGCGGCCGCACGCGTGCGTGCAGCCGCTTTTCTTGCTGCTTCGGTAGCAGATCGCGTGGTTTTGGAAACCATGCGTTGGATTGGCGAAAGAATGGAATCTGACCATTAAGTGCTCCATTTCTCAATATGATCCAACGGTGGTCACCCGGTCCCAATCAATTCTAATTCAATCAACGGGTGATTGATGGTTGAGGGGGGGGGCTGATGTAACGGGGTAGCCCGTCACATGAAATTGACACCAAACGGTGTCAATAGGAATATTGTCCAGCATGACAATATTCTACCGATATTATCCGAGATGGATAATATCGAAGGAGTTTTTTCACCTTTTGGATAAGATTCATGCGCTGCTCCAAGATTGGTTGACATAAGACATATCAACCATAGAATGACACCAATCGTAGCTAGACGCGCATAATGGGTGGTGAGCAGGTTGTCGTCATACGAAGGCGTAGTTTAATATAGTTAGATAAAGATTAAAGTTATATTGATAGCTTAGCTATATTAAATACAGTTCTCTTTTCACATTTACTTGACCGAGTCGTTCAAGTAATTTAGCTTCCTCTGCACGTACTTGTGTGCGTGAAGTTTCGCGGCACCCCATACAAAGGGTGCCCCGTTACATTCAGCAGTCAGGAGAATGCCGTAGTGGCTGTCAAACACGAAGCCATCTGTTTTAATTTAGGCAATATCTTCCGTCTTCCACGCAGTTTTTGGAACTGGTATTCATCATCTTCTTATGAATCAACTCTTACCTTCCTACTACATACATGTGGTGTCGTCGTCTCCCATAGTACTGCATCGACCTCCCTCTGAAAATTCACAGTCGGCTAGCAACAGTCATCGACTCTTCGTTGTACGAGACGTACTTTTACCCTTCAGCCTAACCGTCAATCGTCTGGAACGTATTTTTGCCCAAGTACTAAACTTTGCACAACACGCCCTCCTCAAAGCTAGCCTCACACACCGACCAATCTGGACAGACGCGCAAGTCTTTGTTTTTCGATTGATTTAGTGAAATTATCTGCTGTGATCGATTCATTGAGCACCTTTTTTTATACAATACGGCTTTCAGTTTGACTTGCTCTCGCACGAAATGCCATTGCAAATTAATGTGTCTTGTGCGCATGGCGTGAGATTGTGCGTTCACGGCCAACACACAAGCACTTCGACTATCAATGCCACTTCTGATCTTTATGGTCAACGTCGGTAAGACGTGACTGATCTCTTTCGCTCGCTGGATGCCTTCATTGTGGCTTCCAAGGTGACAAAATATTATGCTTCAGCGATGGATAGTGCTACGATAGACTGCTTCTTGCTTGACCAAGATATTGCACTGCCTTCCAGCGTAAAAACGAATACACCAGTACCCTTTCGGTATCCCGTATCAGAGGCCCAGTCACTGTCGCAATATCCTTGGACGGTCTTCGGCAGATCGATGTGAGTGTCGATCGCGTTTGTATATGATGCTATGATCCGATGAACCAACCAAATAACGAAGGACGCGCTCGAGACAACTAACATTTTCATTGTGGCTGAGCATCATACCGAATCAACTGACCCACCGCATATACAAGGTCGGGTCGGGTGCATGTAGAAAGCGAGGAACTTAAGCATTCTCAAAGCCCCGAGAAATCAGAACTTTCCATTTCAGTGTCTTCCTCTATGACGGGGCACCCTTTGTTTGAGGTAACATGAAACTTCACGTATACTAGTACGTGCAGAGGAAGCTAAATCTACTCAAACAGCTCGCTTGAATAAAGGGCAAAAATAGAACTCTATTTAATATAGTTAAGCTATCAATATAACTTCAGCCTTTATCTAGCTATATTAATCTACATTGTCGTATAATGAAAACTTGCTCACCACCCATTGCGCGCGTCTAGCAGCGATTGGTGGTAATCTATGGTTGAAATATCTTTTATCAACCAATCTCTGAGCAGCGCATGAACATTATCCTACGAGGGGATAATGAATTCAATACTATCCATCTCGGATGATATTGGCAGGGAAATGTAACGCTAGACAATACTACTATTGACACCGTTTGATGCCAATATCCTGTAATGGGCTACCCCGTCACATCACCCCCCCCTTAACCATCAATCATCCGTTGATAATTTTAATTTTTTGAGACGGGGTGACACCTTTAGATCACTCTAGAAAGGGGAACACTTTTTGGTCAAACTCCGACTCATTTGTCAATGCATCGCATGGTGTCGAATTCCATGCGATGTGCTACCGAAGCAGCAAGAAAAGCGGTTGCACGCATGCGTGCAACCGACGAGAGTTCTTCTCTTGCTTCAGCAGGAGGTTATCCTTCGCCTGCTGTTGCGATTCAGCAACATTCGGTGCCTGTTGTGAACAGTTTAAGTGGTGAGTCACCACATGCGACCAATACATCCGCTGCTTCTGCAGCGGGTGCTTCTTCTCGCAATGTAGACAAGCCTAAAATAGGGCTCAAAAGAATAGAAAATAAAATAGATCTATACTGGCAAGTCGGATGATGCATTCGACTCGAAGGCGACACCTTCACGCCTCCGGATCATTCGGAGCGGACTCTGCAAGAGCCAGGCTGACTGGCTCTGGGGAACTTGGCGGCATCATGTCCGAGATCTTCGGACCGAGCGATTCGTCTGACAAATCCTCGCCCACGCAAGTCCATTCGACGATAGGACGCGTGGAGATGGTGATGTTGCTCCTATACATCACCACGAGAGAAGCAATCCAAAAGATCGAGTTGCCACTGGTGTCAGTACTCGTGCTGACACCACTCAAGAGGCCAGGGACCAAAATGTCCTGCGCCACGCTCCTCAAGTGGAGTCTCCGTGAACGCCGCCATCCAGAGAGCTAGACCGTTTGTCCGGCACGACTACCGAACGGGATCGAATCCCGCTGTTCGATTGTAAGAATATTTGCCTACCTGATTCCAGCACGGAAACTATCCGTGCTGAGGAAGAGTACTTCACCGATGCATTCTTCAAACATCGGTGGTACAATGGTAGCCTTGTTCGGGACGGCAAAGCATCGGTGCTGGGATGAAATGCCTTCATCCATAACATTGAGTGCATTGGACGTGAGGCTTGGCTCGCCATGCTTGATGCAGCTCGCATCAGGTTTGGAAATGTAATCCAGTCGGGGCGCTATACAAGTTGCACTGGCTGTCAAGAGAGGCAGGATTACCCTTTCTCTAGTGGAGTGATTCGTATCCAGGTTTCCTGAACGACTCGAACCGTACCCCCAAGGAGGCATACCTCCCTAATGATCCCTACTGGAGGGCGCGCGTCTCTTCCGAGATGGCCGAAGGGATCGACACTTTGCAACCCCTGTACTCGCGTTCAGGGAGGTCGTTTTCCGACGGCCCTTCTTCAAACGCAGCGGGTGGGTCTCGTCGTACTGCTCGACGAGACCAAGGACATCAACAATCATCTGGGCACGAGGCTCCCAGCTGTCCCAGGCCGGTGGACAGCCACGCCAGCGGACGAGGTAACTCGTCCGGACGCCATTCACATAGCGGTGGTTCAAAATAAGCTCCACTAGGAAGCGTTGACCACCGCTTGAGTCCACCAAAGATTATGGTGGTGGCGGGAACACCTGATCCGGTTCAAGAGTCTGATCATCTTGATGTTCAAAAACATCAACCGTGTAACCGATTTGTTACACGATGACCTGGCTCATGAACAGACTCGGCGTTACGATCTCCATGACTTTGTAAGGGATGATTACAATTCCTTAGCGCCGATCGTTCGAACGATCGTGCCGCGTTTGCGTTTGTACAACTTGAGAACGAACGACTCGTTCTCTTCGTGACGAGCTGACTGTAGCTCGTCAGGACATCGCTCAACTGTGTGAGCAGGTCGCTTCGCTAGTCGACCAGACTGGTTCGTTGAAACGGGACCACTCGAAGGTGGTCTCGGCCCTTGACCACGTAGGTGTTATTCGCCTCTGGAACGATCTCGTACTGATAGTACGAGCGGAGACGACCGACGTAAAACGTAGGATGCTTACGCATCTTACGGGGCAGTTCAATCGTGTATGCGTTGCCCATTTGGCACATAACACACGAAACGGACCGATGAGCAGTAATTTGCTGTTGCCCACGTTTATCACTGCGTGCTTTGGTAAGTTTACTGTAGACAGTAAGAAATAGGTCTCCTTGATTGAACGAAAGAACGTTTGCTCTTCCGCGTTTGCCTGCGTTTCTTTTCTGCTTGTCTATTGCATCTGCAATAGAGTCTTGAACGAAGCGGACAACCGCTTCGCGAGTCAGCAGAAATTCCTCTGCTGATTCATCCTTGTCAACAGCAGTGCGCTTCGTGTGCACTGCTGAAAGAAAGTTGTCTACACCAGGTAGGGTGTCACCATCCTCACTGTGGTAGTCATTGGCGATGCTGAATATACCAGCATCGTCGTCATCATCATCATCGTTGTCGATGTGATCGAAATCGGCATCTATCACGTCGACACCATTGTCGACGGGTGATGAGCAAGAACCAGATCGGTTTTTTGTTCGAGCGAGCCCCCCCTTGAACTAGAGTCACACTCTAAGAAGGCGGGTAAACGTAGACGGAGTAGGCCATTCAAGAAGAATGGTGTATGCGCTGTCGACGCATGCACCGAGTTGTTGATGGCGAATTCCGCCATCATCAAGAACTCACTCCAACTCGTAAACGAGTGGACATAACCTCGAAGTATCTCTACGAGAATGCGGTTGAAGCGTTCTGTTTGACTATCTGTTTCGGGATGGTCAGAAGTGACATCTTTAAACGTGTTTCAAGTGATCGGAACACGGATTGCCAGAACTCAGCTGTGAAGCGGGGGTCCCTGTCGGACACGAGTTCACGGGGTAACCCGTGAAGTCGGAAGATAGTATCGATGAAGACACGCGCACAGCCCTGGGCTGTGATTGACTCCGGTACAGCACCAAGATGTACCATCTTGCTGAACCGATCAACAAACACATGAATACCCGTATTCTTATGAACGCCTTTGGGAAACCGAAAGACGAAGTCCATCGATATGGACTGCCAACACTGCCGTAATCGGTAGAGGCTGCAAGGGTGCGCGGGATGAAGGACTAGGCTTTATTAGCTGACAAACTTCGCAAGCGCGAATGTACATGCGCATAAACTCATACTGGCGGGGCCAGTAGAAGTCACGACTTACCGCGAGGTGAGTCTTTTCTCTGCCGCGATGCCCACTTGTTGGAGCATCGTGACACTCATACATGATGCGCAGTCGCAAATCATTATGAGCCGGAACGACGACACGAGGTGTGTCGCCGTTTCTACTGTGTAGTACAGCAGTCCATCACGGGCAGAATACCGTTCGGTTGAAGAGCGGTATTGAGACGTCAAGCTTTTCAAAGCTTGATTACACGGATTGGATACTTAATCCATCAACCGCAGAAGAGACTCATCTCCTGCGTATGCCTTCCGCACGTCATCGAGCAGATTCGACGACGGAACACTCACTGGTAGTGTCGCGACAGTGGGGTCACCCCGACTGTTGGGTTGAGCAGTCGGCTCGAAATCGGGCCGACGCGAAAGAGCATCAGCGACGATATTAAGTCGTCCTAGTTTACAATCGACGGAGAAGTTGTACTCCGCGAAGAAAGACAGCCACCTCGTAATTCGTCGCGAGAGGTGTGGACTATTTACGGCCGTGCGTAACGACGCATGGTCGTTATGAACGATGAACGGCCTATCAACTAAATTTAGACCCGAAACTTAGTCAGTGTGTATTTTTATGGCAAGGAGCTACTTGTTATGAATGGGGTTGTTAAGCTTAGCTGCTTCCAGCTGACGCTATTGATAACAGACGACGCGCTCAACGCCGTCTGAGTCCTACTGTGTTAACGCGCAGCCGATTGCAAAATCGCTGGCGTCACAGACCACATGAAATGGCCTATCCTGATCTGCAATCGCCAACACAGGCGATTGCACCAAGCTTCTTTGATGCCTTCAAAAGAGTGCTGACAATCAGCACTCTATGACCACCTCTCGTTTTTCTTTAGCAGACGAGATAGATGTAATGTCGTCTCGGCATAGTTGCGCAAGTATATGTGAAAATACGCTGCCAAGCCAAGGAACTTTCGAAGTCCCTTGACGTCGACTGGCACAGGCCAGTCGCTAATCGCCTTGATATTTTCCGGATCAGGGCGTACACCGTTTTTACCCACGATGCAGCCAAGAAGTAGTATTTCGTTCGCTGCGAATATACACTTCTTGAGGTTCGCAAACAACTTATTCTCTCGCATTAGAGTAAGAACCTTCCGGGCGTGGTTTCTATGAACCTCCACATCCGTCTTTCCATCCATAGCCCGGCTATGGACGAAGACATCGTCGAAGTAACTCGGTGCGAAGTCGCGCACCGATCGCAACATATTCGAAACACATATGTTGAACGTTGCGGGGGCATTACTAAGCCCCTGTGGCATTACTAGCCACTCCCAGAGCATACCACCGGGGGTGCTCACTGATGTGTACTGGATATCCTGTTCACGCATGAGGATCTGATAGAATCCATCCATCAGATCCATGGATGAAATAATGGTACCTTTTGCCATACCATCTATGATGACATCCTTTCTTGAGATCGGCGTTTGAGCCGGTACCGTTGCAGCATTCAATTTGTTGAACGCGTGCACAATCCGCCACCCTCCTGTGGCCCTTCGCACACAGAAGGTCGGAGAGCTGTGTGGGGATGTTGATTCCCTCACATGACCAGCCGCTAATTGATCGTCAAAGAATTTGTTGATTGCTGTGACCTGTTCACGAGGCAGTGGCCACTGCTTCATGACACAGTACTTCGAACCGGGTTTCTGTTCAATCTCATGCCGAGTGCCTTTGTCCTATGGCAGCTAGCATGGCACGGATTCAGGTAAACATCCCTGAATTCAACCAAATCCTTACACAAAGGATTTGTCTTCAAAGACTGCCAAGATTGTGACGTGTATCGCTCAATCCAGGCCTTCTCATCGAGGACACTCTCGTCCATAGATAAGCTACTGAGAACCCGTTCGTTCTCAGCAAACACTTGTGCCGACCGAATACCGGCGGCGTACTCGTCCTCTGTGAAGAGTACGCCGATCTGCTTGGTCTTGTCACTACGCAGATCTCGCAAGAATATTTTGGATTCTAGCGTTGGGAACTTGACCACCTCCGAAGCTGACTTCGAAGGCGTCACCAGATCTAGTGGATAAGCGCCTTCACTTGATCCGTCATTCACAAAGACATTAACTGACTCGGTGATTATCTGGGAAAACACATCTGCAGGTGGTTGGGAATCCACACCCTCAACATAACTCTCTCGGGAGGTTTCACTTTCAGGAACGCTGGAACTTTCTCCCAATACTTGTACCGACTGTGGGTGAACAACCATGGTCACGTCCTCTTCGATCGACTTTCTTTCAGTAGATCGGGCTTGCTCTACGATCCACTATCTGTTAGTCGACCTCGCTTCAACGTGTTGTTCATCCTGAACAACTTTCATGTCTCCTCTTGGATGCACCCTTTCTTGGTGTGCATCCGTGTTCCAGTCCACTCGATCTCTTCGAATGGTGAACCTTCGGCGCAGCCTGTGTCTCTACACAGGTGACGGAAGCTGGTTTCACAGTGTAGTGGCCTTCTTCACTGTGATCTTGTGCAGTCATTTTAACGACCGTACCACAAGTGAGGCCATCGCACTCACTGGTATCAACCGATAAAGTCTAGCCACGACAGAAGCATGCATTGAGTGGTGCGCAGATAGTTACGATACATGTTTGTATTCAAACGTAGTTATTTGAAGTCAGATGGGGGTTCATAAAAAGGATTAACTATACAAAATACAGTTTTACATCATACCTTTACTAGTGCTTTTACTCCGTATAGAAAAACTTCTTTGCACATACGTGTACGTGAGGTTGTCGGACGTACACACACTTGCACTGTCAGCAGTGCAAGGTTTACTAAGTTAGCTGAAAAAGGTGTGCCCGATACAATTATCATAAGCGTTTTCAGGTTAACGAACGGAATTTACAGCTTTAAAATAGGGACAGGCCAAAAAAATACTAGTGTGCTTGCACCTCATTCCATGTATCGAAGTCGTCGATCCACCGTAGTTACTACATCAATCACGACAAGGCAACATTTAGTTTCACATCCTCCGTGAACCGTTACCCTGGTGCGCTACTTCCGTATCGACAGATAGAATGATTGACGCGCGGACGAGCGTGTCGATTCCACTTACGGCGGACGGCGCTATTGTAACGGGGTGACCCGTTACATAACAATTTATTATAAATTGTCAAAAGACGATAACTAACAGAGTTATATTCTCAGAATATTGTCATAAGGACAAATATTCTGTAGCACTTACGATTAGTTCCTAATTGGTTGATATAGGCCATTATATCTACCAACGAAGATGCGCCACGACAGACGCACGCAATGAGTGGTGAGTAGATAGTTGATATACACATTTGTATTTAGACATAGTTAGATGAGGATGAACAGTGATTTATTGCAGACATTAACTATACTAAATACGGTTCTACTTTTTACTTTAACCAAGCACTCTCTTCTCCTTACCGTCTTCCTGTAACGGGGTGAATCGTTACATAACAACTTATAATAAGTTGTTTACAGAATATAACTATAAGAGGTGTATTCTCAGAATATTGTCATAAGGACAAATATTCTGTAGCACTTACGAGTAGTTCCTAATTGGTTGATATAGGCCATTGTATCAACCAACGAAGACGCGCCACGACAAACGCACGCAATGAGTGGTGAGCAGATAATTGATATACACATTTGTATTTAGACATAGTATAATGAGGATAAATAGTGATTTATTGCAGACATTAACTATACTAAATACAGTTCTAATTTTTACTTTAACCAAGTACTCTCTTCTCCTTACCGTCTTCCTCTGCACGTACCAGTGTACGTGAAGTTCCGAGGCACCGCCTTATTCTGTCGTCAGAATAAGTAGCTTGTACTGTCATCAGTACAAGCTTCAGGGTGCCCCGTTACACCTGGTAGCACTTCGTAGTCCGTCCAAGGACCACGTTCACATCTAACATGAATATGTTAGATGATGAAGATGACCAAAGCTTTCACGCTACGCGTGACGGATACTCCCATTTGAGCGATGTCTAATGGGATGCGGTTGAACGGATGGGTTCAACCATGGGCATCCATGCTGTTAGCGTCATGCTAGAGGCTCTCAATAGAGATGCCCAACATGCTACTATCGCCAAGTTCATTCAAAATGAACCTAACGCTGAACGCAAGAAAGTAGCCTTGCTCCACCAACAAGGTTCTCAACAAGCAGAGTTGTTGAGAGAACAGGGTGGTCAACAGTTTGAACTGTTGAGACAGCAGCAGGCTGCTGCTGGTGGGTCGATGCACTCGCGTCCACCCGAAACCTTGAAGATTGACATCTCCAAGTATAGGGGAGTCGAAGAGGACTCCCATTTGAGATGGTTCGTCGAATTGGATGACGCCATAAGGGCGCGTCGCATCGACGACGGGGATATGCAAGTTGCATTTGCCCAGTCAAATCTGGCAGGACGTGCCAAGACTTGGGCACTGGGGCTCAAGTTGCACGACCCATATGCGTTTGGGTCGTTGGAAGTCTTCAAGTCGCGGCTCAGACAAACGTTTGAACCGCCTGGAGCTGAGTTCAGAGCTCGAACCGAACTCTTGAAGCTCAAGCAGGGTAAGCGTGATGTGCACGCTTACGCGCAACATATACGACATCTCACGAGTTGTATAAGTTCCAACCCGGTTGATGAACACACGTTGGTTTCGGTGTTCATGCAGGGTCTTGCGGATGGTCCCGTCAAGACTCAACTGTTCTGGCTTGAACTAGATTCACTAGAACAAGCCATTTCCATTGCGGAACAGGAAGACTTCAGTCTGAGACAGGCTCGCGCCAGCTCGACATCATATCGTCAACCGCGACGATATGACAGCGGAGGTCCAGAGCCGATGGAGCTCTGTTATGTAGAGAGCGAGAAGGCTCGCTCTACAGACTACAAGAAGCTGCAGAGATGCAACAGATGTCAAAAGACAGGACACTACGCTTACGAGTGTAGTGCCCCTCGTCCAGTGTCTCGCGACACTGGGCGTAGTGACCGTCCACCCATGAGAAAGGGGCAGGGACGAGGGTCCGCTGTTGGTGCAAAGACGCAACAACGGGATGGACCGTAAAAAAACGGACAGGATCAGTAGGTGCGGAGCACCCTACTGGTCCAGCAACGTCAAGAGAATTTGTGGGCCTCTTGATGAAGGTTGCTCCCAACACACAAACGTTGTGCGTTGCTGCTCCAGGCAATGATATCTCTCTCATTACCTTGAAACTCGAAGTGACAAATGAGTTGTCCCTTCGAGCTCTAGTCGATTGTGGGGCGTCCAACAATTCTGTGCGACGCCAATCGCTAGAAGATGGTCACTTTAAATTCAGTGAATGTGACACACCTCCTACGAGGATGACGGTACGTCTTGCGACAGGCGCATCCGTAACCTTCATGAAGCGTATAGTGAAGATCCACTATACGCTAGAAGATACCCAGTGTGATGATGACTTTATCGTATTGGATTTGGATGACAAATTCGATGTCATCCTTGGAATACCGTGGCTCAGAAGGTACGAACCACGAGTAAACTGGCAACATCGAACAGTAACGATGCCTGCCGCTTATTCATCAGATGGCCAACTGATGAACGTTTTGAAGCGTCCACAAGCGTGTGGATGTACTACGAGTGAGTGCGATGGCCTCACTTGTGGTACGGTCGTTAGTACGACTGCACAAAACCTTAGTGTAACAAACGGTTACACTTCGGAGCAAAGTTCCGGCGGCTGTGAGGAAACACAGGCTGCGCCGAAGGTCCACCACTCGAATAAGTCGAGTGGACCGGGACAAAGATGTATCCCTAGCGAGGAACATCTAGAAGAGAAACAATCGATCGCTCAGGTTAAGCGAAACGATAATCCTAGATCGACTGGAGAGTCTTTCGTAGAGGATCTCGCTGTGGTTGCGCAACCACAACTAGAGGAAGTAAAGGGAATAAGTCCCAAGATTACAAATACGGCGGAAATAAGTTCCCCGAAACCCGCGGGAATAAGTCCCCGGGAAGCCGAAGGAATAAGTCCTTCGAGGCCTGAGGGAATAAGTCCCCAGGATATGACAGAGACATTGAATGTCCTGATCAATGATGGATCTAGTGTAGGCACTTACACACTTGATCTGATTGCGCCTCCGAAGTTGACTTCGGAGATCACTCAGTTGCCAACGCTCGAACATAAAAGGTTCTTGCGTGATCTGCGTAGTGGCAAAGTCAAGCATATCTGCGTACTCGTCGCTAACGACGAGTGTGTAACCGACATAAGGTCAGCAACAGTGTTTACTGAGAACGAGAGAGTTCTCAGTAGTTCATCTATGGACGAGAGTGTCCTAGATGAAAAGACACGAATTGAGCGATATGACCCCCAATCATGGGAATCGCTCAAGACAAATCCTCTCTAAGAAGATTTGGTTGAATTCAAGGATGTATTCCCTGAAACTGTTCCGTGCGAGTTACCGAAGGATAAAGGTATTTGACACGAAGTCGAGCTTAAACCAGGCTCGAAGTACTGTGTCATGAAGCAGTGGCCACTGCCCCGTGAACAAGTACTTGCGATCGACAAGTTCTTTGCCGATCGTTTAGCTGCGGGCCATGTGAGGGAATCAACTTCCCCACATAGCTCTCCGACCTTCTTTGTGCGAAAAGAAACAGGAGGGTGGCGGATTGTGCACGCGTTCAACAAGTTGAATGCTGCAACGGTACCGGCTCAGACGCCGATACCGAGGAAGGACGTAATAATTGATGGTATGTCAAAGAGTACCATCTTTTCGTCCATGGATTTGATGGATGGCTTCTATCAAATCCTTATGCGGGAACGGGATATACCCTATACCGCAGTTAGCACGCCTAGCGGCATGCTCTGGGAATGGCTAGTAATGCCACAAGGGCTTAGTAATGCCCCTGCCACGTTCAACAGATGTGATACACATCTGTTGAAACCAGTACGAAATTTCGCACCGAGTTATTTCGATGACGTATTCATCCATAGTCGAGCTATGGATGGAAAGTCGGATGTTGAGGTTCACAGGTACCACGTCCGACAGGTTCTTACATTCATGCGAAAGCATCAACTGTATGCAAACCTCAAGAAGTGTATATTTGCAGCAAGCAAAATGCCACTTCTTGGGTGCATCGTTGGTAAGAACGGATTACGTCCTGATTCCAAAAAGATCAAGGTGATCACCGACTGGCCTGTGCCGGTTGATGTCAAAGGTCTTCGAAAATTCCTTGGGCTAGCGACGTTTTTGCACAAGTATTCACGCAATTACGCCGAGATGACTGTACACCTCTCTCATTTGTTGAAAAAGAACGAGAGGTGGTTGTGGAACGCTGAGTGTTAGCGCTCCTTTGATGGTATCAAGCAGAGCTTGATACAATCCCCAGTCCTAGCAATGGCCGATCAGGACAGGCCATTTCATGAGGTCTGTGATGCCAGTGATTTCGCAATCGGCTGTGCATTAATGCAGTACGATCTTGAAGGCGTTGAACGCGTCGTCTGCTATCAGTCGCGTCAGCTGCAACCAACTGAGCGGAACTATCCAATGCATGACAAGGAAATTCTTGCCATGAAGTATGCACTCGTGAAGTTCAGAGTCTATCTTTTAGGAGATATACCCTTCATTGTTTACACAGACCATGCGTCGTTACGCAAGGCAATTAACAGCCCGCACCTTTCACAACAAATGGTGCGGTGGTTGTCATTCTTTGAAGAATACAACTTTACGGTCCAGTACAAACCAGGACGACTTAATGTCGTCGCTGATGCACTCTCACGTCGGCCCGACTTTGAACCAGTCGTGAAACCCAACAGTGAGACAGTCACTGTTGCGGTTATGACATCCACCATCCGCGCATGCCCATGATGGTGAGATTGTGAAATTGTTGACACATCTCTCACAACCATCTTGAGAATCGTTGAAACTATTGTCGCCTGCGTATCGATCTGCATCAGATCGATACACTACTCGCAACGGTTTACTCGATTATACAGCCGTTTCTGGTGACACACCACGTGTTGTCATTCCAGATGATACTGATCTGCGTTTGCGGATCATGTTCGAGTATCACGATGCTCCTATAGGAGGACATCGTGGCCGGGAGAAAACACATCTCACGGTGAGTCAAGACTTTTACTGGCCCCGCCAGTATCAGTTTGTGCGCAAGTATGTTCGCGCATGCGAAGTCTGCCAACAAGTGAAGTCAAGTCCTTCACTGCGTGCACCTTTACAGCCTCTACCGGTTCCGGCTGAGTGCTGGGAATCCATCTCAATGGATTTCGTCTTCGGGTTACCCAAAAGACGCACGCAAGAATACGGGTATTCTCGTATTTGTTGACAGATTCAGCAAAATGGTACACCTTATGGCTGTACCCGAGACAATCACGGCAAGTGGCTGTGCTTGTATCTTCATTGACACCATCTTCCGACTTCATGGGTTGCCCCGTGAACTCGTATCAGACAGAGATCCACGATTCACTGCTGATTTCTGGCGTTCCGTGTTCAAATCACTCGGAACGCGCTTGAAGATGTCGACATCTGATCATCAAGAGTCCGAAGGTCAGATAGAGCGAGCCAATCGTGTGCTTGAAGAGATACTTCGAGGATACGTACACTTCTTTAAGAGTTGGAGTGAGTTCTTGCCAATGGTAGAGTTTGCCATTAACAACTCGGTGCATGCGTCCACGACACACACACCGTTTTACGTGAATGGCTTGCGCCATCCGCGTGTACCCACCTTATTAGAGTGTAGCTCTGGTTTAAGGGGGGGACTCGCGCGAGCAAAAAAAAGATTTGGTTCACGCTCATCACGCTCTGACGAAGAGGTCATTGCGTTTGATGCCGATATCGATAACATCGATATCGAAGAAGATGATGCCAGTGGGAGTGCGGAAGCCCTCACTGAAGAAAAGGTTGATGTTGCTGCAGTGCGCTCACAGCGCACTGAAGCTAACGAGTCAACAGATGATTTCATACTGGCTCGTAAAACGGTAGTCCGTTTTGTGCAAGATTCCATCGCCGAAGCTGTGGATAAGCAAAAGCAAAACGCTGACAAGAATGGAAGGGCAAACACTCTTTTATTCAATAAAGGTGACTTAGTCCTACTGTCTACGGTTAATCTACCAAAGCATGTAGTGACTAACTTGGGTAGCAGTAAACTACTACCCAAGTACATCGGCCCATCTCGTGTATTGCACCGCCCAGGCAATGCATACACGATCGAGTTGCCACGTAAGATGCGAACGCATCCCACGTTTTACGTTGGTCGGCTTAAGCCGTACCAACAGTACGCTGTTTCTTCCGATGAAGAACGCCCTTGCGCTCAAGCATCTCGCAGAGAGCCTTGTGCTCCCGATGGTGGGCATCAACAAGGGTCTGAAGAGCAGTTATCTCATCCCGAGACCGATCAACAATCCCACGAGCTACCCTTCGCTCGTCACGCAGAGATGTCAGAGATCTCTCGTTCTCAAGCTGAGCAAAGACAAACTCACCTCGATGCTTCAAGACAGTGTCCGCCAGTTGAAGACGCCTGCCCCGCTCATGCTCGAGGTCGCCGTGCAACGCAAGAGTTACGCGATCAAAGAGGCTGTCGGGAACACATGCTTACCCACGATTGTTTGGAGAGCGTTTTCCCTCCTCCTCCACCTTCATTGGAGGACTCTCGCGGTGTCCAGAGCTATCTAGTTGAGCAGCTGTTGAACCACCGCGACGTGAACGGACGTCGGACGAGTTATCTCGTCTGGTGGCGCGGCTATCACCCGTTCTGGGATACTTGGGAGCCCCGCTCCCAACTGATGATCGACGTACTGGGTCTGGTTGAGCCGTACGAAGCGGCAGATCCTGTGCCGCAGAAGGACCGCCGGAGAAAGTCTTCCCGGCACGGTCGTAAAGGGATTTCAGGTTGTCAATCCCTTCGTACATCTCACTAGAGATACGTACGCGCCACCACGGGCTATTAGGGAGGTAAGCCTCCTTAGGTGCTCGTGCAGAGTTGTTCACACAACACGGGCACGAGTCTCCCCAAGAGAGGCAGGGTAATCCTTTCTCCCTTGACAGACGATGCAGCTTGTAGCGTGCACCTATCGGGGTTCGCTTTTCAAACTTATCACGAGCTTTGATAAGTTTGTCGTTCCAAGCATCACGACCTACATCCTCAAGGTTATGGATGTAGGCGTTCCACGCTTGAAGCAGTGAGGGACCATCACGTTTGTGATTCCCACTGTACCATCGATGTCTAAAGAAAGCATCGATGAAGAATTCATGTTCAGTGCGATAGTTTTTCGCGCTGGGGTCAAGGTGATGGATCTTTGACGAATCGAACAATTGTGTTCAATAACGATCACTCATCGTCGTTGACAAGTGATCCATGACGGATTTGGGAGGCATCCATGCCTTCTTATCAGGAGCGAGACGCAACACATTGCGGTCCCGCTCTTCCTGCGATGTGCCGACAGAAGTACTGGCACCTCGTTGCGAAGTGGTGTCCATAGGAGAACCGACACCACTATTAGCGCCGAGTCTCGCGACTTCGAGCGCCTTCGCTTCGGCGATGATTCATCTGATTCGTCAGATGAACCAAAGATGCTGCGACGCAAAGCATCGTTCATGCCACGCTTGGCAGGCGGCTTGGATTCAATCGCCGTCGATACGGATCCGTCTTCCGTATCAGGAGAGTATGAGACACCGAGCTCATACTCTGTGAAGACATGAGTGGCTTCATGACCAGCGCCTCCATCACCAAGTGACACAGGCTGGGTCGCTTCAGCAACCGATGAGACATCAGTTGCTGTGGTTTCTGCTTTGGCGTCCGCACAGAGACGTGCGGACGCGCTCTCGGCGGCCTTGCTCGCGTATCGCATGTGCTTGTTAACCATGCGATGAAATATTGAAAAGTGGACTCGGACCAACAAGTGCAAACCCTGTCCCAAATGATTTGGGACGAGTATCCATTTAGTCAATCAGTCACTAAAGTGACTGATGGTTAAGGGGGAGGGGGTGATGTAACGGGGTGAACCGTTACATAACAACTTATAATAAGTTGTTTACAGAATATAACTATAAGAGGTGTATTCTCAGAATATTGTCATAAGGACAAATATTCTGTAGCACTTACGAGTAGTTCCTAATTGGTTGATATAGGCCATTATATCTACCAACGAAGACGCGCCACGACAGACGCACGCAATGAGTGGTGAGCAGATAGTTGATATACACATTTGTATTTAGACATAGTTAGATGAGGATAAATAGTGATTTATTGCAGACATTAGCTATTATAAATACAGTTCTACTTTTTACTTTAACCAAGTACTCGCTTCTTCTTACCGTCTTCCTCTGCACGTACCAGTGTACGTGAAGTTCCGAGGCACCGCCTAATTCTGTCGTCAGAATAAGTAGCTTGTACTGTCATCAGTACAAGCTTCAGGGTGCCCCGTTACAGCTATGGCTCGGTGGGAAGTGGTCTTTTGAGCTTACTTTTATCTGCGAGTCCTGTTTCGCTTGGTAGGTAAACGATAGAGTGATAGGGAGTGAGTATCCGACTGATCAAATCATGGGATTACGCCTTCACTTAAATGTTCTATTGCTTGTAGAGGTAGAAAAAGATGCATCGGATGAATCTCACAACATCCGTTTGTGTGGAATAAAGGGCTTAACGACCGCTGGTACAGAATAACTAAGACATCATTCTAGCCGATACGAATCGTGCGTAAAAAGGCAAAAGTGGTGTTTATTGGCAGAAACTGGTGGTTTTTAGGTAGAAACTGGTGGTTTTAGGCAGAATGTGGTGTTTTTAGACCAGTTTTCAAATCTCCCGTCTTGAACGTGAGCACCGGCTTATCCTATTCCGCACATTACTTGCGTCTTTGAACACGACCATGCGTCAGTTCTTATGTATGGCCATGGTCTCCGTGAGCTTTCTTTCAGAAGCTGGTGTAGTCCCCACAAACATGAACCGATCCATTAATGCTCCTAACGCGCTCGCCATTCCTTCTCGTTTGGGAATGAACGCATCCAACACTTCGGGACTGATGGACGCAGACAACTCACTTGTGAACGTAACAGATTTTGCTAGCAGTCGAAGCGACGAGGCGAGGGTCAACCCGCAATTTCTGGACGAAGCTTTGGAGACACTTAGCACCTCGGAGGCTTTGGGCGTAGTTCACCCAGCAGAACTGTATAAACGTCTGGGTATTCAAGTGACAGACGAGCATGATCTGCAAGTTAACAAGATCAAGCAGTGGTTCAAACATGTTGACGCGTACCGTATTCGGGATGAAACTTATGGCGAAACTAGTGAAATAAATGACATGCTGGGGAGTGCAAAAAAGTTTGAGCTGGCAAGGTTCTTACATAGACTCCGAGGCGTTCCTGGAATGAAGGGCCGCGCTGACAGCCTTCAAAAAGCGCTTGCCTCTATATTGGGTAGAAACACGGGGAAGATCTTTCCTTTATGGCTAGAGGATGGAGTGACGCCTATCAAGGCTTATTACATGATGCCCATTCCACGGAAGACAACAATTACAGGTGTCGAGAAGGAGAAATACCAGTGCACAGCTGCCCGAAGAAGTATGCTGGAAAAATGGCTCGATTACGTACATGATTACGTCGAGAAGGGTCACGTGTACGGCAACGATGCTATTGTATCGCTACTGGTAGACAAGCAAGGAAAGGAAGAGTCGGTGGAATTTTTCCACTACCTTAGGCTACACACTTATAAAAGCGAGGTTGCTGTCAGCTTACAACGAGCATTGGCCGTGGAACACCCGGACACCTTGGAGCTGATGTTCAAATTGTGGCTGAATGACAAAGTGGACCCTGGATTGGTTTACGAAATGATGCCCATTGCAGCGGAGAAAGGTCTCAAAGGCCTTCATAACAGAGAGTGGTGGCCCGACATCTATGACAACCTCATGAAGTGGCGTGAGTATGTCAAGGCGTTCAACGACCAACGTCATGCAGAGATGGAGTATCATCGTAAGCACACGTATGGGATATCGAGTTCCTCTGCGAAAACCTTTTCCGAAGATGATGTTTTCAGTCAGCTAATATTGCACAGCGTGATGGAAGATCTGGTGGCGTTTCTTGGATATATCCAGTCCGTTATGGGAATGGATTCTTTCGTTTCGAAGATGTATAAATATTTGTTCAAGACGTCGCCAGTCGAGACTGAAGACTTAATTTTCGACCAGTGGGTGCTGTTGGACTTGGAAGCTGCCGATGTGTACGATTCGATGCCCATTTCAATTGATGTCGATGAACTGAAGGCAATCCATAAAGGATTTGCACCACAAGCATTTTGCGTATATCTTGAGCAGTTGCTGAGATACGTTGACCGAGTGAGAACCCGTGACCAAGTTCGTGCTGAATTTAGTGACGATGTATTGATTTCTTTGCTGAAAGAAAATGCATCGGCGGAGAGCTTGCGGGATTACCTTAAGGAGCTCGGGAAAGGTCACAGGAAGGAACGTGCAAGTCAACTGCTAGCAGCTTTGGATGCCGATGGCTGAAGTACGCAATGTGTAGATTTGGGTGCTCTCGTCTAACGCAATCCAATCTTGTCACAAGCATTCACTCTTTGACCACTAGGATTGTTTGAGCCATGTATCGGGCAGGCATGAATAGTGGATGTGTGAAATAGACCGGAACGTTCGTTTCTTGATAAGGCCATTCTGAATTTGCTTAACGTTGTCTGGTCACAGTGCTTTGCCCATATTGGGCTCCGTTCTCTTCACGCTTCTTGGGATATGTAGTACGGTACGTGTTGTCTCGAGCAGATGCAATCGAATCGCCGACTATTGTTTGAGCTTTGGACGCGCGCAAGTTGTTCATTTTGCGAACGCTGACCTTCGAACCGTCATCCGCTTCAGACGTACCAGTATTGTTCGCGCCGAGACTGATTCGATGCCTCATCTGGACTGTTTGTTTCCTGGGGGCCGTCGAGAAGAGAGTAAGGTTTCGTTGACCTCGTTGATTTTCATCGAAAGTCAAGAATCTGTTTTTAGACACATGATTGTGCTCGAGAGAAGCTCACTTCTTTATTGGTCATGGACCACGCTTTATAAATGGCAGATCCCTCAAGGTGGAGAACAAGAACCGGGATCCGGGACTAAATGATCGACTTCGTTGATGCAAGTCAAGCTCAGACTACCATGTCGTACTGTGTGAAGCTGTTTTTGTGCTGCTGTTGTAGTGAATTTCGGGATCGAGCGCACGAGATCTAACCTGTCGAGGTACCTGTAGCGTCAGTAGACAACATGCCAACTGTCACGTTGTCAATGCAAGCTGCTGCATGCATGCGAGTCCGCCATGGGTCAACTGTGATGCTAGTCGCAGACTGAGTACTAACTCAACCTCCTGTGCTACGTCAGGTCCATATGCAAGAAACACCTTCTTCCGAATCGCTGTATTCATATCGCTGTTTATTTTGCATTTGTTCACGTGAGAAACCGATGCAACAAGAAATGCTATGCAAACGCCATACATGGCAGGCCATCGGTTCCATGCCAAAGAGCGCGACACTATCATGTTGGTGCTTTTACTCCTCGACTTCGACGACGGCCTCGATTTCCACAGCCACGTTGAGCGGAAGGGCGTTCGTGCCCACAGCCGAGCGGGCGTGGATGCCCTTGTCACCAAACACTTTGCCAATGGTGTCAGACGCGCCGTTGATGACCGCTGGCTGCTGGGAGAATCCATCGACGCAATTGACAAAGCCCACGAGCTTCACTATGCGCTTGATTTTGTCCAGATCACCCACTTCATCTGCAGCAGCAACAACGATACAAAGACCGAGACAGAAGTAAGCATAATCAGAGCAAACTCACTCTTACAATACTGACGGTAGGTAATCAGCACCGCACTCTTGAGTGTAGCCATGAGGCTGAGCGCCACGTAATGAGCAGCGTCATAGCCCTGCTCCGGCGTCAAGTCTTTGCCGATCTTGCCCACGATAAGATCACCGCCTGCAGGTTGGGGTAGATGGCCAGCCAGGTAAATGGTGTTGCCTGAACGCACCGATGTGCGGTAATTGCCCTTGGGTTTGGCCACGGCTGGTAGCGTGTAGCCCAGTTCCTCCAGCTTTCGCTCGACGTGCACGTTGCGCACCGCCTTCGCAAGAGTGCGTGGCTTTGTGATACGGACCAAGGACATCATCATCTTGAATGCAATGCGGGAATGGGGAGACTGTGTCACAGCAAGAGTTTGTGTGAGCTGTTGCAAGGCCGGGGTGGCGGGCAGACGTGCATCCAAACCAGTGCGATGACGCGTTTTGTTACTTCAGCAAATCATACCCTTCACGGGTTGACCCGTGCGGATGGACCGCATAAACATGCTTCTCTTTCTATCGACGCTCGCACTTATGCCACGACGCTCAGATCTGTCTTAATGCTGGAATTCGTGCGAGACGAGGTGCATGCTTTGGCACCGAGATGACGACACGGGAGATTGCTGCGTGCAGCTTGTTTTTGGGATCACGCGGTTTGACAACGAACTTTGGTTTGACGCTCCATGGTCCGTTGAAAAACGCTTTGCTTGGTCCACTATAACTCTCTTCCTGCTTCCATTTAACCAACAGTTGCTCACTGGAGCACACGAGTATTACGCTTATTAATTGTTGCTGAAGGCACCCAAAGGTTTTTCGAGACGAATATGCGCTTAGTAAACAGGACGACACGCACTTTGTCTATCCGTCTACAGCCAGTAACATGCAGTACCTGTACTCACGAAGCAGTGAGTACTACGGTAGAAAAAAACTGTGCTTCCAGCCGATCTTGCATAGTAGACACTGTCACCCTTGCTGCAAAATGACAATAGTAGCGACAACACCACCCTCATCGTTGCTCGTACGATATCGTGGGCTCCCAGCAACCACTCCCGTCATTGTATACTGTCAGAATCGGAGTTTTCAAGCCAAACGCTTGCATCGAACAGCCGCGGCCGAAACGTCTCCCCACGTTGTGTCATTCTTCCTTTTCCTCCAAAGTGAAATGATATTCTACAAGTTGCACTCTTGCAGCACAAGCGTTGCCTTGATTCTTACTTGTTCCCAAGCGTCACCAAGTGACTGTACATAGTGGTCTTCCTCAGAACACTAGTCGCATTTCAACGCCGTTTTCTATCGTTGATAAGCACTCAAAAAAACAAATGCCGCCGAATACAGACACCTACACGTACGCATTGTCCGACAGAAATGAACAGGAGGATGAACTCCAACAATTTATCGTACTGTTTGATCCATTCTTGTAGTCACGATTCCGGTGGCGCTCTTTTGCAAACTAGGACACTTCCCAGTGACGAACGACTGGTATGCACTACCCTTATCAACGAGCTATCCAGTTATCCAACCAGCGCCAAACCTTGTGGCGCTAGATCTGTGGACGCATCATAGAAACAGCACATAATTAACATCAGCAAACGCTGTGCCTATCTACGGCACACCGGTGTATGCAAACATCATGTTCACTTTACGGGGGTATAGCAGACTACGCACTACAGTCATCCTCTGCACCTTGAGACTGAGCAAAAAGCTCCTTCATACTCTGCAAAACAGCTTCAAACGTAGTCGACGACCGGTCCTTCAGACCAAGGGCTGCTAGCACCGGCAGGCCGACAGGAACACTGCGCACCGGTCGCAGACGACGCAACAACAACACCAACAACATGACCACTTTCCAGTCACTACCACCGCACTCGTCTTTCCCTTTCTTTCAAACTAACACTTACCCAAAATGCTCCAAGAACTGACGCGCGTACACCAACAATAACGGATCGTCCCGCCGTCCAAGACGAACATGAATGTCTGGCTGGAGTTTGCCACTGATCGATTCTTTCTGTCGAGCCTCGACCTGCAACAGCAATCATAACAGCACACATATCCATTACCCCCCCTCCTTATTTCTGCACCAAATATGCAACCACTGTCGCATACGAGTGTGCCGAAGGTTCCGAGCTGAGTCACAGCGATAAACACGCGGTCAGCGAAGATCGAGACGGCAAGATCCGTGAGAACCCCATTGATCTCCTGGATAGGAAGGCAGGAACTCGTCAGGACGCGCAAAACTTCATTCATGGTCGGTCTTGAGACGCGGCGTACCTTTCGATCCGTCCTCGTGTGCAGCTTCGCTGGTACTGTCGCCTCCGTCGTCATGGTACCGTCGTGCGACATTCCTGGATAGTTTTTCACAATGGTGCAATCCTAACGACGACGCCATTGGATGATATTATGCATCCATCTTTGGGATGGCGCGGATTATCCGTCTGATTGGTCGAAAACACGGAAACTCACACTGTCCCAGTCTGACAATAATACTGAGACTCGCAGTTTAACGGGCGAAACAATTGGGAGAACGCGCTGTTCTAGTCTCGGAGATTCCTCTGTTACCCTCTTCGCGCTTATTGACCAGCAGGTAACATAGCAGGTAAGGGTAAGCAAACCCCCTTGTAACGACTTCGTGGTCTTATGCACTAGAAACTGCGGTGACTCGTCGTTGTTCTGAGCTTCTTTAGACGTCACTTTTTGCTGGAGCTTTTTGTTTTCTTGCGCTAACAGTGCGTATCGAGTCGCTGCCAGACAGTTTTTTGCCCAATGGACGGATACGACCATCTTTTCAAGCTCTTGTTAATTGGCGATGCCGGTGTCGGCAAGAGCAGGTGCGCACGTGGCTTGCTAGAGCTGTTTTTGCTATTCAATTTTTCTGGTCACTGAAATGGAGTGGATGTTGTGTTGGATCGCGTTGTGTTAAATTTGTCTTTGTGATGTGATGTGGTTTAGTATGCTGCTCCGGTTTACCGACGACACGTTCGATGATAATTTGCAAAGCACGATTGGTGAGGGGTATTTTCTATTAAATGTTGGATGAGGGACACCACGGTTCGTGACGGTGTGGGTCACCTAAATGTATAGGTGTGGACTTCAAGGTCAAGATGATGGACATTGATGGCAAGAAGATCAAAATGACAATTTGGGACACTGCAGGCCAAGAACGCTTCCGTACGCTGACGAGCTCGTACTACAGAGGCGCACAAGGCATTGTCTTGGGTGGGCAAATTTGCCGGGTGAAAGAGATGGTGGTGACGAAATGCTAACATTTTTGCTGTTTTGGCTGTTGCATTTGATACTCTTGCTATGGGTAGTGTACGACGTCGCCCGACGAGATACGTTTGAGAATTTGGACCTATGGCTGCAGGAGGTGGAAGTGTACAGTCCGGCTGGTGGACGCGATGTAGTGAAACTGCTCGTAGGCAACAAGATTGATAAGGTTCGTTGCTCGCCCCAGATTAAGCCGTTGAGGGTTGCATAGTCTAATTGGATGGATTTTCGTCATGTATTCTTTGGCAGGATCGGATCGTGAGCCGCCGAGAGGCAGAGGATTGGGCGAGATCGAAAGGCATGCTATTTGTCGAAAGCAGCGCAAAGACCAAGATTGGCATCCAGCAAGTGTTCAACGAAGTAGTGCAAAAGGTGCGATGTAACGCATGGACACATTGTTGCGGCTTGCGTTCTTACCGACAAGGACGATCGTGTGCTTGCTACAGATCCTGGAAAACCCTGCGCTTCTATCCAACACGGCACCGCGCAGTCGCGGACGGAAGCTCGATGGCAAAGCAGAGAAAAGTGGTGGAGGTGGCGGCAGTGGCTGCTGTTAAAGAAGCGCTTGTTGTTTGCTGTCCATTGGCGGGCCGCGGTACGGCGCGGTCGTGAAGTATATGGCTGCCATGCTTATGCACCTACTTCTCATCTCGCTAAGTCGGTGAGTCGCGCTTACAGTGCTCTCATCTCGCAAGTTACTGCTGCCGTGCTCGTGTAAAGTGTAGGTGCTGCATGCTGTAGTTGAGGTGTGAGAGACCCGGTTACAGAGTAGGAGAGCAAGCGAATACATGTTCAACTGACCGTGTTAGTATAATCGTAGCTTTCCGTCAGGCTTCGACGTCGCGATCTTCGATTATTGTTTTAACGCTACTTGGCTATCGACAGCTGTATTTTGCATGAAGGTACTGGCCACGATACGTGAACGCTTGTTGGTATCAACAGCAGCAACAATTCTGACATGACGATCCTGCCAGGATATGTGCAGAAGTGTATTAATAGCGCACCAAGGCCTTTCTATGTATGAGACCTTAATGCGTTTATCAGATACATCCGGAACATATGACCAAACCGTATCGCAAGCCGTGGTCCCGTCATACTTTGCCTTAAAAAATGTACGATTCTTGTATGCGTCATTTTAGTTGCAGCAATTCCAAGAGTCGTTTTGCTTTTAAAGCTTCTCTAAACAATAGAACTGTTGATGGCTCAGCAGTTTACATTCCAATGCAAGATAATGCACGGCATGCTCGGACGCCAAGTGGAGATTGTAACGGGGCACCCATTGTTTGGGGTGCCGCGAAACTTCACGTACACTAGTAAGTGCAGAGGAAGCTTATCTACTCAAACAGATCGTTTGAGTAAAGAGTAAAAGAGAACAGTAATTAATATAGTCAAGCTATCAATATAACTTCAGCCTTTATCGAAGTATGTTAATCTACATTGTCGTATAATGAAAACTTGCTCACCACCCATTGCGCGCGTCTAGCAGCGATTGGTGGTAATCTATGGTTGAAATATCTTTTATCAACCAATCTTTGAGCAGTGCAGGAATATTATCCTACGAGGGGATACTAACTTCAATACTATCCATCTCGGATGATATTGGCAGGGAATTGTCACGCTAGACAATATTACTATTGACACCGTTTGATGTCAATATCCTGTAACGGGCTATCCCGTTACATCACCCCCCCTTAACCATCGATCATCCGTTGATTGAATTTAATTTATTGGGACTGGGTGACACCGTTAGATCACTTCAGAAAGGGGAACACTTTTTTTCATATTCCGACTCATTTGCCAATTCATCGCATGGTGTCAAGGTCCATGCGATGTGTCGCCGAAGCAGCAAGAAAAGCGGTTGCACGCATGCGTGCAGCCGAAGAAGGTTCTTCTCTTGCTTCAGTAGCAGGTGATAGTTCGCCTGCTGTTGCAAGTAAGCAACAGTTAGAACTTGTAGCAACTAGTTCACGTGGTGAGTGAAAATGTGCGACAAATGCATCCGCTGCGTCTGCAGCGTGTGCTGCTCCTCGCAATGTGGATGAGCTTGAAATAGAGCTCATCTATTCTGGAGAGTCGGACGATGCATCCGACTCGAAGGCGACACCTTACGCCTCCAGATCATCCGGGGCCGACACTGCAAGAGCCATTCTGACTGGCTCTGGGGAACATGGCGGCATCATGTCCGAGATCTTCGGACCGAGCGATTCTTCTGACAAATGCTCGTCTCAAACAAAAGGACGTGTGGCGCCGGTGGTGACACACCTATGCATCACCGCGAGAGAAGCAACTCGAAAGATCGAGATGCTACTGGAGTCAGTGCTCGTGCTGACACCACTCAAGAGGCCAGGGACCGCAATGTCCTGCGTCACGCTTCTCAAGTGAAGTCTACTTGGATGCTGTCATCCAAAGAGTTAGATCGAGTGGCTGGTAGGACCAACGAACGGGATTGAATCCCGTTGTTCGACTGTATGAGGATCTGTCCTCTTTATTCCAGCACAGAACTACCCGTGCTGAGGGAGAATTCTTCACCGATGTGTTCATCAAAAGCCAGTAATACACTGACAGCCGTGGCTGCGACGGTAAGGCCTTGGTGCTGGGATGAAATGTCTTCATCCATAACATTGAGTGCATTGGCCGTGAGGCCTGGCTCGGTAAACTTGATGCAGCTCGCATCAGGTCTGGAAACGTAATCCAGACGGGGCGCTATACAAGTTGCACCGGCTGTCAAGAGAGGCAGGATTACCCTGTCTCTAGTGGAGTGATTCGTATCCAGGTTTCCTGAACGACTAGAGTCGTTCCCCTAGGAAGGCATACCTTCCTAATGATCCCTACTGGAGGGCGCGCGTCTCTTCCGAGATGGCCGAAGGGATCGACACTTTGCAACCCCTGTACTCGCGTTCAGGGAGGTCGTTTTCCGACGGCCCTTCTTCAAACGCAGCGGGTGGGTCTCGTCGTACTGCTCGACGAGACCAAGGACATCAACAATCATCTGGGCACGAGGCTCCCAGCTGTCCCAGGCCGGTGGACAGCCACGCCAGCGGACGAGGTAACTCGTCCGGACGCCATTCACATAGCGGTGGTTCAAAATACGCTCCACTAGGAAGCGTTGACCACCGCTTGAGTCCACCAAAGCATGTGGTGGTGGCGGGAACACCTGATCCGGTTCAAGAGTCTGATCATCTTGATGTTCAGAAACTGAACCGTGTAACCGATTTGTTAAACGATGACCTGGCTCATGAACAGACTCGGCGTTATGATATCCATGACTTTGTAAGGGATAATTACGATTCCTTAGCGCAAGATCGTTCGAACGATCGTGCCGCGTTTGCGTTTGTACAACTTGAGAACGAACGACTCGTTCTCTTCGTGACGAGCTGACTGTAGCTCGTCAGGACATCGCTCAACTGTGTGAGCAGGTCGCTTCGCTAGTCGACCAGACTGGTTCGTTGAAACGGGACCACTCGAAGGTGGTCTCGGCCCTTGACCGCGGAGGTGTTATTCGCCTCTAGAACGATCTCGTACTGATAGTACGAGCGGAGACGACCGACGTAAAACGTAGGATGCTTAAGCATCTTACGGGGCAGTTCAATCGTGTATGCGTTGCCCATTTGGCACATAACACACGAAACGGACCGATGTACTTGAGCAGTAATTTGTTGTTGCCCACGTTTATCACTGCGTGCTTTGGTAAGTTTACTGTAGACAGTAAGAAATAGGTCTCCTTGATTGAACGAAAGAACGTTTGCTCTTCCGCGTTTGCCTGCGTTTCTTTTCTGCTTGTCTATTGCATCTGCAATAGAGTCTTGAACGAAGCGGACAACCGCTTCGCGAGTCAGCAGAAATTCCTCTGCTGATTCATCCTTGTCAACAGCAGTGCGCTTCGTGTGCACTGCTGAAAGAAAGTTGTCTACACCAGGTAGGGTGTCACCTTCCTCACTGTGGTAGTCATTGGCGATGCTGAATAAACCAGCATCGTCGTCATCATCATCATCGTTGTCGATGTGATCGAAATCGGCATCTATAACGTCGACACCATTGTCGACGGGTGATGAGCAAGAACCAGATCGGTTTTTTATTCGATCGAGCCCCCCCCCTTAAAATAGAGTCACACTCTAAGAAGGCGGGTAAACGTAGATGGAGTAGGCCATTCACGAAGAATGGTGTATGCGTTGTCGACGCATGCACCGAGTTGTTGATGCGAATTTCGCCATCGTCAAGAACTCACTCCAACTCGTAAACGAGATGACATACCCTCGAAGTATCTCTTCGAGAATGCGGTCGACGCGTTCTGTTTGACCATCTGTTTCGGGATGGTCAGAAGTTGACACCGTCAAACGTGCTCCAAGTGAACGGAACACGGATTGCCAGAACTACGCTGTGAAGCGGGGGTCCCTGTCGGACACGAGATCACGGGGTAACCCGTGAAGTCGGAAGATAGTATCGATGAAGACACGCGCACAGCCATGGGCTGTGATTTACTCCGGTACAGCACCAAGATGTACCATCTTGCTGAACCGATCAACAAACACAAGAATATTCGTATTCTCATGAACGTCTTTGGGAAATCCAAAGACGAAGTCCATCGATACGGACTGCCAACACTGCTGGAATCGGTAGAGGCTGCAAGGGTGCGCGGGATGAAGGACTAGGCTTCATTCGTTGACAAACTTCGCAAGCGCGAATGTGCATGCGCACAAACTCATACTGGCGGGGCCAGTAGAAGTCACGACTCACCGCGAGGTGAGTCTTTTCTCTGCCGCGATGCCCACTTGTTGGGGCATCGTGACACTCATGCATGATGCGCAGTCGCAAATCATTATGAGCCGGAACGACGACACGAGGTGTGTCGCCGTTTCTACTGTGTAGTACAGCAGTCCATCACGGGCAGAATAACGTTCAGTTGAAGAGAGGTACTGAACCGTCAAGCTTTTCAAAGTTTGACTGCATGTATTAGATACTCAACTATTAATCGCAGAAGATACTCATCTTCCGCGTATGCTTCCGCACGTCGTCGAGCAGTTTTGACGACGGAACACTCACTGGTAGTGTCGCGACAGTGGGATCACCCCGACTATTGGGCTGAGCAGTCGGCTCGAAATCGGGCCGACGCGAATGAGCATCAGCGACGACATTAAGTCGTCCTAGTTTACAATCGACGGAGAAGTTGTACTCCGCGAAGAAAGACAGCCACCTCGTAATTCGTTGCAAGAGGTGTGCACTGTTTACGGCCGTGCGTAACGACGCATGGTCGTTATAAACGATGAAGGGCCAATCTTCTAATAGATTTACCAAAACTTGTCCAGTGCATATTTCATGGCAAGAAGTTCCTTTTCATGCACCACATCATTTCGCTCAGCTGCTTGCAGCTGACGCGATTGATAACAGACGAAGCGCTCAACGCCGTCTGAGTCGTACTGCATTAACGCGCAGCCGATTGCAACGTCACTGGCGTCACAGACCACATGGAATGGTCTGTCCTGGTCTGCAATTGCCAACACGGGCGATTGTATCAAGCTTTTCTTGAGATCTTCGAAGGAGTGCTGACACTCAGCACTCTATGACCACCTCTCGTTTTCTTTAGCAGACGAGATAGATGTACTGTCATCTCGGCATAGTTGCACGAGTATTTGTGAAAATACGCTGCCAAGCCAAGGAAATTTCGAAGTCCCTTGACGTCGACTGGCACAGGCCAGTCGCTAATCGTCTCGGTCTATTCCGGATCAGGGAGTACGCCGTTTTTACCCACGATGCAGCCAAGAAGTAGTATTTCGTTCGCTGCGAATATACACTTCTTGAGGTTCGCAAACAGCTTATGCTCTCGCATAAGTGTAAGAACCTTCTGGACGTGGATTCGATGAACCTCCACATCCGTCTTTCCATCCATAGCCAGGCCATGGACGAAGACACCGTCAAAGTAAATTGGTGCAAAATCTCGCACCGATCGCAACAGATTCGTAACACATTTTTTAAACGTTGCAGAGGCGTTACATAGCTCCTGTAGCATCACTAGCCACTCCCAGAGCATACCACCGGGGGTGCTCACTGCTGTGTACTGGATATCCTGTTCACGCATGAGGATCTGATAGAATCCATCCATCAGATCCATGGATGAAAAGATGGTACCTTTTTCCATACCATCTATGATGACATCCTTTCTTGAGATCGGCGTTTGAGCTGGTACCGTTGCAGCATTCAATTTGCTGAACGCGTGCACTATCCACCATCCTCCTGTGGCCTTTCGCACACAGAAGGTCGGAGAGCTGTGTGGGGAAGTTGATTCCCTCACATGGCCCGCAGCTAAACGATCGGCAAAGAACTTTTTGATCGCAAGTACTTGTTCACGAGGCAGTGGCCACTGCTTCATGACACAGCACTTCGAACCGGGTTTCTGTTCAATCTCATGCCGAGTGCCTTTGTCCTATGGCAGCTAGCATGGCACGGATTCAGGTAAACATCCCTGAATTCAACCAAATCCTTACACAAAGGATTTGTATTCAAAGACTGCCAAGATTGAGACGTGTATCGCTCAATCCGGGTCTTCTCATCTAGGACACTCTCGTCCATAGATGAGCTACTGAGAACCCGTTCGTTCTCATCAAACACTTGTGCCGACCGAATACCGGCGGCGTACTCGTCCTCTGTGACGAGTACGCAGATCTGCTTGATCTTGTCACTACGCAGATCTCGTAAGAGTCTTTTAGATTCTATCGTTGGCAACTTGACCACCTCTGAAGCTGACTTCGATGGCGTCACCAGATCTAGTGTATAAGTGCCTTCACTTATTTTGTCATTCACAAAGACATTAACTGACTCGGTGATTTTCTGGGAAATCATTTCCGCAGGTGGCTGGGGATCCACACCCTCAATATAACTCTCTCGGTAGTTATCACTCTCAGGAACGCTGGAACTTTCTCCCAATACGTGTACCGACTGTGGTTGTACTACCATGGTCACGTCCTCTTCGATCGACTTTCTTTTAATCGATCGGGCTTGCTCTACGGTCGACTATCTGTTAGTCGATCTCGCTTCAACGTGTTGTTCATCCTGAACAACACTCATGTCTCCTCTTGGATGCACCCTTTCTTGGTGTGCATCCGTGTTCCAGTCTACTCGATCTCTTCGAATGGTGAACCTTCGGCGCAGCCTGTGTCTCTACACAGGTGACGGAAGCTGGTTTCACAGCGTAGTGGCCTTCTTCACTGTGATCTTGTGCAGTCATTTTAACGACCGTACCACAAGTGAGGCCATCGCACTCACTCGTAGTACATCCACACGCTTGTGTACGCTTCAAGACGTTCACCAGATGGCCATCCGATGAACAAACGGCAGGCATCTTCACGGATCGATGCTGCCAGCTGACCCATGGATGGTATTTGTAAGCCATGGAAGACCGAAAATGACATCAAATTTGTCATCCAAATCTAGAACGATGAAGTCATCATCGTGCTGCTTTTCTTCAAGCGTGTAGTGGATTCCCACTACACGTTTGTTCAATGTTACGGATGCGCCTGTAGCAAGGCACACCGTCATCCTCGTTGGAGGGAACTCTCGCTCAACATAGTTGAGCCTTCTATCTTCTAGCGACTGGCGTCGAATAAAACTTTTCGACGCACCACAGTCAACTAGGGCGCGAAGTGACATTCCACTTGTCACTTCGATCTTCAAAGTGACGAGAGCCTCCTCATCACTACGAGCAGTAACACACAGAGACTGCGTGTTGGGAGCAATCTTCGTCAAGAGTCCTGCAAATTCTCTTGGCGTTGCTGGATCAGCAGGGTGCTCCGCCCCTACTGATCTTGACCGTTTTTTGGCGGTCCGACTTGCTGTCGCGGTTTAGCGATATGGTCGGACCCGCGCCTTGGGCCTTTCCTTGTCCAACGGTGGTCATCACGTCTTGTCTTTGGACGTGTTGCGGTGCTTAGGACACTACACTCATGAGCGCAGTGTCCAATCTTCTGACAGCGATGGCATCTTGCCATTCGCTTGTGACTCAGAGAGCGAGAGTTCTCGCTCTCGATGTAACAGAAGTCCATTGGTTCGGGACCTCCTGTTTCCTGTCGTCTCGTCGGACGACACTTTGACGAGTTAGCCTGAGACTGTCTCAGTCTGAAGTCTTCTTGTTCCGCAAACGCTATCGCCTTTTTCTAGCTTATGGAAGTCCTCTTGTAACATGTAGGTCTTCACCGGCCCATCTACAAGGCCGTAGATGAACACGGTCATGATCGTGTGCACATGAACAGGGTTTTATGTGACGCTAATCGCAAGGTAGCGTAGGTGTCGTGCGTAAGCGTGCACGTCACGCTTACATTGCCTGAGCCTTGGGAGTGCAGAGCGTGCTCTGAAATCGGCTCTTGGTGGCTCAAACGTCTCTTTGAGCCGAGACTGCAAGATCTCCAACGACTTAAAAAAGTTTGGATCGTGAAGCTTAAGCCCTAAAGCCCAAGTCTTTGCTCGCCCCGTCAAATTTGACAGGGCGAAGGTGACTTGCATCTCGTCACCCTCGATGAGACGGGCCCTGATGGCATCGTCTAACTCTACGAACCATGTCGAAAGGGAATCTTCGTCGGTCCCTTGTACCTTGAGATATCAATCTTCAAGGATTCGGGTCGAAGCATGTGCGTCGGTCCGCCCATCGACTGATGAGAGCCTTGCTGCTGTAGCAAAGCTATCTTCTGTCGTTCGACGGCAAGTCCCCCTTGCAGGAACTTGTTGATAGCAGCATGTTGCTGGTCTATGCTTGGATATTACGACATACCACTGATGGCGAGTTCGCCCAAGAGCACACTCATGCGGCAGACAATCTCCCATTTTGGGTCACTCGGATGGGAGTAGACTTTACGTGTGACGTGAAAGCTGTCGTCTTCTACGTCCAGCATGTTCATGTTAGACGGACACTAAGCAGTCGTTGTATGGACTACAAAGTGCTACCAGGTGCAACGGGACATCCTTTGTTTGGGGTGCTACGAAACTTCACGTACACTAGTAAGTGCAGAGGAAGCTTATCTACTCAAACAGATCGTTTGAGTAAAGAGTAAAAGAGAACAGTAATTAATATAGTCAAGCTATCAATATAACTTCAGCCTTTATCTAAGTATGTTAATCTACATTGTCGTATAATGAAAACTTGCTCACCACCCATTGCGCGCGTCTAGCAGCGATTGGTGGTAATCTATGGTTGAAATATCTTTTATCGACCAATCTTTGAGCAGTGCAGGAATATTATCCTACGAGGGGATACTAACTTCAATACCATCCATCTCGGATGATATTGGCAGGGAATTGTCACGCTAGACAATATTACTATTGACACCGTTTGGTGTCAATATCCTGTAACGAACTACCCCGTTACAATGAATGCATCTCTTGATAAGGTCTAAGACTGCAAAGTTTCTGCCCACAAATTTCAATTTATCTTTTCCAGCAGTAAGTTTGGCATGTCCTTTTTCTATTTAAGAATGTGGCAGAATGAAGCTAACTTTGAAGCCTGTGTATTGTTTTGTCACAATAGCAAACTTTAAATAAAGGTCTAAAAGCAGTACTCCTCATTTCCGATGTATTTTCCAAAAATTAAAACCTAAACTAACAGACATTTCTTAAGAAATATAACCTATAAAAATACTACCATAAGCTAATGAACCTAAAAGAAATT